TACCGGCCGACCTCAGCCACAATCGGCAAGTTCGCCCAGCGAGCACGTTGGGGAATCCATCTGGGACTCAGCAACGAGCACAAGGGTTGGCTCATTCTTGACATTGACAGCAAGGAGATTGTTCCCGCGCGCGATGTTCTCTTCTACGAACGACTCACCTTGAAGCAGTGGATCGAGGACGAACGGCGCAACAAAGCTCGCGGCTACGTCAACAGCGGCCGTAGCTTTGCATCCCCAGAGGATGTAGCAGCAGCAGCAGCACTTGACCGCGACGACACCGACGATCATCCCGATGTTCCGCCTCGCCCGCGCACGGACGACGACGACGATGGTAGTGACGACGCGTCTGCGCCCGGACCATCCCGCCGCCCAGCCGAACCAAGCACATCCTCACCTGGCCACGAGAGCGATGATGACGACGTAGTGGAAGTTCCCACCACCGACACTGCGGCCACCACGAATGTGTCTGGTCTGCAACTTCTCGGCCTTCACACCTCGGTTTCTACCCTCGTCCGCGCCGTCGAACCCAAGAACCCGCGCCAGGCCTTGACACTCCCTCACGCAAAGGAATGGCGTGCAGCAATGGATGCAGAACTCAAGGCGCTAGAGTCCCGTGACACCTGGGTTCTGGTCGATCATACAGCAGTGAAGGGGAGAAGGGTGCTAAGCGGAAAATGGGTATTTCGTCTCAAGACTAACGCTGACGGAACCATCGAACGCTTCAAGGCACGATGGGTCGTACGCGGATACGACCAGCGCCACGGCATCGACTTCGACCAAACCTTTGCTCCCGTCAGCCGCCACACATCGGTCAGGATTCTACTCGCCATAGCCGCCGCTAAGCATCTGCCACTGCGACAGATCGACGTAAAGAACGCGTTCTTATACGCGTTGGTGGACGCAACCATCTTCTGTCAGAATATTATGCTCTAGCCTGCAGTGGGGTACTCTATAGCGAGTACAACCCAATTATTTGCTGCTAGTGCAAACCCTCCTTTCTTCATTCTTACTTTCTACAGCTAGTTCTGACATGCTATCAGAGCAGGTCGACCCTCCTGGGTCGATCCTGTGGGTGGGCCCACCACCTAAGCCTTCCGCTGCTACTGCTACTGCTACTGCTACTGCTACTCTGTGTGTCGCACGCCTCGTGGCGTGCGACGGATTTTTCATCCCGCCGTGCGCCCCGAGGTGTGCGGCGGTTTTCTGCCCGCCGTGCGCCCCGAGGCGCGCGGCGGTTCTCTGCCCGCCGTGCGCCCCGAGGCGCGCGGCGGTTTTCTCCCCCCGTCGCCCGCCGAAGCGCCCCCGGGGACCCGCGCGTCGCCCCCGTCGCCCGTGCGCGGCCCGTACTGCACGAGCGCGGCCCGTACAGGCTGCGCCAGGCCCGCGCGCGGCCTGTCCTGCACGCGCGCGGCCCGTACGGGCTGCGCCAGGCCCGCGCGCGGCCCGTACAACCCGCGCGCTGCTCGTACGGGCTGCGCCAGGCCCGCGCGCGGCCCGTACGGCCTGCGCCAGGCCCGCGCGCGGCCCGTACGGGCTGCGCCTGGCCCGCGCGCGCCTCGGGCCGCCTGCGCGCGGTTCGTACGGGCTGCGCCTGGCCCGCGGGCGCCCGGTCTCCTCTCCCACTGAGCTGCACGCCGTCCCTCGCGCTTCTGACGGCGCCCCACCCCTGCTGCTGCCCGTACTCCTGAATTAGGGTTTGGGGGTGGAGCGTATGGGGGTGCCGTCTCTGTCAGCCGTCCCCTGCTCCTCCTCCTCCTCCGTCTCCCACTGCTGCAGCTGCTGCTCAGGGGGGTGGGTGTGTGGGAGCCGAGGGTTTAGGGTTTAAGGGGGGTGCCATGGGAGTGGAGCTAGGGTTTCAGCAGGGGGTGTGTGTTGGGGGGTGTGGGACAGTTGGAGGAGGTTGGGTGGAGGCAGCCGTCGTGTCGTCTGCAGCGCCTGTATTCCGGGGTTCTGATAGCCACCGGTAGCTCAGAGAGCCGGTTGCACCTGTCGCCCGTGGGTCCGTTGCTCCTGTCGCTGCTGATCAGACGCAGAGCCTGTTACTCCTGTATTCCGGGGCCCTTGCTCCCGGTAGCCACTAGAGTTGCACCAGAGCCGTCTGTTGCCCGTGTGTCTGCAGCTTCAGTCGTCGCCTCCACTCTTCTCTCCTCTCGCCAGCCCTCCTCCTCCTCACTTGCCCTCTGTAACTGCCTCTAGCTTTGCTCATAATTGTGCACTTTAAACTATTGCTTCTTAAACTTGTGCTCAGAATGTGTGGTGACATTGTGATCCACCCTGAGCTTGTACTGCTTTGCTTTCTCTGCTGATTACACCCCACTTTGGCTATGGGGGTGTGTCAGAATATTATGCTCTAGCCTGCAGTGGGGTACTCTATAGCGAGTACAACCCAATTAGGGTTTCCTATATGTATGCCAACTGCTGCTAGTGCAAACCCTCCTTTCTTCATTCTTACTTTCTACAGCTAGTTCTGACATCTTCGTGGAGCAACCACACACTTACGGAGAAGGAGACCCCAGGGTGTGCCAGCTAAAGAAATCCCTCTACGGGATCAAGCAGGCGCCTCGACTTTGGCAGCAGCACCTACACAAAATCCTGCTCGAGATCGGCTTTAGGCAGCTGCCGCACGACCCGGGGATATACCGCCTTCACTTTAGCGGAAACTACATCCTCCTCACCGTCTACGTCGACGACCTGCTGTACACTGGCACCTGCAGCAAGCTTCTTAACCAGTTCGAGGAGAACCTGGCGAAGCGCGTAGACATCACCATCAACCATAACGTCACTCAGTTTCTGTCAGCCTCTAAGTACGCGAAGCAGCTGGGGGAACGCTTCAACATCTCACCCGCACCACTCTCAACTCCCTATCGCAGCCCCAGCTCCAACTACAAACCGGACAACAAACCCTTGTCCCCCGCAGGACTTCAACTATACCAGCAGCAACTGGGTTGTCTGCTGTTCGCTTCTGTCACATGCCGACCCGACCTTTCGTACATCGCCAGCCAACTGGCACAGTACTCTCGCAAGCCAGTAGTCGAGAACCAGCTGGACCTGGAACGCGCCCTGCAGTACTTCATCTCCACACCTGACATCGGGCTCTCCTACTCCACAGTGGCAACAACCTCCTTCAACCTCAACGGCTACGTGGACGCAGATCACGCCGCTGACCCTGCGAATCGACGGTCCCGAACCGGCTTTGTTTTCCGCCTGGAGCCTACTGGCCCAATCTCCTGGAACTCGCAGAAGCAGGAACTTGTTGCCCTGTCATCGGCCGAAGCAGAATACATCGCCGCGACAGCAGCAGTTCGCGAAGGCCTGTACCTGCAGGAGCTGCTACAGGAGGCGAAAATTCCAACTTCGCCCACCTTTCGCCTTCACTGCGACAACCAGAGCGCCATCAAGATCGCGAATAAGCCAGGGTTCGTGAACCGCACGAAGCACATCGCGTTGCGATACTTCTTCGTCAAGGATGAAATCGACCAGAGCAAGGTTGACCTCACGTACTGCCCGACAACTAAGATGGCAGCCGACTTCCTCACCAAGCGTCTGCCACGTCAGCAGTTCAAACACTGCTCCGACCTCACTGGAGTGGTCAAGTGAGTCAGCACCCTACGCGTCCAGGAATAAAAGGGAGTGTTACGATACAAATTTTTATGAGAAGGCATTCATGTATGCTGCAGGAGCCGACTCTACCGAGTACGAAGTCGAGGAGTCAGAAGAATCGAAGCGACACAGCAACCGTCTGACCAAGACCGATGCGGGAAGAAGCATTTGAAATGAAAAGAGCGGGAACAGGTTTGAAACTGACTCCCGCGCCGCACGGTTTGAATTTCGCTGCAATAAGGGAATGTACCCCTTGGAGTACATGGCTAGTCTAGGTCGTTTCGCATTCCTTTGTATTTCTATATAAACCCTATGTATGCATGCTATTATCAATCTCAGTCATTTACATTCACTCTGACCTGAGTTCAATACTTCCGCTGCTATACTACTTGCGATCAACCCTGAATGATCCTCCGCTAAAGTCCCACCTTAGATTGTAACATAGACTAGCCATGTACTCTAAGGGGTACATTCCCTTATTCCAACGGAATTCAAACCGTGCGGCGCGGGAACCAGTTTCAAACCTGTTCCCGCTCTTTTCACTTCAAATGTTTCTGCCTGCATCGGTCTTGGTCAGACGGTTGGAGATGTCGCTTCATACTCGCTAGAGTCGACTCCTGCAGCATACAGGAATGCTTCCTCATAAAACTTCATATCGTAACAGTATCATTAGGTGAAAATCAGAGTTTTTTCTTTATGAGCCCTGAAAAATCAGGCTTTTTTTTTTTTTTTTTAGGGACACTGAAAATTAGCTTTTCCATCACAGGGACCCTGATGTATCAACGCCCCTAAAAGTGAATATGAGGGCCTCGTGAATGGTGACATGTAAGGGGAAATGTTACGCATTTGGCAGGCATGACGGTGGTAGATTTGAAGCTGTTGGATAGTTATTGGTACCGTATCATTCAGTGGCACTGGTGTAATTGTTTCTGCATTGGAAACCATGTATTCAAAGCTCTGGACTGGAAATCTCCTGGGAGTATGTACCGTACCCCCCCTATGTACCATGGTCCGTGCTGTGTGTGAGGCAGGCACGGAACTGTAACAAACACGTTTGCCCAGAACTACAGAAGCAAGCTAAAAGCACTGGCGAGGGAAGTTAAGGCATACATGTGAAATGGGATGGGTTGGATCAGGTGAAGGGCAACACACTGATCATTTATGTACATCAATGCCATGCACCGTCTAACCTACTTATTTCTTTAACCACCCATAACATTGATCCTCACATCTCCTAAAAAACCCACTGCAAAGCAGCCGCATACGTCTGACATGAGGTACGAGCAAAGGCTGGGCCCTGGACGACCCTTAATGGGTCCACCCAGCCCATCACAAATTCTTTATTTGATAAGCATGTCATGCCACGATAACATGTTGCCGTTGAAACGATAGGAGTGCGGTTACAGCAGCAGGAGTGCAGTAAGAGCCAGGCCAATGGAGGCAAGAAGGTGGAAGATGGACGCATTGGCGCCTGCATGAGATTAAGAGAATCAAGGAGGGGGATCTTAGGGCATCGTGTGGCGCGACGTGCGAGAAACAAGCTTGGATAGTCTGGATCACTCAAATGCACCATGCGTGCGTGTGCGAGTGCGAGTGCTTGCGTGCGCGCATGTGCAGGGCGGGTGGGTGTGGGTGTGTAGCGTGCGTGCGTCTCTGTATGTCTACATACCTGCATACGCGCTAAGAGCCTCCATATTATAAGGTAAAAGCAGTGCGTGGCTCTTATACACCACGACCTGGCTGTCTGGAAAATCTTGTACGACGTCTCCAGCATCCTCCACCGTGTATGCAAACGGGCTCCCATCGATTTGCACGTTGCCGTTGACTCGAGGCAGCGGAGCGCTGGCCTGCTGCTGAGGAGGCGAGCCGGATATGTTCCACTCGCCGCCATACATAGGATAATACGCCATCCAGAGCGGCTGTCCCTCCATTGTGGGAAGCTCCCATGGTCCGCCAGATGAGTACTGCTCGTACGATGATAGAGAGGGGATGATCGAACGGTGAGGACGGGTCGCAGCTTGGCTCTCTGCGACGGTGAAAACAGAGCTTTCGCATTTGCGAGAGTGACGTGCTGCTGCACGTTCTAGAACTTCCAGGATGCGTTAAAATTACGACGACTGTATTACTAGGTTCACTGCAGTCCATACAGGCATGATCTGCGGTACAGCCGTTGACGTCACTTTCAGAGGCTCACCTTCTGCGTCGCGACGGAGGGCGGAATGTATTGCTTCACGATCTGAAACTTCCAGATATCCGACAACGCTCCCTTGGCAGCAGCGGAGAAGTTCTGTGAAACGGCGGTCCACCGCTCTGCAGAGCTGTCGGCTTCGTTCAAGATCGTGAGCGCGTCTGCGATCGCCTGGTTGTACTTGCGAGTTGTGTTGTCATGCCTCGCGTAGCTGTAGGCATTGGGAATCTCGTCGGATCGCGGGACGAGAATTGTCACGCCCGAGATGTCTTTTGTGCCGTCCAGCGCGAATAGACGCTCCATGAGGTCGTACTGAACGTCCTTTGACTTCAGGGCTGATATTAAGTCGCTCACGGGCATGGCGCGCGTGGCGGGGGCGAGCAGCGCTACAAGCAGCAGAGCCACGGCGGGGATGGAAATCTGCAGGGAAAATGAACGTCCGGCCATCGCGGTTGTGTGAGAGCAGGAGCGCGTGCGCGAAATTCTTTGTTTGCACGCCGAAATCCTGAAGTATTAGTAAGGAAATGAGCCTCTGGAAAGAGAGAGAGAGTGGGGGAGAGAGTGTGATAGCGAGAAAGATGGAACTCGGGGACGAGAAAATGACGAAATGACAACACCTTTTATGCTTGGCGTGGGCCACTTGGAGTGGCGGAGGATGAAGGGCAATCTTGGTTACACGAAAAATTACGATGTGTCTCCCCGAAAATTCACGACGAATCGCGTCGCCGCCGCTCGTAAATGCCAGCCTTGCTGGCAGGAGCCCTGCCCTGTCAGCAGTGCAGGGTTGCCCGCGGGGACTTCTTCACAGTTCGTTGACTCGAACAGAACGGGCCAGCGCGGCTGGTTGGGGAGGAGCTGGCCTTTCACACAGCGGCATGTATTTGGCAGCCGCAATCCCGATTGGCCGTGCGTCGTCCTGCTGCTAAGACCCTTGACTTGACAGCCAGGACCACAAAGAATACGCATACGAAGCGACCCGGCTTTCCTGTATAAATGCGCCAAAGGCCTGAATAAAAAACAGTAAAAATTGAACATGAAATTATACACTCTACAATCCATTCTAAGCAAGTCTAGATGCATCTCTAGCGAAGAAAGTTGTTCTGAAAAGCTCCAAACACTTGCAAACCCATCCAGAATGCATAAAAGCTCGGAGAAGAGAAGCGGTTGGGCGAACGCACACTAGGGACATGGCAGCAGACACAGCAGTAGAAGCTGCTGTGAGTGCAGGCTGCAGTAGCTGGAGAGTCGGCCCTTGCAACTGGGACCTGTAGTGGAAACGGAGTGGGAAGGCAGGAAGAGAAGCAAGAAGTGAATAACCGCGTATATTTACTATCCATTAATGGCACCCTGCCCAGCAAAAACAGGTGCGAGGAACTTTGTGGAGTACGATGGGCGTGCCAGTGAATGGGAAGGAAGGTTTGGTTTTGGCAAGTGGGTTTGCGTGTTCGCGCTTGTGTGAGCGTGTAAGCAAGCACATGTTAGCATGAGACACACATGTTAGCATGAGGCACACATGTTCGACTCTAATCACCAACAAACAACACAGCCAGCCAGCCAGCAAGCCACCCAGCACAACCCAGAAACACCACACCTGGAGTCAGGCGGTAACCAGCCGTTGACGTAACGCGCAAAGAGGAGTGCATCATACTCGCCCCCCTCAAGGTAGTAGAAGTGGGAGAGGCGGTGGCAGTAGCAGAAGCACACCCCAGTGAAACACACCTGGAGTCAGGCGGTAACCAGCCGTTGACGTAACGCGCAAAGAGCAGCGCATCGTAATCCCCCCCCTCGAGATAGTAGAAGCGGGAGAGGCGGCGGCGGTAGCAGAAGCGCAGCGAGCGATAGAAGCGGATGGCAGCTGCGTTGTATGCGACCACGTGCAGGTAGACGGCCGCACAGTGCGGGAGGGAGGAGGCGTGGGAGAGCAGCAGATGCACCAGGTGGGATGCTGTGGGAACAGGGGGCGGGAAGAAGGGGGGGCAGGAGGTAAGAGAGGAGCGAGGGGATGTAGAGGAGTGAGGGGATGTAGAGGAGCGAGGGGATGTAGAGGAGCGAGGGGATGTAGAGGAGCGAGGGGATGTAGAGGAGCGAGGGGATGTAGAGGAGCGAGGGGATGTAGAGGAGCGAGGGGATGTAGAGGAGCGAGGGGATGTAGAGGAGCGAGGGGATGTAGAGGAGCGAGGGTGATGGGTCAAAATCTGGTGCACGTCAAAGTGCAAGAATGTGAAAGTGCAAGACTACACTCACCCACGCCAGCCTTGCGGTAGGGCTTTGCGACGCCTAGCGTGAGGATGTAGAGGAGTGAGGGTGAAGGGGTGTGGCAGGGCGAAGGCGGCGTCAAAGGAAGCACGTCTGCTGCCTGAGAGTGAAATAGTGGGGATGGGAGAGACGAGTGTGGGGGAGGTGAAGGCATGTTGAGAGAGAGAAAGGGTGATGTACATGTTGGTAGACACAGAAGACACAGCAGAACACAGCAGGACACAGCAGATGCTACCCACCCATGCTGCACCCCCCAACGAAGCAAACCCTAGTGCTGCATTCCCCCCTGCTGCATTCCCCCCTGCTGCATTCCCCAACGAGGCGGACAGTGATGAACCCCACAAGCCTCTCAGGCTTGCAAGGGTCCACCGCACCTCAATGTGCAAGGGTCCACCGCACCTCAATGTGCAAGGGTCCACCGCACCTCAATGTGCAAGGGTCCACCGCACCTCAATGTGCAAGGGTCCTGCACATGCACCCATGCTGCACCCTCCCCCCCACCCCCCCCCCCCCCCTCCTCCTCCTTTCCACAGAGCACCTGCGCCTCTGCAGGCGGCACGAGGCGGGCCGTTATGAACCCCACCAGCCTGTCAGGCTTGCAGGGATGATGCCTCTGGGGTGCATCCACAGGGGCATCCACAGGCTTGCAGGGATGATGCCCCTCTTTTACCTGCGCCTCTGCAGGTGGCACAAGGCGCGCCACGATGAACCCCACCAGCCGGTCAGGCTTGCAAGGATCCACCGCGCCCCATGAGATGATGCCCCTGTGATGCATCCCCACACATTCACATATCCCTGACCCTGCCATGCACATATACCTGATCTCTCCCCACCTTACCTGCGCCTCTGCAGGCGGGACCAGGCGGGCAGTGATGAACCCCACCAGCCTGTCAGGCTTGCAGGGATCCACCGCGCCCCATGAGATGATGCCCCTGTGGTGCACCACGTTGGAGTAGAACTCCGCCTCGTACCTGATGGAAGGAGGGGGGGGGGGGAAGGCGGGCGGAAGGGAAGCAGTGAGGGATGGAGGGCTGTAGACGTCTCAATGCTCCCTGCATGCGCCCCATGAGATGATGCCCCTGTGGTGCACCACGTTGAAATAGAACTCCGCCTCGTACCTAATGGGAAGGGAGGAGAGGGGGTGATGGGGGCGCCAAGGAGAGGCATATGGGAAGGTGAGTTTGGGTCCACCGCACCCCGCGAGATGATGCCCTGTGGTGCAGCTCATTGTCTCTTCCTTTTGTCAACTCATGAACTGCGCCTGGTACCTGAGGGAAAGGAGGGTCGAGGGGGAAAGGGGGAGGGGAACGGAAGGAGAGGATGATAGCGCGAGGAGACTCTGATCCGAAATCACTTTTGAGAATTCTCAGAGGAGACTCCGATCCAAAATCACAAAATTTCTGTCTTTTCTATTGTTCTAGCCCAAACAACTCCTGTTCATGAGACGACAAAAAATAGCATGCTCCGTTACCGAGTAGTGTTTTAACAGGTTCATCTACTGTAGCGTGACACTAACAGCCACAGAGAAAATGCGAAAAATGTGTGCGGGTCGTGTGACAAATGTGCGGGTCGTGTGAGAAATGTGCTGGTCGTGTGAGAGCCTCACACGATGGGGAAGGTGGCTTCATGGAGGGCCTTGAGATCCGCAATGCCCTCAGAGTGGACACTCGAGCTTCTTACACGATAGGGAACATGATAGAGGCAATTGATAAGTGCGTTGAGGGTGTGCAGAGATTGGGTGCAGTGCAGAGGTCTTACGCGATGGGGAAGGTGGCTTCATGGAGGGCCTTTAGATCCGCCATGTCCCCTGGGGTGATGGCGCGATAGGTGATTCTGGGGGCTGAGGAGGACGAGCAGGAGGAGGAGGGCGGGTGGGATAATCCCTGCTGCTGCTGCTGCTGCTGCTGCTGCTGCTGCTGCTGCTGCCAGTGCTGGTGGTGGTGGTGCTGACAGCATGTGCAGTGAGTGCAATGCCGGCAACAGCGATGCAAATGATGGTCATGTGGATGGTTGGCATGTCTATGGCTGTCGGCGGCAGTGCTGCTGTGACTGTAACGAGCGGAAGGCTGCTGCAAGCCTGGTGCAGAGAAAACAGCAGGAGAGGAGGCGGGCAGGAGGGGTGACGAGATGGGAGGGCGAGGAGAGGGGGAGGAGTAAGAGGAAGAGGAGGTTCGAGATGAGGAGACGTGAGAGGGAATAGGATAACGGGCAGGGGACAGCTTATGGGTGGGATGAGGGGACCCGGGCCTTCGAGGCGCCTCAGAAGAGGGCCGGGGGGAACCGGGACAAGGGCGACGTGAGTCAGGGAAAGGAAGTGTTGGGCATGGGCTCACACTGTGTGGGTTGCCCTGACAGGACCTTTGAGGAGCCTCAACACAGGGATGGGCGAGACAGGTATGGGATAGGCAGGTATGGCATTGGTGGGCATGGGATTGACAGGAATGGGGTTGACATGTGTGGGGTTGCAAAGTTCGGGGTTGAAAGGTATGTGACGGACAGGTATGGGAATGAAGGGCGTGGGACTGACAGGGATGTGGACATGGATGGTGCATGTTGCTGCACTGACAGGTGTTGTGTGCTGCATGGAAGGGAGGTGCAACAAGAGGGGCAGAATGAGAGCGAACAGAATGAGAAGGGGCGGAGTGAGAGGGCGTGTGGGTTGGGCATGAGGCAGCGAGGCAGCAGGGCAGAGGAGGGGTTAGGGGCGCTGGCGCTGGCGCTGGCGCTGGCGCTGGCGCTGGCGCTGGCGCTGGCGCTGGCGCTGGCGCTGGCGCAGTGGTGGTGGAGAGGGAGAGAGCGGGAACCAAAGGGGGGGGAGACAAGGGAGGGCCGGGATGGTACGGGTGGGTGGGAGTGGGTGTGGAGGAGTACCCGCGGAGATGCAGTAGACAGGAGGTGGAGGCACATGAGAGGAGCTCTGCAGGAGAAGTGTGGGGGGGCGATGCACCATGCATCCCTGCTCCATTCACCACTCCACCGTTCACCCATGCAGCATTCATCCCTCCCTCATCCACCCCGGCCCTGATCATCCCCCCACCGTGCACCCCGAGAGGATCCGCCTCTAGGGATCGCATCAGCGCTGCATCCCATCCCTCGGGGTGCCTGTGGAGGGACGGCGACAGCTCCGCCACGTGGCGCGCTGCCATTGGAGCGCCGCCTTCAGCACTCTCCACAGTGTCAAAACTCGCACCCCTTGAAGCATGCTCCAACTGCCGCTCAATAGGCGCCTCAAAAGCCGTCTCCATCTCCCTATAGGAATGCTCAAAGTCCGGCTGAGACTGCGAGGGCAGGGCAGAGTACCCCCATTGATGCTCGTGCCAAGCACACTCCTGCGCGCCTGCTGCAGACCCCTCAGAACTTGTCCCCACTGAACTATGCCCCTTCTGCTCTTGAAGCGCCTCAAAGGCCGTCTCCCCGTAAGAATGTGGCGGCGGTAGAGAGGGCAGGGCAGAGTAGATCCCTTGTGGCTCATGGAAGGGAGAACGCTCCTGTATCATTCTCCCCTGCGGTCCTTGTTTAGATGGTGCTTGCATCCCTGTAGGTGGATGATCGGAAGATTGTTGTAACCCTGTTACACTAACCCTAATCTCTGGCGAACTACATGCTGCACAGCCTGCCATTCCCCCTTCATTTTTCCCCGCTATAGCATGACTCGCTACACTACATCTTGTCTCTACACTGTTTCTGACGCAATTCCCTGTGCTCGCTGAATCTACAGGCGAGTCTGACAACCTAAGCCCTTCGGTCCTATCAGAAACCCAATCGATCTCGTATGAGTACTCCCCATCCCTACCTCCCTCCTTTCCACCGTCTCCAACACCATTGCACCACGCATCACCCATGGAAACTCCCCCCGAGTCGTGCCTCCCCCCTCTCCCCGCGCCATCCCCCCCCTCGCAGCTGCGACTGGTGAATTCGTTGGCGGCCCGCCACGCGCTGACGTCATTCCGCCGCATGCTGACGTGGCGGCTGCCATCCACCTGCCGGCTGGAAAGAGGTTATCGTAAAGAAAATCGGGAGAGGAATGAATACGAGTTTGTCAAATCCTGCAAGGGGTATGTTCGAGGTTTCTAAAAAACTGTAACAAAGAAGCCTCCTTCGCCTGCCTTCGTCGTGATGTTACACCACCTGTGGAACTTCGAAACCTGAACCTAGTTACCGTTCAGAAATCTAGGCCGATGTACCTGCGTAGCTGTGCCGGCCCTACTCTTTCGCCTCCATAGCAGCCCTCGCGCCCTTCGCCTGGATGTTGTACCGCTTGTTAAACTTTGCAACCGAGCATACCGTTCGGCCAGCACGATAAGTACTACTGCTGGTGAGTTACCTGCGTAGCTGCGCCAGCTCTACTCTTTCGTATTCTTCGCCTCTTTCGCCTCCTTCGCCTGGATGTTGTACCGCTTGTTGAACTTGGCGATCTGGCCCTCCGTCTCCGCCTTCTTGCCCGGATCGCGGATGTAGAACGGACGGTCGGATTTGAACACCTGCGCGGACAGCACGCGCACGAGGCGGCCCTGCGGCGTGACGAGGCTGAGCCACTGCAAGGCGGGATGGATTCCCTTCTTCATCGCACTCGATACCGCCCGTCGCTCCCCGGCGACAGCGAGAGTATCAACTTAGGGTTCGATACCGTCCGTCGCTAGACAGATCTCTGCGCACGAAGCGAGCGACGCGAAGTACCACAGGATTTCTGATTGTGAGCTGTGCTGGGAAGGAAACTTGTGTTCCCTCCCTGTTCGGAGGCCCGAGGAGTCAGGAGGACTTGAGAGTCACGTTTGGGGCGTGTTCGGTGAAAAATGTGGTTCCGAACCCCAGACCACCCTGCTCACGAAACTCGAATCTTGGGTTGTGTTTTGACTTCCAGCATCCTCCGTAAGGGCAGATCCGTCATTGGTACGAATGAATTCCTTTAGGGGCACTCTCTATGCACCAATCGCATCGTTCTGCATCTCTGAACAAAATTCGTGCTCAATTTCGATATGGTCACCTGGTTCCCGCCTTCGCACCGAAAGCCCGCCAGAAAACCTCGAGAACAGCAGCACCCAGGCTCCAGAAGGGCCACAACCTTGGGAACCGCAGAATACCGTTCAATTCCAACCTGCGTTCCTCCGACATCAGTACGTGTACAACTTTCTGTACGCTACTGCGGTCAACTTTGTTTCGTCACGGTGCAAAACGGTTAAGATTGAGAACCGCTTTCCACCGTCGGGAACCGTCTTAAGCCACGATACAAGAATTGTATGTGCTTGGAGTTGTGCAGCTTGACATCGCCCTCAGTCCCTTGAAAAGCACGCAGTTTCCTTCAGTATTCGGCCATGTCGTCAGCACCACAGAGCACGGATTCTTATTTGAAGCACGCCTTGTATTTCCCTTGACTTTGACATGCCTTAGCTCCTTTGCAGTCATAAGCTCCGTTTTTGTATCGATTCCGCGCTCAGGAAATCCATGCGCTTTTCCTCTCCTCTACGCGCGCGCTCCTTCCAGACCCTGAACATATACTCCAGATTAATCTCCCTCTGGATTAGTTAAGACCCTGCATTCGAGGCCATTGATACTTAAGACGATCACCAGTTCCCCGCCGGCAAGATGAGCAAGAAGGATGATGAGAAGCACGAGAAGATCATCCGCGGGTTGATGAAGCTGCCCGTAAACAAAAAGTGCATGAACTGCAACAATCCGGTATAATGCGTTTACCACTTTCTTAGCAGCATCGCCAGCTACCCTTTTAGGAGTCATAACGAGCCGGTAATTGGTGCAGATCTGTTCTTTGCAGCGAAAAGCGTTGACTTTATCAGCTCTAGATTGTTTGAGATTGCTCAGCCTGTTGGCATTACGATAAGCTACATGCGATGAGTTGCACCAGCTCCTTTCAAGATGCTACGGGGTATGCGTTGTCGTTTAGAATGCAATAATTCCGAGTCTGCGTTTCTCCTCGTTAAGCGTTAATCCCGTTGCTGGCTTTGCAATCACATATCGCACACATCGTTCTCTATTTCGATCCAGCCTTGGCAACACGACCATTTAGATCATAATATTTACTGCTACATCGCTTCAACTACGATCATCCATGTGTTACCCGATTATCGCAGGGCCCTCAGTATGTGTGCACGAATTTCGCAACGTTTGTCTGCGTCGCATGCAGCGGAATCCAGTGAGTCTTCTTCCACTCCGCATACCCCTCCTTTCCCGCCTTCACCCTTTGCGCTCGTGCGAGCGCGTGACTTCGAAGTCACCGTTCAAATCACCTCGATACCGTGGCACACACCATTGAGTTCTTTGTTCCCGCCTTCACCATTTCCGCTTGTGCGAGCATTGCAATGAGCCTGGTTCCGTGGCCCGATTTTCATAACCGCTCTACAGTTCGCAATAAGCATTTCATTTATATCCTAAAAAATCTACTGTACCGCATCTCTTCCCTCTCCCCTTCCGCATCTCTGTACGTTTCCAGCCGCGAGTACACGCATCGCCTCAAGTCCGTGTCAATGGCCAAGTTCACCCCTGAGGAGGTGGCGGCTCTGCAGCAAGGCGGCAACCAGGTGAGGGGTTTCTGGGCAAACTGTTACCAGACAGTGGTAACCAAATGCATTCGCGAGGCGAGTAACCAGATTCATGCATTAATTTAAAACCCTCAAGTCCAATTTCATGGCCGACCCCAACACAACGACGATTTGAATCTGATTCGTTCCCTCTCTCTCCTTGTGTGCATGCCTCACGGCGCCTGCGTGCCTCCGTTTACATGCGTGTGATCAGAAAGCGCGGGAGTTTTTCCTCGCGAATGCCAGCAGGGTGGAGCCCCCAGATCCCAAGTGAGTCCGCCTGCTGCCCTTTCCCGTTCCCTTTTTCTTCCTCCTGTCCTTTCTGCTTTTTGCTCCCACTAGAACCTTCCCCACCATCCCCGCTCGCCCCCTTCGCCTGCACGCTGCTCCATTCCTCCTGTTCTTTCAGAGTCACACTGTTCAGCGGTCCACTCCCTCCCTCAACCCCATGCGCGATCACCTCTCGTCTTCTCCCCATGCCCTATCACCCTTTCCGCCACTCCTGTCTCTCATCACCCTTCTGCTTCCCCGCACGCATGATCAATTCTTCCCTTTCCCCAGTGACCCAAATCGGCTAAGGGAGTTCGTGCGTTCAGTCTACGTGGAGAGGCGCTACGTGGCCAGCAGGGACCCGCACGCCGCTGCTGCGCCACCTACGCGCGCGCAGTCCCCTTCCCCCTCCCCTTCCCCCGACCTCCCCCCAGCCTCCGCCTCCTCCCCGCAGTTCGCCCCCTCGTCCCAGCACAACGATCACACCCGTTTATCTTCTGACGCTAGAGCTATGCGGGCGTCTGCTGACGGGTATGGTGGTGCTAGTGGGGCGAGCAGAGGTCCGGGCAGAGGCGCGGGGTATGGAAGTGACAGGCAGCCCCCAGCAACAGCAGCAGCAGCCGCAGCACGAGGAGAAGCGGAAGCACAAGGGCGGGCTGTCGTCGTTTCTGGGGTTCAAATCCCGTGGCAGCAGCAGCAGCAGCAACAGTGGCGGCGGTGGCAGTGGTGGCGGTGGTGGTAGTGGGAGTGGGGGCGTGGCAGGGAGCAGGCATAGCAGCAGCAGCGGGGGCAGTAGGGAGAGACGGGAGGACTCTTTGAAGGGAGAGCACCGGAGGGACGGCCAAGGGGGACGGTCCTCGTCCCCTTCAGGTTCCAATAACAGTGATAGAGGTAGCAGAGGCAGCGACAGGGAGAGAGACAGGGAGAGAGACAGGGAGAGGGAGAGGGGGAGAGAGAGGGATGGCTTGAGGAAGAGCGGGATTAGTAGCGGCAGTGCAGGCGGGCAGTCCAGGCCCAGCGGAGGTAGCGGGGGTGGAGGCGGGAGCAGAGGGCGAGGAGGAGGGGCGCAGGGCGTGCAGGCTGTGAGTGTGCCTGTGAGTCAGGTGCTAGGGCGGGATGTGGAGCTGAAGGTGTATGCAGAAGGGGAGGAGGGCGCGGTGGGGAATGGCGTGAATGGGGGGCACGGGGGGCGGGGGGAGGAGCAGGGAGGAGCGCCTGGAAGCCCTGGTTCCATTGCTTCCTCTGTGAGTTGCCTGAGCGCTCTACTCCTTTTTTGAGGCGCCTGAAAAATAGAGCACTGGGTACAGGAGTCATGCTGATACCGCTTCCATTGCTTCCTCTGTGAGTTGCCTGAGTGCTCTTTTTCCTCACCCTTCCTGTTCATTCTCTCTTACTCTCTTTTAGATTTTCGCTCACAGGCACACGCGTGCACACACGCACCCACACCCACAGAATAACGCACCCACACCCACACAGTCACGCATACACTTCAGGGTCCATATTCCTGCCCCTGCCCTTGCGCCCACCCCTGTCCCTGCCCCTGTCCTCACCACCAGGCGGCATCGCGCAAGGCAGCAGACGCCCACCCTCCAACGCCCGAGAGCAAGCTCAACCCTTCCTCCACTGCTGCCGTTGCCACGGCCAGCCTCATAGACTTCTCCTTTGACGACCCCACTACTGCACCAAGCACCACTGTCACATCTGCTGCACCAGCAGCACCCGCAGCAGACCCCTTTGGGCTTGCAGATCTGCTCGCGCCTGCCCCCGCTGCCCCTGATCCCACCCAAGGCATTGGCGCTGCAGGTATGGGCGCTGGAGGTATGGGAGGTTTGGACCCTGCAGGTATGGGCGCTGCTCCGGCCGGGCCTGCGTTAGGGGCTCAGTTCCCTGGTGGCGCTCAGCTGTTTGGGGATCAGGCCTTTGGGGGCGAGCCGCTGCCAGGCCAGCAGTTTGGGGCGCCGCCGCCTGTGGGAGGCCAGGCGTTTGGAGGGCAGCCGTTTGCAGGGCAGGGGTATGGAGGTCAGCTGTTTGCAGCGCCCATGCCTGGGGGGGCTTTGCCTGCTGCTGGAGTGCCTGCTGCGCCTGGTGGGGCGGAGTTTGGTGCGGTGCAGAACTCCGGTGTGGGTTTGGCTCTGGATCAGCAGCAGGCACAGGGTGGGGCTGCTATGGGCTGGGGTTCTGCCTTCCTGCCTGCTGATGCTGGTGGTGGTGCTGCTGCTGGTGCTGTGCCTGCAGCAACTGCTGCTCCTGCATCCGATCCTGCTGCTGGGTTGTCAGAGCTTCCACAGGCACAGCAGCCTTTGCAGCAAGGCGGTTTCTTCGAGGAAGAGGGTCCTGTTGATGCTGCTGCGGCAGCTGCAGCACCAGCACAAGCATCAGCAGCAGCAGATGCTTCTGCATCAGAAGCATCAGGAGAGGGGGGAGGCTTTGCCTCGTGGGCTGCATTTGACACTGCTCCTGCTGTTGCTCCAGCTCCAGCCTCTGACGTCCCTCCTGCTGCTGCGAGCTCAGGAAGCCCGACTGCTGCACCTGGTGTTTCATCTGAAGCCACTTCTGGACAAGCAGCAGCAGCAGTGGCAAGTGGTGTTGAGGATTCACCCGCTGCTGCTGCTGGAGAAATGGTACGCGCAATTTGGCTATTCCTTTTCATGCTCCTTTTCTTTTCCTTTCTTTTTTCCTCAGCAGCTCTGTTCCTTTTTTTTTTTTCACTGAGTCAACCGAAACTGTCGAATTTCGTGCCATTCCCCTTGCCCATCTAGACTTGGAATGCCTTTGATGACGAGACAGCACAGCCACCTCTGCAGCAGCAGCAGCCAGGGATAACAGAGGCACCTGCCACTGCTGCTCCAGCACCATCAGTAGCAGGAGCAGGAGCAGCAGGAGCAGCAGGAGGAGCAGCAGGAGGAGCAGCAGCAGGTGCAGCTGCCAAGGCAGCAGCACCATCAGTGGCACAGAAGACGTCTGCAGCACGAGCAGCCATTCCAGAGGTACTCAACTCACCCCCCCTGCTCACCGCTCATGCCTCCTTCCTCTGAAATTTCTCATACAACTACCTATGGCTCTCCCTTGCCCCTCCCGCTCTTGCCCCCTCCGCGCTTACTCCCTATGCAGCCCTTGCATTCATTGCCTCCCCTCCCCTCCTCCGTTTGAGTTTTTTTTTTGCAACGTCCCCTCAAGTCAGGACCAATCTTCCCTGCCTTAGTGGTTAATGCCCCCAACTTACCTTCCCCCTTGCCCCTTCCCCTCCCCCTATATTGCCCCTCTCCCTCCTCACCTCACCCCACTCCGCACTTCCTCACCAACTCCCGCCTGTTCTTATATTCAAAACCAGGCTTCCCTTCCTTGGAGGATTATGCCTCAAACACTCCCACAACCCGCCATCCCTCCTCCCCTCCCCCTCACTTCTTCTCCCCTGCCCCTTTCCCCCTTCCCCCCTCCCCTGCCCTCCTTGCTCCCTCCTCTCCCCACCCCACCCCCACCTATCAGGACTTTTTCACCAACCTCCTCCCAGCGCCTACAGTTAAGTAGACGACTTTGAGACGTCTCAAAAGCCCTCCCCTGCCCCCCTTGCCCCCTCCTCTTATTGCCCCTCCCCCTATCAGGACTTCTTCACCAACCTCCTCCCAGCGCCTACAGTTAAAAACGACCTGCCCTATCTTGGCGGCTATGCCGCCCCTCCTGCCCCCGCCCCTGCTGTCACCGATACAAGCACACTCGCTTTTGGATCACCCGGAACAGTGGCTGCTGCAGCTTCAGCTTATGGGGCATACGGGCAGGTATGGACTGGGCCGGGCAACTGAAAGGGGAGTATTGGGGTGGGGGAGGGGAGAAGGGGATGGTGGGAAAGGGCGTGGGGGGGAAGGGTGCGAGAAACAGATACAAGAACTCTTGCATTTGGATCACCCGGAACAGTGGCTACTGCAGCTTCAGCTTATGGGGCATACGGGCAGGTATGGACTGGGGTGGGGCAAGGCAAAGGATGATGCGGTGGGGAAGGGGAGTGTGGAATTATTCAGGTCAAGCCAGATTTGTAGGTGTGGGCATGAGTTCCGCACCCTAACATCATTTTCGTTTTCTATGTACACATAATCTGCACCCTCCCTTTTCACCTCTCTCTATCCCTTTTTACCTCTCACCACACCACTCTCTGTACATCTCCACATTCTTCTGCCCCTACCCTCCCCGCAGCCTCCCATGTCCGCTTTGGGTCTGCCGCCCCAAGCCATGGACATGCCGCCCTATCAAATGGCAGGAGCCGCTACAGGACAAGCCATGCCATCCGCCTATGATCAATTCCTTTCCACCACAGCAGCCGCCCCTCCTCCTTTCCCCGGTGCCCCTGGCGCTGCTGGTGGTGGTGTCAGCGGCGTCCCTGGTTATGGTGCTGCTGCTGCTCCTGGTGCTACTGGCGATGATGGCAGTGCAATTACAACCGAAGCAGCAGCGCCATCAGCAGCAGCAGCCAAGTCAACCAATCCCTTCGCCTTTGATGATGACGAAGAGGACGACACTCCGGCCCGCTGCTGCTGCTGCTGCTGCTGCTGGTTCCGCGCAGGTGACTTCCCCTACTCCATTTCTCCACTGCTACCTTTTCGTTTGGGTTTGTTTTGGTTTATGGTTGTTAGACCCTGCTCCATCAGTGCTGCACTTCCCCATGGGAGGATTCCTGGGGCCACACGTTCGTGTGTCTTCCTTGCTCCATCCCTGCTGCCTGTCTTCAGATAGGCAGGGTTGACCTATCTCACTGCCTCACACCAGGCCATTGACCTGCCTCACACCAGGCCATTGACCTGCTTCCATTGACATGCTTTCAAAACCCGGCTGCTGCTTTTTCTCCTCACATTGCCTTCTTGTTTTTCCTCTGCCATTCACCCACGGGCCCACTGCCTGCTTCCAACGCCTGTGCTTCACTTCATTTCCTCTTTCCTTGATCCCCCCCTTTCCCCACTCCCATCCATCCAGCCATTCTCCATGGACCCATTGGCTGCTGCTCTTCCTGGTGGTTATTTCGCTGCCACTGGCGCCGCGGCTGCCCCGTTTCAGTCCCCTCAGCAGCAGAATGCTACAGGTAAGCGCTTGTCTTTGCCGTCCCAATCTTTGTCTTTCTTTCTTTCTTTCTTTCTTTCTTTCTTTCTTTCTTTCTTTCTTTCTTTCTTTCTCTCTTTTTCTTTCTGCTTTGTTTTTCCTAAAAGCTGTGCGCAGACTTGGTATAACCCTCCAGGTGTTCGTCCCACCAGCAGACATGCTGTACACTCGGTAGTATGCTGTCTTATTGTTTCCAAAATTATTATTTCCCCCCCCCCCCAATTCCCCACCCTGCCCCGGTTCTTTTCGTTTCCCTGTTTCCCTGCATGTGCCCCCTCTCCAGCCACCCCATTCCCACACGCACCAGACCTCTCCCCCCAACCCTCCGCCTTCTCCCCCTCCACTCCTCCTCAACCCTCCGATCCGTTCGGTGCACCACACCCCGTTCAAACCTCCTCGCCTGGTCTGGCCGGACCTGCTGGTGGGTTCGGAGGTGCCACGCCTGGAGGGGGCGTGAGTGTTTCTGCTGACCTCTTCGGGGCTGGTTTCGGGTGGGGGGAAGGGGGAGCAGGAGGCGGAGGAGTGGGAGAAGGGGGAGGGGGAGGAGCAGTGGGAGGTATGGGAGGCCATAATCAAATGCATTCTGCAGCTGCTGGTGGGGGAATGTCTGCTTCTATCGATTTCGGTTTCCTCGGAGGTGGAGGTGGTGGTGGTGCTACCCCTGGGCTTGCTCCCGGTGCTGCAATGGGGGCTGGGAATTTCGGATTAGCGCCTGCTACTGCAGGAGCAGCCGGAGGATCGTCTATGGATCCTTTTGCATCTCTAATGCCGACTGGAGCACAGGCTACTAGTGCTCATCCGCCTGCTCCTGCTGCTGGTGCAGCTGTGGCTGCTCCTGCATCCTCGTTTGACGGTTTCTCGTGGTAGTCAGTTGCACCTGCTAAATATTCTGGGAAGGAATCGTATAGTACAACCTTGATATGTTTGGTTAGCATAGGTAGCCTGCTTGGCGTCCGCAACTGAGGTAGCTCAAATGTTGAATTAGCATGTTGGTAGAGTCAGTAGTTGTTTGTTGTGCACTTTATTCAGCATATGCTACATATCTTCCCAAACGAGATGCCTGTACGTTGTTATGCACATCCCTTGGTTGGCAAAACGACAACATCGCACTTTGCCAGCTTGGGAAGGCGAAATTTCGCCAGAAATGTCATGTGTGCTGGTAGCTTCTCACGATGCTATTGGCCAAATCCACGCTGGAATTGACCTGCTGGCTCTTGCAGCCCGTTTATTGGTTGGGTGGTCAGCCAAGTCCTCGGTAACTTCGCAAGCAGTTTCTATTTTGAGCCTGGCCAGGCTTCTCGTAAACACTTGCGAATTCAAGCGAACTCATGAGTACGTCAGCACACCATCCCAACCACACGCTTTTCCCTAACCGACCTGCCACCACGCGGGAACCAATCCATAAGGGCGTGTAACTTTTTCAGTTTACGTCAAAAGTACGTTCGGAGCCCCCAAACCGTACGGACGGGCCCCGTCCGTACGTTAGGGAATGTGGTACGGACGTTGTGCCGTACGTACCACAGTTATGGAACTTTTTATGTTTTCGAAATTTGAAAAACATGCGACAAGTAACACACATTACCACAGTCGCCACCCCCTCGTCAGAGTCGCCTAACACCAACCGCGCCTCGACAAGGTGCCACGTCATATTGGTTTGGCAGTCGAAGTGTTGGAATTTCGAGCCGGGAAATCGAGCCGCATTGAATTCTGCAATTCTGTTTTCGCGCGCCAATGGGATGTCAGAAACGTTCGACAGTACGGACGGATGTCCGGACACAGTCAGAACGGTTGAACGGACGCTGGGGATGCGTGAAAGTGACAGATGTGGTACGGACGTTGGCGACGTCGCAAGGGATATGACGAAGTCTCTGACGAAAACTAGCGAAATTAGTAACACCTTTGAAGCCCGTACGGGCCATGCGTCCGTACTTTAAAAGTCGAAAAAGTTACACGCCCTAAGAATTATGATTTTCCTTGCTGTACATTACCCATCATAGCGTCGCGTCGTCATCTCGGGGAAAACCGAACCGCCCCAATTGGTCGTGGAAACCCCATCTCGCCCTTCCTCCCCTCCTCCCCAAACCTCTCCCCCGTCGCACCCCACAACACCACAGCACATCAAAATACGCCAAACCACACCAAACCATATCCAATTCCTCTCTTACCTGGCGTTCGCACACCAACCATTTCATTTCAACAACCTTCCTCCATCACCCTAGCCATGCCACTGTCCTCCTGCCCGCTCTGCCCTTACAGATCAGACTGGCTTCAAGCATAAAAACCAAATCATTTTGCATTTCTCCTCGAACTTCCCCCCCACTCATCAAACTCCAACTCAGAGCCTTCCGCCAAGCCACGAGCTTCCTCTACTAGCTTCCTACGCCGTTACTGCTCATCTTGATCGCAATCGCTCACACCGTTACTATCACCTCCGACCACCTCGCCATCGATCTTAGTTAGAGGAAGCTCCTTTCCATCGCTCCATCAAGCGAAGTCACTGTTCGACTGGACAGCTGAACGATTTCCGCTTGCTCCACGAGGCAGCATTGATTCTGTCACCGAGTCAGGAAACGAGTTCTGCTGCTAGTTCATCTCGTCTTCAAGACCACATCGAAAAGCTCTGAAACCAAAGAACGCTGAAATCCGCCATGGCAGACGAGGCGAAGAGCGTTCCGTCGAGTTCTTTCTCGATCGCGGAGGCGCGCAAGTGGGTGGTGGAGAATAAGCTACGCACGGTGGGCGGGCTGTGGGCCAGCGGAATCGCAGGGTCGGTGCTGTACAACATGCGGAAACCCGGCGAGAAGATGAGCGTCAAGATCATCCACGCGAGGTGAGCATAGAATCTCATCCATGCGCGATGCTGCCAATCTCTGAGAGACATTGAGCTCGTCGACGCTCCCGTAAAATCTATCGGGCTGCGAGCTGCAGCTATTTCGAGGTTCGTCACGGGACCTGATGCGCTTCGCAGGTGTTTGGGTTGCTCTGAACTTTTGAGTCACTGGCATGTGAGCGAGTGAATTTTGTAGAGTAGTGCGGTACAGATGCGGTTGTCAATGTGACAGCTGCCGTCATCGGTATCTCGTTTCCAACTGCCACCTGAGTGGTCTTACTCAATCAAGTTTCGCCGTGTTTTGTCTCCCGTGTTCCTCGCAGGTTGCACGCGCAGGCTTTCACGTTGGCTGCGCTGATCGCTGCTGCTGGCGTGGAGTATTGGGAGCGCTCATCCAACCCTTCTACGAAAGAGGCGCGACATCCGTTGTAATGAGTTTCTGGTGTACAAAATGACACATCGGTACCATTCTCGAGCTGAGCAACATGGTGCGTTGAGAGAGCAAAGCTGCTCCCGTGCAACTCTTTGGCGCCGGCAGAGGGAGCTGTCACAATCTTGTGTCCCTTGTGTCGGGGCCTGTTAGCTATATATTCTGTTCACGCCATTAGCGTGTTCGTTTAATCGGCTCCTTGTAGCAGGGGGCGGGTGCTTGCTGCTAATCATACAGAAAGAGCCCTCAACACCATCAGTCTTGTTATGAGTAAGATTTATTGGGTGCCTCTGTTCGTAAATGCTTATTTGGTAGTGCTTCATATTATTGTGGTGAACCACATTAAGAGTGTTCTCATCACAACTTGGGAGTACCAAAAGGGCTTGCAATGCTGGTGTGGACTCAACATCATCTTCAAGAAGCTGAACATAATGGTGGAGCTTGCAATGTTTTTAGTTTAAAAAAGGTCTCTCCATCAGGCATGATGCCTGACAAATATTTGTTATTTAATAAAGAAACAGACCTTCGAAGGGGAGGGTTTCTCACAACTTTGAAAATAGAAGAGAGCCAGAAATATGAGGATCTTCACATAACTTTGTGTTTAGTTGTATTGATGCGACAGCCAGCACTAATGAGTACACGTCCATTCAAAAGACTTCTGCCTCTTGCCCGAAGTAACAGGCGCGTTCTCTGTCATTTGATTGGCCCATTTTCTTTAAACAGTGATGCGCACTTGGGTTGCTGAAGTATGAGTGTGGAAAAAAGACCAATCAAACAAGAGCTGCTAATCCCTCAGTCTTATCGTGGCGAATTGTGTTGAAGGGGTCGCAAAAAGCTGGGACACGACGGTTGCCTATTGGTTGGAATGGGGCCTCGTCTGGCCGCCCGGGCGTTCCCGAGTCAGCAGCATCCTCTGTGACCCGTGCACACGTATGGTGGTGCGCCGTAGTTTTCTTCTACTGTGCGGGGAGAGTGGTTTCGAGTAGTGCATCGTATTACCCAGCCCAGAATGTTGTGGAAGGGTGGAGACACCTCGGTTAAACAATATAATTGAAATAACTTATGGTTTTAGTCAGCCATGCGTAGAGATTCAACACTTGATTGTTCTGTAAGCACCCACCAGATTTGGTTCGGGAACCACAGTTGAATATTTGCGTTCTGAAAGCAGTTTATATAGGGTTCACACACTTTCAGGAGTCCGCTACGGATATTCTCTCATGACAGGGGAACCTCCTCACCCCTTCACACAAGTCTTCCAGCCTTTTCTAGCCTTTTCCCGCCTTCATCCACCTTTCCTAACCTTTAGGGCGTGGAATCCCCCCGCAAGTTACGGAGCGCGTGCTAGGGCCTGCCTTTCCCGTTCTGCTCCTCTTCACACACGGACAATAACCTTTTTGTTACCTTTCGCGGATGATTAGAAGAACCCCTGTTGCGCTCTTTCCACTTGCGTCCCGCAATTCCGCCGGCCCATGTGATCCTCGTTTCTTACGGCGACAGCGCAGCAGAACTGCTACCGCAATGTGTGCGCGTGCTTTCTCCAATGATCGCTCACGTGGCCACAAGCTGCACAGGTCAGAAGTCATGCACCTCATTAGCTGCTCCACAGTTAATGTACGCCACGTGACCCCGAGGCCACTTGCACCACTAGTGAAAGCTTGGGCCCACGAGAAACTGACGACTCTAGGTTAAATGGCAGGACCCGAATCGCGTTGTTTGTGATTCGGCTTTCCCTTTGTGATTCGGCTTTCCCTGGAAATAGCGGCGCTGAGAAACTGCAGCAATATGGATGCCACGTGGCAGCGTACTTCCAACGATAAGAGCCTAGTCGAGATAAGATGCTTCTTGCGATCTTTCCTGTCGACTACCCCCCCACTGAACATAAATATGCGCCATATTCACTCCCTCCATACTTACTGTACTACGTAATCTCACTCCTCAGCCTGTCCAAAATCCGCGGAGATCTCAATATCTTTGCTCCATAAGCACAAGCACACGAGGGCACGCGACGATTACAGCCTAGCACCCTTTCTATAGCCCGAGCGTGGCACACGGAGGAAAGGGAGTCTCACTTCAGCTCAGACCGTCACCATTTCGATTGTTGCGATTTTGCTAGCATCTAAGACCCTGCATTTTGAATCGCTTCTATATACTCCGAGTCGGAGTCGACGTAGCTCCTATCACATACGGAGCTCTACTAAGCCAGCTGCATTCGGAGTCCTCAAAACTGCGGCTTACCGTTGTCGAATCCACCAGCTACCATCATTTTCGCCCGCGCCTTGCCGTCGTCTGTAAACACGAACAAGCAATTCACTTCCCTTTCCAGACGACTAGCTTCCGCACCACCATTGCTAATCCGTGATGGCTACTGCGCGAATGGACGACCCTTCTTCGCCCGCGGCGGCTTCCGCCGACGCAGATGTTTCGGCCCATGGCGATGCTGACGTCATTATCAGTCTAATCACGTCCCGCCGTCAGCGCCGCGTTCGCCGCTCTGCGACGAGTGTACCTCTGCGGCCTCCGTCGGGTCTACCAATACCGACCTCGACTTCAGTCGACAACGTGCTTCCGCGAAGCGCCGCGTCTCGCTCTGCGCGGCGCCGAGCTGGTGCTACAAACGGCGAGACGTCAACAGCTTCCATTGCTACTACTGCCCGGCGAATGACTCAAAACGGGGAGCCTCTACCTGAGTTTTGGGCCTCGCCCGCACCTTCCAGCGCCCCTCTGAGGGATCGCAGTGCCGCTTCCCCCGGGCAGCGTCGGAATTCCACCTCAACGGAGATTCTTGCTATTGCTGAACAGCTGTTCGGGCAGCAGCGTCCTGCGAACTCGTCTGATGGAGATTTTCAGCGAAATGCTACTACCTACGCAAGACCTGCTGAGAGAATGACCGAGGGAGTGCGCGATCTGGAAGTGCTCGAGCGGCGTGGCCAAAGAACATCAGGTATGCGTGCACGAAGAGGAGGGCTTTCGGAAAGAAGGGCTGAATTACTCGTGAATCCGGCGACGGACTCAGCGCAATGGCGCAGTCAAACTGAATCTGAAGCTGACGGGTTTAGGGTACAAACAACAGACATGGGGGCGAGAGTGGAAGGCGAATCTACCGTCGATGGGAGAATGATGAATAACGTAGATGGATGGTGGGATTTCGTTGGCGAGATGGAGAGGGATATGCTGAGTGACTGTAGCCGTAGTGATTGTGGCAGCCTTCACAATTCTTGCTTCGGCAGCTTCAAGAGCACCAGCTCAGGTATCGGGCCCAGGGATTCCTCGCTGGGCAGTTCCTTCGACAGGTGCAGAATTGGAAGTGGTTCTTCTGCTAGTGCCTACCACACAAGAGGATCAGTGTTTGAACCTCTTGACCGATTCCCATACGGGAATGCCACATTGGGATTTTTTGCCTGACCTTGGACAGAAACCCATGTCAGGTGCATCACTTAGCGCGTGATATATTTGCTAGTCCTAGGCTTTCTAAAAGAAAATGTAATTACGAGAGAAGTGGGGATTTGCAGACGTTCTTGTTTATTATAGTATTAGAGTTAAATATTTTGGCCCTTATCATCTTTTAATCATCATCAAGGCGTTGGAAGAAAGGTTTTGAGTAGATCTGTTAATCACAAAAATGGTTTGTATGTAGTTGAGTTGTAGCTATCACCAGAGAAGCAAAGCTAGCATGTCTTTTAAATATCCTTGTGACTTCACACCGCACATAAATCTACCTAATTATCGAAGTCGTGCATAACGGCGCATTTCGTTCCTCGGTTTGAGGGGACGGGTCCGGTGTATCAGATGCGGATTGGCGGAATCATAACGGCGGGGATGCTTTCCGCGTTGCTTTGATTGGCTGGTGAGGTGCAGCAGTCGATCAATCCCTGATTGCCCGAAGCGGCTTGTTGCCCTGTACTGCAGCTGGCTGTTAGCGAAAACAAATGATTTTTCCGCGTTCCAGCCTGCTGCAAAGGCATCTCTCGGCGAAATGCCTCACAAAGCTCCTCCCACCAGCCATTTTAGTGGGAATGTGGGAATGCACAAACCTTCCCTTCCTCTCTTCACCAAAGTGCACTCCGTAGTGCAGGCGGTGCAGCATCCAGTCTGCTTTTGTTGTCATCATGAAGGACGATAGAGTTCATGTACGTGATCAAGTCACACGGAGTTTATGTGCTGCGGACAGGCAGAGGACACGAATTGCACAACCTGCTCATCATTCACCCGCAAACACGCCTCGGGCTTAGCCAGTTCTAGATACTCTGTATGCATGAGTGTACACTATCATGGACGAGTGTATCATAGCCAAAAGCAGGCCACATACAGCATCGGCAGAAGCGACAGGAGCGGCAGCAGCACAAGAAGGATTGTAACATCATCGCGGCCAGGACTAGGGGAGCTCTATAACTACATAAAGAGAAAAAGTTGGCTCTTATGTACCTCTGAGGCCACTCGGGCATCGGTGATTGGTTGGTTGGGATGTTGTCTGTCACTTACCGTCCCTTCCCTTCGAATCTTGCCTCCACACATCTGTTTTCGCCCTGCATCTCCAAGCATCCTCCAATCGTCGGCGACTCGCGAGTGGTTCAATCAAGCGAACCTCTCTGTTCAGAAAAGCCTGCTTTGACGCGCCTCTTCGAATCCAACAAATGCTTCGCGATGCTGGCTGTAACGCTGCCGTTTGTAACGCCTGCGCTTCGATGCCGCAGCCTCGTGTGTGCATCGACAGACGCACACCAAGGTGTACCGATGTACTGTAGTAGTGCCACCAGCGCACCATCAGTACGTGCTAGCAGCAGCGTGGCAGAGGCAGATCACTGCTTTTCGAGCCTAATTGCTAATTCCATCAGTCCACCGTCTTCGGCCCGACGAGCATCAGTCCATCCCATTCACAAGTATCAGCAGCTCCGCTGCAAGTACGGTATTAGCGCTACGCTTGACCAACACTCACATACGCCTCCCGTATCCCGTCTTCGTGCGTTCCTTTCGTCGCGACAACGTCGCATCTTGGATGTCGTGGTCGAAGCGAGAAAAGGGAATTTCAGCGAATCACCGCTTCTTGCGCAGCTGATCGCTGATCGACTTTTACAGCACTACTGTACGGCGCAGGTTCTGCTGCGAATGCTCCGTCCGAAATCTCGTTTCGTCCGTCCTCATTCAGGCAATATTCACGGCTCCTACGGTTTCCGAAGCAGCGTTTCCGCACAAGGATTATCTTTGGGGACTGCGGCTTGGAGCAGACAACTTCGCACTGACTGAAACGGGGTCTTGCTCCTGACATCCTCAAAATCTAGTTTTGAGGCGCCTCAAAACTAGACTCCTGACATCCTCAAAATCTGGGACTTCATTCGGATCACTTCACGCGCCGAGCACGACGATCACTGACCGGAGAGTCTGAAACTAAATTCGTGCGTTTTTTTCGATTTTTGAGGCGACTCAACAGTTGACGATCACTGAGCGAAGTTTCTCAAGCTGATTTCGTGAGATCCTTGAGAGTCATGGCTTCCGACACTGGCGGCGTCGCCGCGTTGAGAGAGCTACACGCTCTGGCGGCGGACGTCAACGTCAATTTTCACGTCAGCAGGCCCCCGCGACGTGTCAAGCGCCGCAACTCCGCCTTGAAACTCTCTCCCTCCCTGGAAATTCTGTCCATCGCAGAGGAGATTTTCGGCGCGCAGCTCTTGACAGAGGCACCTGACCAATCTCAGCCGCAGGATGCGACACTTCGAGGATTGTCGGTGGTAAGATCGGCGGAGAATGCGGAGGGCGATCTTAGAGCCCTTGAGGCGCTGGGACAAGCTACAGCCCGAGCGTACGAAGATGGGGAATCGTGGAGAGGGAGGACTACCGAAGAGAGGTATCCTGTTGCCTCTGAGCCTTTGGAAATCGCGGGGCGGGGAATGCGGCGTGTAAGATCGTTGCTTGGGTTTTCACAGGCGCGGGAAGCGGGAGGCGCGGGATATGGAGGGGAACGCGACGAGTTGGCGGAAGCCAGGGGTTTTTTTCCCGCGCGGAACGGGGTGGGGGATGTTGCTGGGTGGTGGAATTTCGTGGGGGAGATGGAGGGGGAGATGCGGAGTGAATGTAGCGGGAGGAGCAGCTTCGACAGCTGCACGAACTGGAGCCGCTGCAGCAGCCTGTGCGACTTGGGCAGCTGTTTCGACCCGAAGAGCTCCCCAGCCGCTAGTTCTTACAACGGGAGCCAATCAACTCGCTGGTGATTCTGCTGAAGGCTTCTACAGTGAGTAGTGCCTCTTCTGTAATGCATGTAATCCATGTATCATATGTAATAAATCCATGTATAGAGAAGCACCAATGTAGTAAGGTGGCCCGGAGGATGGCTTTTTAGACCATCCACTACCAGCTGCATTACCTCCCTCCCAATGATAAGGGCTAAAGCTGTTATGCGCTCAATCCCTCCCATCTCACAAGGAGACCGAAAGCCCTGATGTGTGCAAACTTGTGTGACGCCCGTTCTCAGGTTCAATGTGATTGCTGATAACTCTCTGCATTATAGAATCGGTAGCTGAAGGGAGGGTGGATGTGGGAAAGGGTTCAGGGAAGATGGACACAACAGGTGTTAGCATGCATTGAATGCACCACCACAAAACCTATGTAAAACAGCTGCAACCATTACAGCACCCAACACCAACCACCATTGGACCACACCCAACACCATCGCACCATGTCAAACACCATCACACAGCACCCAGCACCATCGCACCTCACCCAACACCATTGCACCAACACATACTTCATGTATGCGCCGTGCAGGAACGCGCTGGCCACAGCAGTCACGAAGAGACGGCCTCTAAGCTTCGGCTTGTGGCGCAGCGTGTTGCGCACCCGATACCATCCCACTGCACCCAACACCATCAAACCTTACTCAACCACACTATACTGCACCCACACCGTCACACCAACACATACTTCATGTATGCGCCGTGCAGGAACGCGCTGGCCACAGCAGTCACGAAGAGACGGTCACTCAGCTTGGGCTTGTGGCGCAGTGTGATGCGCACACAACACAATCCCACCGCACCCAACACCATCCCACCACACTCAACACCATTGCACCACCACGTACTTCATGTATGCGCCATGCAGGAATGCGCTAGCCACAGCAGTCACGAAGAGGCGGTCCCTCAGCTTGGGCTTGTGGCGCAGCGTGATACGTACTGCCGGGGAGAGGTGCGGGAGAAGCAGAGCCAGGGGAATGGCGGGGGGGGATTTCTGAGGTTCATCAAAAGTTTCCTCAGCTTGGGCTTGTGGCGCAGCGTGATGCGTACTGCCGGAGAGGCGGGAGAGGCGAGACAAAACAAGCCCAGGGGAAAGGAAGGAAGAGTCCGTGGGGAGGGAATAGCGGGAGGGCGGCGCATGAGAGAAGGAGCGCGAGCAGCAACGAAGAACCGTCTTGCTGACGTAATTTGAGATATCGTCCGTGGTGCGGGGGGAATGCAGAGAGTCCGGAAGAACAGTTGTAGGTGGGTGGGGGTTGCGCGGGTTGTGCGGGACAGGCTCGAGAGGAATGGCGGGCAAGAAAGTACTTAGTGGGAAGAGAGACGCGTAGAGGATGGGCGTGATGAGTGAGGATGGGCGTAATGAGTGAGTTTTGAGTCGACTCGAAACTCGACTTATCACACACGGCGGGCAAGGAAGTACTTAGTGGGAAGAGAGGCGCGTAGAGGATGGGCGTGATGAGCGAGTAGTCAGGCGCCTTGGAGAACCGACGCGCGGGTTGAATGGCCTCTGCCCTGCGATCATGGTACACAGGCGCGGGAAACGGAGACACGGGGAACGGGGAAACGAGGAACGGGGAAACGAGGACGTCACTTCTGTGTCTATGTCGGGGTACGCGTCGTGGTTGCATGCGTCACGTCAGCGCGCATGCTTCGGGTAGAATCTGGAATCATGAAAGAAATTCTGACCCTGTGGATGGAGCCGCACTCGCCGCCGCGACTGACGCCGCCGCGTCTTGCGCAAACGCCGCCATGGTGTAGAAGGGTGAAACGAGAACTCGGCCCGGAGTACTAGGGTTGGTAAATCGCCGCCTCGACGAATTGTCGTGGATCCCGCAGAGTAACCTCCAACACTGCGCAGTAGTCACGACGATGTAGTGTTAGCCGTCACGCTCGCACCAACCACTAGCTGGTGCGAGTTGTCTGCTCGTGTAAGTTTCCCAACACCCACTCAGCAGAATGGTTCTTGTTCCGTCTGCCCTGGCGGGTTTTCTTTCTACCAATTGGCGTGGCGCGAGGGGATTGGGCGTTCAACCACGGGCGAACGGACGGACGGATGTCACGGATTGAGGAACGCGAATAGCAGGATGGGAAATTGGTTTGTGGGATGTGTTAGCAGCGCAGGGTGTGCGTTGGGCTGGCAGCAGCTGAGCAGATGTGAGATGGCAGGGTCGTGCCTTCGCTGGAAATGTCGAATGCGCGAGCCTTCTGCAGGTGCTTCGGGCTGTATTCGATAGTAAATGGCTCGCACGAAAAATGCAGTCCCACAAACCAAAAATGCACGAAAAATGCAGTCTGCACGGGGTCGCTCTGCCTAGGGGCTGGCCACAAAAGACGGGGGGGGCCTGAGGGTGCGCTCCAGAGCCCACGCATCTGTCGCCTCCGCCACGAAGACATTCTGTGCCTCTTCGGCAAACCACCCAAGAGGCGGTGTTTTGAAGCGAACCGCCCGATTTCAGCAATTACAGGTGGACAATCCCCCAAGAACCCCCCCAGCAACCGGGCTGGCCAGAGCGGCGTCTCAGAGCCTTCGGCCGTCAACGAAGAGGGGGGAGAAGCAATGGGCGACAAGAGTCTGGCCGCCGATGTGGCATTGGAGGCTGCGAGGGCAGCTTGGGAAGAGCATCGTAGGCGCTTGCAACAACAGCACAACACTCGCAGGAGTGGCCTACCTGAGAGCGTAACGCGGCACAGTGCCTGCTCGACCGACGTCGACTCTCCCCTAGTCGTGCCACGTCTCGCACGGCGGCAGGAATGGCGGCGTCGGAGGGCGGCAGGAAGAGACAGGCAACGGGAGCCGCCGGTGGGGGGCCGGTGGGACCTGCAGGCGGGCGGACAGCAGGGGAGCCGGGAAAGAGGCCGACAGCCGCCGGAGGGGACGAGGCAGCAGCGGCTGCAGAGCGGAGGGCAGCATGAGCTGCAGGGCGGAGGGCAGCAGCAGCTGCAGAGCGGAGGGCAGCAGCAGCTGCAGAGTGGGGGGCAGCAGCAACTGCAGAGCGGAGGGCAGCAGCAGCTGCAGAGTGGGGGGCAGCAGCAGCTGCAGAGCGGAGGGCAGCAGCAACTGCTGCAGAGCGGAGGGCAGCATGAGCTGCAGGGCGGAGGGCAGCAGCAGCTGCAGAGCGGAGGGCAGCAGCAACTGCAGAGCGGAGGGCAGCAGCAGCTGCAGAGCGGAGGGCAGCAGCAGCTGCAGAGCGGAGGGCAGCAGCAGCTGCAGAGTGGGGGGCAGCAGCAACTGCTGCAGAGCGGAGGGCAGCATGAGCTGCAGAGTGGAGGGCAGAGGCAGCTGCAGAGCGGAGGGCAGCAGGAGCTGCAGAGTGGAGGGCAGCGGCAGCTGCAGAGCGGAGGGCAGCAGCAACTGCTGCAGAGCGGAGGGCAGCATGAGCTGCAGGGCGGAGGGCAGCAGCAGCTGCAGTGCGGAGGGCAGCAGCAGCTGCAGAGCGGAGGGCAGCAGCAGCTGCAGAGCGGAGGGCAGCAGCAACTGCTGCAGAGCGGAGGGCAGCATGAGCTGCAGGGCGGAGGGCAGCAGCAGCTGCAGAGCAGAGGGCAGCAGCAGCTGCAGAGCGGAGGGCAGCAGCAGCTGCAGGGCGGAGGGCAGCAGCAGCTGCAGGGCGGAGGGCAGCAGCAGCTGCGGAGTGGAGGGCAGCGTCAGCTGCAAAGCAGAGCACAGCAGGAGCTGCAGAGGGGAGGGCAGCATGAGCTGCGGAGTGGAGAGCAGCAGGAGCTGCAGAGTGGAGAGCAGCAGGAGCTGCAGAGTGGAGAGCAGCAGGAGCTGCAGAGTGGAGAGCAGCAGGAGCTGCAGAGTGGAGGGCAGCAGGAGCTGCAGAGTGGAGGGCATCAGGAGGAGCAGAGTGGAGGGCAGCAAGAGACATTGTGGGTGAGCGATGTGGAGATGGTGGACGAGGCAGGCACCGACGAGCTGGAATCAAGCCCCATGGAGGGGGAGAATGCCAACCCCGACTCCTCGGACCAAGCGGAAAGGCCCCGAGTGCGGGGGCGGGTCCGGAGGCGACGGGCAACCAAACTGCTACAGCTGCAGAGCGGAGGGCAGCAGCAACTGCTGCAGAGGGGAGGGCAGCAGCAGCTGCAGAGCGGAAGGCAGCAGGAGCTGCAGAGCGGAGGGCAGCGGCAGCTGCAAAGAGGAGATCAGCAGCTGCTGCAGAGTGGAGGGCAGCAGGAGCTGCAGAGCCGAGAGCAGCAAGAGCTGCGGAGTGGAGAGCAGCAGCAGCTGCAGAGTGGAGGGCAGCAGGAGCTGCAGAGTGGAGGGCAGGAGGAGCTGCAGAGCGGAGGGCAGCAAGACCCACTGGGGGAGTTGGATGTGGAGATAGAGGCCGAGGCATACACCGACGAGCTGGAATCAAGCCCCATGGAGGGTGAGAATGCCAACCCCGACTCCTCGGACCAAGCGGAAAGGCCCCGAGTGCGGGGGCGGGGCCGGAGGCGACGGGCAACCAAACTACTACAGCTGCAGAGGGGAGGGCAGCAGCAGCTGCAGAGCGGAGGGCAGCAGGAGCTGCAGGGCGGAGGGCAGCAGCCCAATCAGAGCGGAGGGCAGCAGAGCAGGCGGAGGGCAGCAGCTGCGGAGGGCAGCAGCAGCTGCAGAGCGGAGGGCAGCAGGAGCTGCAGAGCGGAGGGCAGCAGCCCAATCAGCAGCAGAGGGCAGCAGCAGCTGCAGAGCGGAGGGCAGCAGCCCAATCAGAGCGGAGGGCAGCAGCAACTGCAGAGCGGATGGCAGCGGCAGCTGCAGAGCGGAGGGCAGCAGGAGCTGCAGAGCGGAGGGCAGCAGCCCAATCAGAGCGGAGGGCAGCAGCAGCTGCAGAGCGGAGGGCAGCAGCAGCTGCAGAGTGGAGGGCAGCAGGCAGCAGGGCAGCAGCTGCAGAGCGGAGGGCAGCAGCAGCTGCAGAGCGGAGGGCAGCAGCAGCTGCAGAGCGGAGGGCAGCAGCCCAATCAGAGCGGAGGGCAGCAGCAGCTGCAGAGCGGAGGGCAGCAGGAGCTGCAGAGCGGAGGGCAGCAGCAGCTGCAGAGCGGAGGGCAGCAGCAGCTGCAGAGCGGAGGGCAGCAGCAGCTGCAGAGCGGAGGGCAGCAGCAGCTGCAGAGTGGAGGGCAGCAACAGCTGCAGAGCGGAGGGCAGCAGGAGCTGCAGAGCGGAGGGCAGCAGCAGCTGCAGAGCGGAGGGCAGCAGCAACTGCTGCAGAGCGGAGGGCAGCATGAGCTGCAGAGCGGAGGGCAGCATGAGCTGCAGGGCGGAGGGCAGCAGCAGCTGCAGAGCGGAGGGCAGCAGCAACTGCAGAGCGGAGGGCAGCAGCAGCTGCAGAGCGGAGGGCAGCAGCAGCTGCAGAGCGGAGGGCAGCAGCAGCTGCAGAGCGGAGGGCAGCAGGAGCTGCAGAGCGGAGGACAGCAGAAGCTGCAGAGCGGAGGGCAGCAGCCCAATCAGAGCGGAGGGCAGCAGCAGCTGCAGAGCGGAGGGCAGCAGCCCAATCAGAGCGGAGGGCAGCAGCAACTGCAGAGCGGAGGGCAGCAGCAGCTGCAGAGCGGAGGGCAGCATGAGCTGCAGGGCGGAGGGCAGCAGCCCAATCAGAGCGGAGGGCAGCAGCAGCTGCAGAGCGGAGGGCAGCAGCAGCTGCAGAGTGGAGGGCAGCAGCCCAATCAGAGCGGAGGGCAGCAGCAGCTGCAGAGCGGAGGGCAGCAGCAGCTGCAGAGTGGAGGGCAGCAGCCCAATCAGAGCGGAGGGCAGCAGCAGCTGCAGAGCGGAGGGCAGCAGCGGCTGCAGAGTGGGGGGCAGCTGCAGCTGCAGTGCGGAGGGCAGCAGCAGCTGCAGAGCGGAGGGCAGCAACAGCTGCAGAGCGGAGGGCAGCAGCAGCTGCAGAGCGGAGGGCAGCAACAGCTGCAGAGCGGAGGGCAGCAGGAGCTGCCCGATGGGGTGCAGCTTGCGAGGCTGCCAGAGGGGGAGATGGAGATGGAGTCGAGCAGACAGGTCTTGCCGGCGTGTTCGAGTGGAGAGGAGCACCCAGACCCTATGCTGACACCCCCGCCCCGCATCCCGTGCGAAACCTGTTATCGCACTTTCACGGAGAGAGGAAAGGCCACGCGTCATATGTCGGCCTGCAGGGCAGCGGACGCCAAGCGCCGTGCACAGGCGCTTGGGTTGACCCGCGACGTCACAGACGACTCGGACAGCGAACCTCCGCCACCACGGGATATCAGTGAAGAGGTGTGGGCCGCAGTTCCCACATGGGACTGGGAGTCGTTTTTCGGGATCGAATTGGTGCCAGGGAGAATCATGCGTCGCATCCCACAGCGCGCAAGACTGGGGGTGCTTGATGCACTAGCTTGTATCCTGAAGCGGCTCAAGTCAAAGGCAGCAGACGAGGCGGCATCCTTGGTGTTTTTGGCCTTCCCTCGTCTTTTCTTGGGGATTCCAACCGGGCAAGGCCAGGGGCAGAGGGCGGCAATTAGGGAGCGGTTGGAGAAGTTTTGGGCTGGGGAGTGGCAGCAGCTGTTTGAGTTGGCGGTGGCGGCGATGCAACCTGCGGCTCGCCCCTTGTCCTTCACCCCACCCGAGCATGATCCTGATGCCGTGCGCCTATCCCGCTGCCGTACAAGGTGCAAAGTGGGAGAATGGAGTCGGGGTTTGGCGTGCCTTACGGCTGGTAGCATCGCTCAGCCCTCTCAGCACATGGTGGACGCGCTACGAGCGAAACACCCATCGTGCGAGTCCGCCATTCCTGGGTGGGTGCAGGAGGAGACAGTCGAGCCTTCCCTTATCCCACAGCTTTCAGTGGAGGTACTCGGCCAGGCGATCCACTCAGCGGCTAGGGCGTCCGCACCAGGACCGTCGGGGTGGGTGACGGAGCACCTGCGCGACACTTTTCTCTCTGAGCCCGCGTATCTGTCCCACCTGCTAGAGGTCTTCACCCAGTGGACCAAGGGAGAGGTAGCGGAGCGCGTGCGACCCTGGCTCACTGCGTCCAACTTGGTGGGCCTGTCGAAGCCGAATGGTGACGTTCGCCCGGTGGCTATAGGCGAGGTGCTCCCCCGCATACTATCTCGGGCCATATGCATCGTGCTTCGCCCGAAGATGATGTCGCACTTTGCTCCGTGTAACCAGTTTGGAGTCGGGTCCAGGTCGGGAGTGGAAGTCCTCGCACATGCCTTTCGCTCCGCCATCTCTACTCACCCGTCGTGGTGTGCGCTGCAAATTGACGTGGCGAACGCTTTCAACTCCTTCCATCGGCGGGAAATGTTTGAGGGTCTTCGACAGTCGCCTTTCAAGGGATTGATTCCATTTCTGCGTGTCTTCTACGGCACTCCTAGCGACCTCTATCTCCGAGCGGGCCCTTTTGTCGAAGCTTTGGCTTCCGAGCGGGGCTCGAGGCAAGGGGATCCATTGGGTCCGTTTCTGTTCGCGTTCACACAGCAGCTGGTTATGGAACCAACCAAAACGGAGTACGCCGACTTACTCTTCCTCAGCTATGCTGACGATACGTATATCCTGGGGCCTAGGGAACGGGTTCTAGCAGCCTATGAGGCCTTGCGGGAACGACTGGACGGGCTGGGTTTGGAGGTGCAGCCGCATAAGTGTAAGCTATGGGAGCGAGGGAGGGACCAGGATGGGGAGGAGAGAAATGAGACTGTCCCGCCCGGCATGCAGCAGACATGGACGGGGCTCACTGTGGTAGGGGTGCCCATTGGGGAGGAGGACTGGGAGGTGGCTAGCCTGCGTCGCCGGCTGACGGAGCTGCATGCACCTGTCCCCTGGCTTCCTCTGCTTGACCACCCACAGATTGCGTCCCATTTGTTGGCGATCGCAGTGTCGGCGCGCCCGATCTACCTCACACGGACGATGCCTCCACGACCTGAGGTTGTGGAGGCTTTTCGGGACTGGGACACGAAGCTGGAAGATTGTTTCGAGGAGCTGTTTCCAGATAGTACCTGGGATCACGATTCGGGGAAGTCCCAGATGGCTCGTTTACAGCTGCACCTTCCTGCCAGACTCGGGGGGTTCGGCATTCGATCTGCGGCTGACCTTAGTCCTCTGTCGTATGCATGTGGCTGGTGCCAAGCAGTGAGCGATGTGGCTCGGTTGGGGGTGGCAGGTGAGGAGCGGATGTTTGAGGAGTTTTTCCGCACGCCCGAGGCTACGACCTTGTTGGACCCCTGGTTTGCGAGAGCAGTGGATCTGCTTCCACAGTCGGTTCGGCAGGAGATGCCACCCCTTGCCTTGTGCACCGCTGATCCGCCTATGCTGCTCTTCCCCACACAACACCGTCGCCTGGCGGTTGAGAGCCTCCAATCTCTTCGAGGCATGGCCCACAACGATGCCACCCTGGCCCGTTTGACATCCCTTCAGGGCCCGGGGGCTGGGGCGTGGGTTTCTGCCGTTCCTTCGCACGAGGAGGCTACCTTCACCGCAGCCGAGTGGAGCATCTGCGCGTCCATGCGCCTAGGCCTCCCTATTCAGCAGCTGATAGTGGCCGGCAAGTGCGCGTGTGGGTTTGAGTTTGCTGATCCCTCTGACCCGCATCATGCCCTTCGCTGCAAGTATCAGTATGCACCTTCTCGGGTTCACGATGCGGTTAAATTTGTGGTGGCGAAGATAGCTAAGGGTGCGGGTGGGATTGTGACCATGGAAGACGACACGTTGCTCCCAGGGAAGAGGGTTGATGTGGCGGTTCGGAAACTGAGGGAGGGGGAGGAGCACGCGCTGGAGGTTAGTGTGGTAGATCCTATCTCGCTATCCGCGCAGCACCATGGACAGATTGGTCGCAAGGTGGGTTTTGCCGCGAGAGAGAGAGAAAAGCGGAAGACGGCGGACTACAAATCGCTTCTACAGCGGCATGGGGGAGTGCAGTTCACACCACTCATTGCTGAGACATGGGGATGCTTGGGGGGGAGTTTTGGACGGTGGCTTAAGAAGCAGGGTGACGCGCAGATCGAGATAGCAAAGACGAAAGGGGCGGCGCGAGCTACGGGAAAGGGTTTCTCGGCTTATTTGCTCGGATCGCTCAAAGCGGCTGTGGGTGTGGCTTTGCAACGGGCTCAGGCGCGTGTGATCTTGTTACGCGCTGCGTCGATGATGAGAGGCCCAGAGGCTGTTTGGGTGGAGCGGGAGGATGTTGAGGAGGAGATGGGATGGGATGCTCCGTGGGCGGATGCACCATACTTGGTAGACATGCGGGTTTAGGGAGTGGGTTTAGGGGGGGAGGTTTGGTTCGATGGGAGTGCAGTTGGGGTGCTTTGATGGGAGGGCTTGATGGTGTTTTAAATGTGTGTGCTATTGGGGTTTTCTTGGGGTTGTGTGTGCTACTTTTTCTTCCTTCTTCCCTGTTTTTCTTCCTCCTATCATTTTTCCCCTATTCCCCTCATTCTTCCTCTCCTCTCTCCTTTTTTCTACTCACGTTATTCCTCCTTTTCTCCTCTCTTCCCGTTTCCACTCCTTTTCCTTGCGTAATTATGCTACATTGTAACAGATAGTACCTCGATTGCTATCCAAAAAAAAAAAAAAAAAAAAAAACAGTCCCAGCCAGTTTGCGGTGTAGTTCTTCGATACAAACATATGTTTCAGTGTATACATCATTTCCTTCACCCTGTCTGTCGGGAGAATACCACATGCTGAATATCCAGTATGATGGTGTAGCGCAATCCAACAAAGAATCATAAACCTTAGGAAGGGCAAAATTGGGGGTTATTTTGGCTGAACAATACAAGGCGCAAAATCATTCACCAACCACATCTGGTGGTTGGTTCGAGCCAGGAGAACCACCGCACTGACCACAGTCAGCCGCATAGGTCCGTCGACTCATCATCCAAACACGTGAATGACGCGAGTCTATTTGTCTGGGCGAACGAGAAGGCTGGAAGCCGGGCTTTGACAACCACAGCGCAGGCCGGACGAAATGCAGACTTCAAGAAAAAAATGAAGCCAGAAGGGAGAAAACGTCGAAGGGCTTGCATATCCCGGGTGCAGTAGTCACAGTGCAAGCATCCTCAGCGATCCAACTCGACAATATTTCGACTGCCAGTCGGACAATTTCGCGAGTAAAGACTGTCGCGCGAGTCGAGGCTATTGCGCGAGTCTAGATGCGATGCCAGAGTGGTACATCGTGTCGTGATGCGTCTCCGATTCCTTCAGCATCTCCCGCAGCTTCCGCGCTTTCTCTGCCGTGAAAACCGGCGCATTTCCCGCGTTAATCTGCACCGGGATCGACCCATCCGGCCCGCGGTGAACCAGGGCTTTCTTATTCGCTTTCTTTGGAGTGATGCTTAATCCGGGAAGCGTGCGTTGCGGCGCGACTGGCGGAATCCTCAGAAGCCGGTTCGCCCGAAGGGAACCAGCCGCGTCAGTCTCAGCAGGAGCGCTGGCCGCATTTGGCGGGGAGGCGAGCGAGCGATGAGGGCGATGAAAATCGGGCGTCGCCGGGGGTACGTTCTGCGAATCGCTAGGATTCGCCAGCCAGTGTTGCGACGAGTCGAACGACGAATCGGAATGCGGCCACGAGGGGCCCATCACCGCCATCGTCGTCGTGCTGGCGGGCCTAGCAGCACCGTTGCCTGACAGAGAGGTGTCGCCCGTCGAGTCGCATGCTGCGGGAAGTCGCGAGCTAAGCTGCACGCCAAGAAAGGCCGACGGGGAGAGAGGTGTGGTTGCCATAATCGAAAATGAGTAACAGCTTGATTGATTACAGAATCGCGAAGGTTTGAAATGAAGAAGCGAGTCCTACAGGCGTCGCGTGGATTGAGATAAAGCGTTATTGTTGGTTATTTGGTGGAGCTGACACTGAAGGAGAATATATGACTAGATGCAGATGGGGGGGAAATCAGTGCATGTCATGTCGACTCTATCGTCAGGCACATTCAAAATTGGATGTGCGACCAGGCGGTGCGCGCGAGTTGAGAGGAAATTCGAGTCGCCGAATTGGGAATACGAGGCGCACATGCGAGCAGAATGTACCATTGGCTGCGGATGATTTGATGGGCACTTCCCCGTTACGACATGCGAAGCCGAAGACGAGACACCATGCCGTTTCTCGAAAGCCCGCGAAAGCTGGTGGTGACAGTCCCCTTTTTCGCAGCGCCTGGACGCGGTGCTTGATTGGCTCGTGTGTAGTCTCGAAATATCCAGCTATGCGTAGTTCCGACGCAGGCATTGACAAACGCGGGAAGAGAGGACTACACTTGCACTTATTCTTACAGAAAGGCTTATTGCACATACAGTACAAGCAACAACGGCGAGCACTTACATCCATAATTAGAAGCCATTGCCGGCTACTTCGCCAAGCAATGCTGTAAAAGGTAAATGAACAAATAATTGTGTTGCAGAAAACAGCGGCATTCCAAAGGGCTCTCTAGAAAACATTCGCGTTGGTATTAGTTCATTTGAGGGTGTTTGAGCGCTCAGACGTCCATTGAGGAGCGGCGGCCCTGCTGATGCTGAGCAGAGCCACTGTACGCTCCTCTTTGCCGAGACGCCTGAAGCAATGGGGGTAGGGCGGGGGGGGGGGGGGGGGGGGGGGGGGGGGGAGACACCTTTTTGGACTGTAAGCCCATCACCAACCCTAAACCTCCCACCCCACCTGCCTACAAGAAGCAACTGACATACATTGCAGAAAGCACACACAGAAACGGCAGCACACACGCACACACACACCCCTACATCCAACCCCACCAGTCCATGCATGCAATGATGCAAAGCACATCCCCACCCCCACACGCATGCACGCACACAACGTTTCACCTGCGCCCAGCCACTGCCACTCCCAGCACTTTAGAGCCGACTAAGAGAATCAATGTGTCTCTCACCTGCTCACCTGCACAACCAGCCCACACGATGTCTCACTCGCGCCCAGCCACTGCCACTCCCAGCAATATAGAGCCAACAAAGAAAATCACTGTGTATCTCACCGCTCTCTGCTGCTGCCACTCCCAACCCTCCCCTGCTCACCTGCTCACCTGCTCGATCCGCCCACACGATGTCTCACCTGCCCCCTGCCACTGCCACTCGCATCACCCGTTTTTGTACTTGAGGCGTCTTAAAAACACACCCGCACCCCCACATGCACATGCGCACCCCCACATGCTCATGCGTACCCCCACATGCACATGCGCACCCCCACATGCTCATGCGCACCCCCACATGCACATGCGCACCCCCACATGCACATGCGCACACACAATATCCCACCTGCTCTCTGCCGCTGCCGCTCCCAACACCCGATTCATCTTGCAGCTTTGACAGCCGATGACCCGCTGCCGTTGCTCTCCCTCCCGCTTCCCTCCCCCCTCGGCCCTCCACCTCTCGCCCTTCCCTCCCCTCCATATCCCGCGCCATCCTCCCCTCCACCCTTCCTTCAGCCCTCAAGTCACCCCGTGCGTCCATGTCACGAGCTGTAGGAGAGTCGTCAAGAGAGAAGAGACTGCCACCTGCCCCACCCCCCACCTCCACCTCCACCGCCGCCGCCGCCGCCGCCACTGCCTGCTGCTCGAGCCGCTTCCCTATTCCTGCGCCTGCAGTGTGGAGAGTGGTAGGAATGGGTGGAGAAAGGGAGCAAGGAGGGTTGAAAACACAACAACAGAGGCCACAGAGGGGATAAGATCATCTAAAGAGGGATAGCGGAAGAGAGGTACAATCGCAAGAGCACACAGCATTCCAAGAATTCAGCACATTCTGGTCCACCAAGACGTGTTTTGAGACGTCTCATAACATTCCAGGCATTCAGCACATTCTGGTCCACCAAGACGTGTTTTGAGACGTCTCATAACATTCCAGGCATTCAGCACATTCTGGTCCACCAAGACGTGTTTTGAGACGTCTCATAACATTCCAGGCATTCAGCACATTCTGGTCCACCAAGACGTGTTTTGAGACGTCTCATAACATTCCAGGCATTCAGCACATTCTGGTCCACCAAGACGTGCTTTGAGACGTCTCATAACATTCCAGGCATTCAGCACATTTCTGGTCCACCAAGACGTGTTTTGAGACGTCTCATAACATTCCAGGCATTCAGCACATTCGGATCCACCAAGACGTGTTTGAGACGTCTCAAAACATTCCAAGCATTCAGCACATTCGGATCCACCAAGACGTGTTTTGAGACGTCTCAAAACATTCCAAGCATTCAGCACATTCGGATCCACCAAGACGTGTTTTGAGACGTCTCAAAACATTCCAAGCATTCAGCACATTCGGATCCACCAAGACGTGTTTTGAGACGTCTCAAAACATTCCAAGCATTCAGCACATTCGGATCCACCAAGACGTGTTTTGAGACGTCTCAAAACATTCCAAGCATTCAGCACATTCGGATCCACCAAGACGTGTTTTGAGACGTCTCAAAACATTCCAAGCATTCAGCACATTCGGATCCACCAAGACGTGTTTTGAGACGTCTCAAAACATTCCAAGCATTCAGCACATTCGGATCCACCAAGACGTGTTTTGAGACGTCTCAAAACATTCCAAGCATTCAGCACATTCGGATCCACCAAGACGTGTTTGAGACGTCTCAAAACATTCCAAGCATTCAGCACATTCGGATCCACCAAGACGTGTTTTGAGACGTCTCAAAACATTCCAAGCATTCAGCACATTCGGATCCACCAAGACACATTCAGCAATTAGAGTGGGCAAAGTGAGAGGCTCACAAGGGGTCGGGCTGGGCTTGAGCGCCAGGAAGCAGATTACCAAACTTGAACTCCGCTCCACTGCCCTCCACCTCCATCCCCCCCCCCTCCCCCTCCTCCCACACCCCCCCCTCCCCTCCCTCCCTCCTCCTCCCCCCTCCTCTCATCCCCCTCCCCCCCTCCCTCCCCCCTCCCCTCCCCAACCCTCCTCCTCCCCCCATTCCCATTCCTCCTCCCCCATCCGCCCCCCGCCGCTGCCCCCCCGCCACTCCCCTCCCCCAGGTCAAACTCCCCCTGGAAGATATTTCTGCCCGCAACGCCGGGCGGGAGAGAGTGGGGGATGTAACAGCAGAGCTAGACCCGTAGACCTCGTCAAACCACGAGTCACGTCCCCAAGCCCTCCCCCCATCCCTCCCCCCATCCCGCCTCCCCCCATTCCCATCCCCCCCATGCCTCCTCCCCCCATCCCGCCTCCTCGACCCATACCCCCCCCCACCCATTCCCCCTCCCATCCCTCCACCGAATCCCTTCCCCCCCCATGCTGCTGCTGGCACCACCACTGCCGCCGCCCCTCATCCCCATCCCCATTCCCATCCCCATCCCCATGCTTCCACTTCCCCCACCTACCCCTCCCCCCATTCCCCCTCCTCTCGCGCCTGGCCCCACTCCTCCACCCGAACCTCCTCCCATCATGTCTCCCGTGCCTCCGAGGCTGCTTCGGGGGCTAGGTCTGGACCAGGGCCCTTCCAACCCTAACCCCCGCCCATCATCTCATCGATATCAAAGCTCTCCCGACCCATGCTCGCCGAAGCAAACGACGAGGCTCGGGACATAATCGCATCCGGCGGGAAATTCAACAGCGGCCCGTTCTGATCCAATCGCACGCCGCCACCTGGCGGAATCCCCACCCCCCCCTCCCCTCTCCCTCCCGCCCCTCCCCTCCCTCCCACGCCATCCCTCCTCCCCCCTTCCCCTCTCCCTCCCCTCCCTCCCCTCCCGAAATCCCGAAATCCCGCTCCCACCACCACTCCCCGCCCCGCGCCAGGCCCGCTCCCTGCCCCACTATTCGCCCCATTTCTCGAAAAACTCAGCAGATTCTTCTTGAGTTGACTAACATGCCTGGCGTCATCATTCAACTCCCTAACGTGCTGGTCAAGCGTGGCTTTAAGATCCGTCAGGTGCTGGATGCGGCGGCGTCTGTCGTCCTCATCTGAGACCTCCTGGGCGGCAGCCATCTGGCGCTGCCAGTCCTGCCGGGCGGCTTCGATGACAGCCTGGCGCTCCTTGAGGTACTTCTGCTGCTCCGCTGCAAACAGCTTCGCTTGCTCCACCATAGATGCCCGCTCACTGTTGCCCAAGAGGGGAGAGGAAGGGAAAAAGGTGTGATGTGAGGTGTGATGTGTGATGGGCTCAGTATGCATTCCAAATAGATGCCCACTTTTGCAGTCACCACCAGCCTAGCAGTCACCACCAGCCTAGCAGTCACCACCAGCCTAGCAGTCACCACCAGCCTTGCAGTCACCACCAGCCTTGCAGTCACCACCAGCCTTGCAGTCACCACCAGCCTTGCAGTCACCACCAGCCTTGCAGTCACCACCAGCCTTGCAGTCACCACCAGCCTTGCAGTCACCACCAGCCTTGCAGTCACGCATGAATACCAAAAGTAGATTCACCCGAAGGGCACCTGACAACCCGCCTTAAGGGCACCTGACGACCCACCTGAAGGGCGCATGGCAACCCACCTGAAGGGCACATGGCAACCCACCTGAAGGGCACCTGACGACCCACCTGAAGGGCACGCCTTCCTCATCAAGAGCTCGTCTCCGTTGTCTATCCCCTTCCTGCCGCCCCCTGCCCTGAACTCCCTATCCGCTAGCTCCTGCACATGCGCACACAGGTCAAACAGAAAGAGATGGAAATTAGAAGCAGCAAGAGAGGTTGAAAGGGGTTGAGAGGGGTTCAGTGGAGTTGAGAGGGCATTGCAAGGGACTGAAAATGGTTGAGAGGAGCTGAAAGGGCTCACCAGCTCCGATCCTGACTCGCTCCACTCGGAGTAATAATCCGCCACGTCATTCGGCTGCCGGGCCGCCTTCTGGCTGTTGCGATTCCGCGACCGTCTCTGCCCCGGCTTCGCCCCCCCGCGCCCCATCCAGTCCCCCGCCAGCCCCGCCCCCTCCCCCTCCCCCCCTGGGCCCCCCAGTGTCAACCTCGGGAGCTCCGAGGAACTTTCCCCGAAGTTGCTCCCAGAATCGTCTGGGGATCCCAGCGGGTGTGGCCCTAGGCCTACTCCTCCTCCTCCTCCTGCTACTGCTGCTCCTTGCCCTTCTGCCCCTCCCACTCCTGCGCCGGCCCCTGCTGCTCTCTCCCCCCGCCTTCCCCCTCCCCCGCCATCTCTTCTTCCCCCACATCCAACCCACCAGCCCCATCCGCCCCTACCTCTCCGCGCTCCCCCTCTCTCCCCCCGCTCCCCCCCCCTGCGCCCCAAGCAGCAGCGCCTCCCCCTGTGGCGTCCGGGGGGAGAGAGTCAACATCCTTCTTGCTATCGGCCTCATCCGATCGATCCGGCTCAGCACTCCCCAGAGGACTCGCTCCACTCACACCCACCTCACCACCCCCGCCACCCCTGCCCCTGCCTCTGCCCCTGCCGCTCCCTGCTCCGGCTGCTGCGCTCCTGCTGCGTTGGCTTTCTCGTGCTGGTGATGATGCTCCCGGTCGTGTTGCCCCTCCAGCTGCTCAGGCTCTTCAACATAGACCCTCCCTCCTCCTCCACCGGCCTTCCTCGCCCCTGCCCCAAATCCAAACCCTCCCCTTCCTCCTCCTCTTCTTCCTCCTCATCCTCCTCCCCTTCACCCTCCTCCTCTCCCTCTTCCCCGTCGCCACCCTCCCTTCTCCTCCCCACTCCCTTCCCTCTGCCTCTCCTTCCTCTGTCCTCCCCTGTACCCGGTTCAAACTCCCTACTAGCGCTCAACCCATGACTAAGACTCACATCAGACTCTCCTCCACTCCTCAGCTCGTCCAACCAAGACCCGCCCACATTACCCCCACCCATTCCCCTACCCCCCCGCCCATCCCTCCCATCCCTCCTCCGCCTCCCACTCTCCCTCTCGCTCCTCCCGCTGCACCTCTCCCGCTCATACCCTCCCCACTCCCACCCACCTTCTCATTAGCTACCTCTAGAAGCCGGAACCCCCCTCCACTCCCCCCACTCCCATCCATCAACTCATCCCCACCCCCCCATCCCACCCCCCATCCCACCCCCCATTCCGCCAAACATCCCCCCTCCGCCCCCACCCACCCCCCTCCCATCCCCCTTACCCCGCCCGAACCTAACCCGCCGAACCCAACCTGCTGGTGCGGGTTCCGATTCGCACCCCTCCCCCCTCGCTGCTTCCCATCCTCTCCCCCCACACCACCCCCTCTCCCCTCCACCCCACTAGACTCACTCTCCAACGCATTACTCAGCAGATTCCTCCTCTGCTCGTACTGCCGTCTCACCTTCGCCTCCTCCTGAGCCATAAGCTCCCTCCAGCCTCGCCGCATCTCCCTCTCCTCAGCCTTCAACTCTCTACTCAGAATCTCCAGCCGTCTCACTCTCTCCTCCTCTACTTTCTCTCCTCAGAGTCACCTCCATTTCCCTCCGCATAGCCTCTAACCTAATCTGCAGGTCCACTCTCAAGACTCCACCTCTTTCCACCTTAATATCCAGCTCAATCTCATACCTCTCTAAAGCATGCTTCGCCTCCCGTCTCAGTCTCAGCTTCTCCCGCTCCAGCCGCACGCTCAGATCCGTTCTAAACGCCTCTAGAGCATGCGAAGCCCGCAGTTCCATTTCCTGCCTCTGCCGCTTATACTCTCTCTCAATCCTCACCAAGTCTCTCTTGCTGCTCTCTCTCGACCTCACCTCCCTCTCCTCTGCCGCCACTGTCGCCAGCATTCTCTCTCTATACTCCCTCACCTCCTCCTCTACCCGCCTCTTCATTTCTTTCTTCTTCATCCGCCGCCCTTCTCCTCCCGCTGCTGCACCCACCCCACGCCTCCTGCTGCTCTGGTTCCATTTCATCCCATTCCTTCCTCATCTGCCCCAGACTCTCCTCCCTCTCACTTGCAATCTGCTTTCTCAACGACGCATCCATGACTTTTCGGGCAGCTTGCAGCCGAACTGCCCGTTCCTCCTCGAGCAATTTTCCAATCTGCCCGTCCACCTCAGCGACCTTCTGCTCCCAGATCTTCCGCTCGATCTCCTCCTCCTTCTCCCTTCTCAACTTCTCATACCCCTCCGCCACGTCAGCATCCACTTTCCGCGCCAGCTCAGCGAGCCGCTCCTTTCTTGGCCTCCCATCGCCAATAAGTTCCTCTCCATCTCCTCCCACCGCCTCTCCTTTTCTCTCTCAACCTCTCTTCCATTCCTCAATCACTCCTGCCTCCCACCTCCCTCCTTCCCAACTGCCTCCCATCCTGCCTCCCATCCTCATCTCCTCCTCCTCTCACATCCTCCTCCCTTCTCCCTCCTCTCTTCACCTTCTCCCATCCCCTCCTCACTCGCCATCACAGCGCCATCTCTCCTCCTCCATCCTCCCCCCTCTCCTCCTCCCCCCTCCCCTCCAACTCCCCATCCCCTCCGCCTCTCCTTCTTCTCCTCCCTCCTCCCCCACCCCCTCTCTCCCCTCGCCCCCTCTCTCCTCCTCCCTCCCCTCCTCCTCCACCCCCTCTGCCTCCACCCTCCCGCCTCCCTCCTCCTCCCCACCACCTCCCAACGCTCCCCCTTCCCCTCTTCTCCTCTCCACCTCCCGCCCCTCCCCCCTTCCGCCCACCTCCCACCTCCAACTCTTCCTCCCTCCTCCACTCCTCCTCCCTCCTCCACCACTCTCTCTCCTCCTATCCTCTTCCACCTCCTCTTCTCCTCCCCTCAACTCTCCCTCACCGAACCTGCCCAGCTCCATCCTCGCACCAAACCTATCCTCCACCTTCTTCCGAACCTGCGCTCGCTCTCCTCCAGAAGCTCTTCTCTCTCCTCCTGCACAGCCCCCTAGCCCTTTCCCTCATCTCCTTCTTCCTCTCTCTCCACCACCTCCTCCATCGCCCTCTCTTCCCCCTCCACAGCTTCCTCTAGCCGCCTTTCCATACTCGCTTTAAGCCTCTCCCTTTCCCGCACCTCCCTCTCCTCCGCCTCTTTCCTCATCAGAGCAATCTTCTCCCAGCTCCCCTTCCAGAAAATCCTTCTCTAGCTGAATCACCGCGCCCTTCCCTCCTCTACCCAACGCTTCCACCCTCTGTTCCATCTCCCCCCTCCCTCCTTACCAGCAATGCAGCCTCCTCTCCTCTCACCTGCTCTCTCACTCTCTCCTCAGCTTCTTTCCTCAACCTCCAGCTTCCCAGCAGCTTCTTCCTCTGCCCGAGCCTTCAGCGCAGCGCTCACAGCACCGCCATCCCCATCCGCCCCACCACCTCCCCATTCACCCCCTTCTCCTTCTTCATCCGCGCTACAACCTCCCTCTCTTCTTCCTTCAACGCTTCAACCACCTCTGCAACCCTCTGTTCGCTCAACTCCTTCCTCTCTTCCTCTAGCGACCATCGCACAATCTCCAGCAATTTCACCTTCTCTCCATCCATAGCAATCCCAGCCTCTTCCGCTACACCCTTCGCCCTCCCCACCACACTCTCCCACCCCTCCTCCTGTATCCCCTCCCCTCGGCCTCTACTCTCCTCCAAGCCTCCAGCAACCGAGCCTGTCTCCTCCTCTCCGCCTCCTCCCCAGCCTCCCGCTCCGCCCGACCCAGCACCTCCTTCCGCCGAGCCTCCACGAGCCGGTCCCGATCCTCCGCGACAGCCTCGGCAACACGGGACGCCATTTCCGCCCGTTCCTGGCCAACAATCCTCCTCTCCTCTTCCCCCAGCGCCGCCGGACCCGCTCCCTGATTCCCTTTAGGGCTGCTTCCCGCTCCCCCCCCCGCCTCCTCCTGCTCTACTATTCGCTCCACCCCGCGCTGCTGCTTCTCTCCGTGCCATCTCCAGCATTCGCTGCTCTTCCTCTGTGGCTGCGGCCTTCCATCGGGCTAGGACTTGCGGCTGGGGCCGGAGAAAGAAGGGGAAAAGGAGGGAGGAGCGAAGGGAGTGTGGTAAACGGAAGTGAGTACGGCTTGCAATACTTCAGCTACCTCCCCCACCTCCCCCCCTTATTCCCTCACCTCCACCCCCCACCCCCTCACTTCCAACCCCATCCCCCCCACTCACATTCTCCTGTTGCCGAGCCACCTCATGAGGAGCCGTAAAATTCACTTGCACCCCCAACCCCCGCAACCTAAAAATCGACGGCCCGTCCCTGGTCCCCCTCTCACATTCTCTTGCTCCAGTGCCGCCCGCCACCGGTTCAGAAACTCCTGCTGCCGGGCCACCTCCTCCAGATTCACCAGCGCCACCACCTGAGGATCCACCTGCAGGTGCCGCCGCTCCAGGGCCACCTTCAAGGAAGCTTCCTCTCGCAGCACAGCCATGGCCCGCTGCCTCTCCCGCTCCACCTCCTCCTTGGCTGCTGCTACCGCTGCGTCTCTCTCCCGTGTGATGAGCGCCCGCCCCTCGTCAACTGCAACGCTGCGAGCTTGAGTGAGAGCTCCCGCATCAAAGGGCTGGTTGAGAGGGGGAAGAGGGTGGGAAAGGAAAGGGCGTGCGAAATGGCAAGTGTTGATAATCCAGTCACAGACGGCTCGCTCGCTGCCTCGCTGCCTTGCTGCCTCTCCCGCTCCACCTCCTCCTTTGCTGCTGCCACGGCTGCGTCTCGTTCTCTTGTGATGAGGGCCCTCCCCTCATCCACTGCAACACTGCGGGCTTGGGTGAGTGCCCCAACGTCAAAGGGCTGTGCGGGAGGATAAAGCAGGGGGAATGGGAAGGGGAAGGCTTCATATATGAGCCACCGCTGCATCACTGCCTCTTGGCCTCGCTGCCTCTCCCGCTCCACCTCCTCCTTGGCTGCTGCTACCGCTGCATCGCGTTCTCTCGTGATGAGCGCCCTCCCCTCATCCACTGCCACACTGCGCGTTTGGGTGAGTGCTCCCGCATCGAAGGGCAGGTTGAGAGGGCAAGGAGGTGACTTTTGAGTTGACTCAAGGTGACTCTTGAGTCGACTCAAAACACACGTTCCCGTGTGATGAGCGCTCTACCCTCGTCCACTGCCAGGTGTGTTTTGAGTCGACTCAAAACACACGTTCCCGTGTGATGAGCGCTCTACCCTCGTCCACTGCCAGGTGTGTTTTGAGTCGACTCAAAACACACGTTCCCGTGTGATGAGCGCTCTACCCTCGTCCACTGCCAGGTGCGTTTTGAGTCGACTCAAAACACACGTTCCCGTGTGATGAGCGCTCTACCCTCGTCCACTGCCAGGTGTGTTTTGAGTCGACTCAAAACACGTTCCCGTGTGATGAGCGCTCTACCCTCGTCCACTGCCAGGTGTGTTTTGAGTCGACTCAAAACACATGTTCCCGTGTGATGAGCGCTCTACCCTCGTCCACTGCCACACTGCGAGCTTGTGTCAGCGCCCCGGCATCAAAAGGCTGGTTGGGAGGGCGAGACAGGGGAAGAGGGTGGGGAAGGGGAGAGGTGTGCAGAAGGGGAAGGGCTAACAAAAAGTCTTGAGTCACTGCTCTCTCGCAGCACAGCCATGGCCCGCTGTCTCTCCCGCTCCACCTCCTCCTTGGCCGCCACGGCTGCGCCTAGCTCCCGCGTGTGATGAGTGCCCGCCCTTCATCCACTGCCCTTCACCTCTAGTACCAGTCGGAACCAGTCGGAACCAGTAACAGCACTCACCGTGCCCAGTTGCTCTGCTAGCCGGGTGATCTCCGCTTCTCACCGCCTCACCAGCGCCTCCCTCTCCGCCTTGAGCTCTAAAATGCACCTCAGAAAGCACCTGAAGCACCCCTGCCAATTGCAGCACTCACCGTGCCCAGCTGCTCTGCCAGCCGGGTGATCTCCGCCTCTCGCCGCCTCACCAGCGCCTCCCTCTCCGCCTGAGCTTTGCCAGCCGCCCGTCACACTCCGCCTCATACCGCGCTATTCGCCTCTGCGCCGCTGCCGCTGCCTCCCTTAAGCGAGTCACCTCGTCGTCCTGTAGGTGGGTTGAGAGGGGGGATTGGGGGGAGAGGGGGGAGAGGGGGGAGAGAGGGGAGAGGGCAAGAGAGTCAGGGTCTGTCACATCACACACTCCGCCTCGTACCGCGCTATCTGCCTCTGCGCTGCCGCTGCTGCCTCCCTTAAGCGAGTCACCTCATCATCCTGCATTCGCCTCCCCTCTGAATGCAAGAGAGTAAGAAAGAGTCAGGATGGGGCACACTCTGCCTCATACCGCGCTATTTGCCTCTGAGCCGCTGCTGCTGCCTCCTTCAAGCGAGTCACCTCATCATCCTGTGTGTGGGTTGAGAGGGGGGAGAGGGCAAGAGAGTCAGGGCCCCACACACTCCGCCCGCGTACCGTGCTATACGGGGAGGGGGGAGTCAAAGGAGGCGCTCTATGCGCCTCTGGGCTGCTGCTGTTGCCATACCCCACCACACTCCTCCATACCCCACCACATTCCTTCATACCTCTGCATCATCCTTGGGTTCCTGGAAAGCAGCTCGCGCTCCTTAGCAGTCCCTACTTTACCAGCCACCTCCTCCCCTTCCCCCCTCAGTCTTCTCTCTCTGCTGCAGCCCCCAGTAAGCCAGCAGAGCCACCAGCCTGCACCGCCCCTTGTGCCGCCGCCCTCCCCCTTGCGCCCCCCCTGCAAGCCTCCCATCAGCCAGCCCAGACGCCTTACGAGCACCACCTGCACCAGATACGCCTGCCCCAGGCCCCCCTGCAGCAGCAGCAGCAGGACCAGCGCCGCACCACCAGCAGCAGCGCCCTCCCTTGCTGCTGTTGCTTGGCGTCCTCTGCTGGCTTGGCCCAGGAGCCCTGCATGGGGGGGGGCAGGGAAGAGAAGGAGAGAACGAGTACGCGATTGTGCCCATGCATATAAGAGACAGAAGTAACGGGAAAGACAAAACGACGGAGAAAAAAAAAAAAAAAAAAAAAAAAAACCACAACAACAACAACAACAACAACAACCACAACAACAACAACAACAACAACAACAACAACAACAACCACAACAACAACAACAACAACAACAACAACAACAACAACAACACAACAACAACAACAACCACAACAACAACAACAACAACAACAACAACAACAACAACAACAACACAACAACAACAACAACACACAACAACACAACAACAACACACAACAACAACAACAACAACAAACAACACACAACAACAACAACAACAACAACAACAACAACAACAACAACAACAACAACAAAACAACAACAATGGGAGTAGCAAGCAGGAATACGTCAGAAGCAGCAATGATTAGCTTATGTCCTAGCCTCCAGGCAATGTCCTAGCCTCCAGGCAATGCCCTAGCCTCCCTCCAGAACGCACCTGCCTGGCGATGCCGGCAGCAGACTGCGTCGCCCGGGCACCTGAAGCATGGAAGCGGCAGGGAGAGAGTGGGGGGTTGGGTGGGGTGGTGAGGGATGTGGAGGCAGAAAGGGAGTTGATGGCGTGAGAGTGAGGTTGGAACGAGCAGAGCCGGCAAAGCGGAGAGGCAGAAGCAGGAGAGGGCAAGTTGGGGGAGAAATAGGGGCAGAGTTGGGAGAGAAATAGGGGCAGAGTTGGGAGAGAAATAGGGGCAGAGTTGGGAGAGAAATAGGGGCAGAGTTGGGAGAGAAATAGGGGCAGAGTTGGGAGAGAAATAGGGGCAGAGTTGGGAGAGAAATAGGGGCAGAGTTGGGAGAGAAATAGGGGCAGAGTTGGGAGAGAAATAGGGGCAGAGTTGGGAGAGAAATAGGGGCAGAGTTGGGAGAGAAATAGGGGCAGAGTTGGGGAAAAATCTTTTTTTCCTTGGTGCATCGCTCACCTCTCTGCTGTGCATCTTGACTCGCCTCCCCCCCTCCTCCTCTTGAGTACCCCTGCATGCCCTGATTGTTACTCTGACTGTTCCCCTGACTGTTGCCCGCACCCCCCTGGGCATCTGTGCTGTTAGTCCTCTTCGGACCTCCTCTCCCCGCCCCCTCTCCCCCCGCCCATCCCTGGCATCCCCCCTCTCTGCGGATCTCTCCCCCGCCCTCTCCCCCCCCCACGCCACTCCCCCGCCCCTCCAAAGACCTCCGCCTCTCCTTCCCCTCCCCTCCTGCCTCCCCCGGCTCCTTCTCCTCGCTCGTCCCTCCTCTCCCTCCCCTCCCTGCCCTCCCGTCCTCTGCTCCTCCTTACCCAGCCCCCCACCACTCACTCCTGCTCCCACCTCCCTCCTCCCCTCCGCTCCCACCTCCCCGCACCCCTCCTCCCACCTCTCCGCTCCCCTCTCCAACTCCCACCCTATCGGAACTCCCTGGTCTCCTGTTGCTGCCTGCTTCCCCCCTGCCCCCACCCTCCGCACCACCCCCGCCAGCACCCCCTGCTCCTCCACCCGCTCCTCGCCGAACCTCCTGGTTCTGGTTCGGCGTTCCACCCGCCCTCCGAGGCACCATCCCATGCTTCTGCTGCTGCTGCTGTTGCTGCTGCTGTTGTGGTAACCTCTGCCCTCCTCTCCCGCCCTCCCGCCCCCCCGACCAGCACCCCCACCGCCCCCTGTCCCCCCTCCTCCCCCCGCTCCCCCCTCCCCCTACTCCCCCTGCCCCTGCGCCTGCCCCCTGGCCCCCGGCCCCAGCAGCAGCAGACACACCACCGGGGATTGGGAGACGGGGATTCCAGACGCTGCCGCTGCACCTGGTGCTGCTGATGCAGCAGCGGCAGCAGCAGCAGCGGCGGACGAGGGTGGTCTGGTGCCGGTTTCATCGTCAGACGTTTCCCACTCCTCTGCTAGAAAAGGCAACACAGGGACGGACGGACGGGCGCGTGAGACAAGACAAGGGGGTCACTGGGTAAAGGCAGATGGTGATTCAGGCCTTCAAAAACGCACCTTCAAAAAACGCACCTTAAAAAACGCACAGCTTTGAGCATTCAAGCGTCCTTCCATCATACTCACACCATCCCATGGCCCCTCCTCACCAGCATCCACCATCCCATATTTACCTAACACCTGCACCATTCAAAGACCACTCTGCACCACTCTGCACTGCTCACCATCCGTTTCTTTCCAGAACTGTGGGCTTTCCCTTGATAGCAGCCCCCATGGACCCCGCCCGAGCCAGAAGCTAGCCATGGGAGACCGCCGACCCTGCCCAGGTTCGGGAGACCACGTGACCTGATGCAAGAGCTCTACCTCCTGCCCCGAACCTCCTGCCGAACCTGCTGCCGGACCTCCGCCTCCACTCCCCTATCAGCAGCACCCGAACCTCCACCTGCCCCTCCCCCTGCTCCCGACCCTGCGGGTGGTCTCCTGCTCTGCTGGTTACCCCCTTGCCCTTGCTCCCCCTGCTGCTGCTGCTGCTGCCTCGCCTGCCTTTGCTGCTGCTGCTGCTGCTGCTGCTGTTGTTGTTGCTGCTGTTGTTGTTGTTGCTGTTGCTGTTGCTGCTGCTGCTGAAGCCGCATCTGCTGTTGGGAAACAGCAGCAGCCCGCGCCATGCCTCTGTCATCCTCCGAGCTGTCTGTAATAGAGAGCCGCCCTCGGCCCTGCGGCACTCCTGAACACATGAATGGGCAGGGGGAAGAGCAGGGAAGGGCGCGGGCGGGGCTAGTGTGTGTGAGTGAAGAGAAAAACGGCAACTCCGTGTTTCTTTCTCATGTGGAAATTTCTGCAGCCCAACCTTCCCCCACCCTCCCCAGCCCTTCCCCACCCCCTACCCCAGCACTCCCCTCATGCTCGCCAGCCCTCCTCTCATCGTCCCCTCCCCACCCGCCTCCTCCTCTCTACTCCCCCGCCTCCAAATACAAACCTGCGCTTGGGGAATCAGGGGAGGCGTCTCTTGACCCCTTGGGACGACCTTGCGCCTCCGCTGAGGGGCGGGAGAGTCATGGGGCAGGGATGGGCAAGGGGGAGGGATGGGCAAGGGGGAAGGGATGGGTAAGGGGAAGGGATGGGTAAGGGGGAAGGGATGGGTAAGGGGAAGGGATGGGTAAGGGGGAGCAATGGGCAAAGGGGAAGGGATGGGCAAATGGGAGAGTGAAGAGTTTAGAAGACGGAAAAAGAGCATGTGACATGTGATTGAAAAGCACCGCCCACCTGCAGCATGGCTTGCCCACCCAGCCTGCAGCATGGCTTGCCCACCCAGCCTGCAGCAAGCACTGCACCTCTCCCCCCACCCCAAATGCAGCATGGACTGTAACACGCCCACCAGCATGGACTGCCCAGTGCCCACCCCACCTGCAGCATGGACTGCGGTTGCAGCGAGCCCTGGCGGAACAGGTTGTTGCGATGCTCCTCCTTGGGCTGTGGGGGCAGCGACGCCTGCCGTACCAGCCCGTCCCGCACCCCCCCACCCCGCCTCCCCTCCTCTTCGCTCTCCCCCGCGGGCTCCTCCTCCTCCTCCTCCTCCCCCTCCTCCTCCTCCTCCTCCTCCTTCCTCCTCCCCTTTGCTGCCTTCCCACCTTGTTCTTTTCCTCCTCTCCCCCCTGCTCTCCGCCTCCTCCCCCCCCCCTCCCCCACGCGCGCCCCCTCCTCTTCGCGTCTCCCCCGCGCCTCCTCGCCCCCCGCCCCCCTCCGGCTGCTGCTGCTGCTGTTGGCGGCGGCTGCCGCCTTTGCTGCCTTGAGCTTGTTCTTTTCCTCCGTGTACAGGGCTCTGGGGAAAATAACAGGGACGGGAAGGGAGTTGTAAGGGGAAGAGGAAGGGGGGGGGGGGGGGGGAAGGAGGAGTAGCGCGTTTAAAACCAGGCCCTTGCTACTTGAGCTTGTTCTTTTCCTCCGTGTACAGGGCTCTGTGGGGGGAAGAGGCGCAGGGTGGGTGAAAGGGGGGAGGGCGGGGGGTGGGGGAAGGAAGAGGGAAGGGAGGGGATAAGTCCTCAGCAAAACAGTCCTGGCCTAGAGCTAATTCTTGTCCTTCGTGACCAGAGCTCTGGGAAAGTCAAGAGAAGGGTAAGAGTGAATGGATGGGTGTGAGAGAGGCCGGGGGATGAGGGGATTTGCAGTATGAAGAGGAGATGTAGGGTAGCAGCAGTAGGGTATGTGGTTACTGGGATCACGCATCGGTATGTGGTAACTGGGATCACGCGTCGGTATGCGGTTGCAGGGTACGCGTCTAAGACAACTCGTCCTTCCATCCACGTGTCACAATCACAGCCGTTGGTTCACCTGTAGTGGTCGTCGCAGGGGGTCCCACACGCTCTCGCCCGTCTGGAAGTTGAAGTAGTAGATCTCATCGTCGTCCGTGCGACTGGTGTTGTGGGAAGGGGTGAAGGGGCGAGGTGGGGCAGGAAGAAATCAGGGTTGGGTTGGGTTGGGTTGGGGGGGGAGACCAGCCACCCTAGCATGCCATCACCCACACGCTCTCGCCCGTCTGGAAGTTGAAATAGTATATCTCATCGTCGTCCGTGCGACTGGTGTGGTGTGGGGGCAGGGATTGGGGGGGAATGGGAAGGGTGAGGATGGGGCGAAGCGGGAGGGGGGGAGGGGGAAGGGTGGGTTGGAACAGGTCAGGAAACGACACCTCACTGCCCCCACCACACGCTCTCGCCCGTCTGGAAATTGAAGTAGTATATCTTATCGCCGTCCGTGCGACTGGTGTGGGTAAGGGAGGGGTGAAGGGGCGGTGGGGCAGGAAGAGGTCAAGGTTGGTTGGGTTGGGTTGGGTTGGGGTGGGAGGGCAGCCCTCCTAGCATGCCACCACCCACATGCACTCGCACGTCCAGAAATATCGCATGCTTCGCCTTGCTAATCAGCAACTCATTTCAACGCCACACGCTACGCACACACACACACGCACGGGCGCGCACGCCTCACGCGCGTGCAACATACGCACAGCCATTCGCGCGAGACACCCGCGCACACGCCACACGCGCACGCGCCACACGCGCACACGCCACACGCGCACACGCCACATGCGCACACGCCACATGCGCACACGCCACACGCGCACACGCCACATGCGCGCACCATGGCTTCCAGTTGGGCGGCAGCGGCGCCTTGAGCCCCTGCCGCGCCACCCACAACAGCTCCTCCTCCTCCGGTAATTCCATCCCCAGCCATTGAGCGTACTCGAGGATGTCTGAGGGGGAGAGGGGCGAGGGGGAGTGTGGCGGGGTTGGGGGAAGGGGTGGTGAGGGAAAGAGGGGTTAGGTTGACTGTGGCGGTCTGCCGCGCCACCCACAGCAGCTCCTCCTCCTCCTCCCCCGGTAGCTCCATTCCCAACCAATGCACGCACTCGAGGATGGTGGGACAGCTGCAACGAGACGAGTGGGCAGCACAGCCGCTCGTTGAGCTGGCGCAGGGACGCGCACGGACAGCACGCGGGAGGGAAATGGGCGGAGAATAGCCGCGGACGGGTATAGGTTAAAGCGGCGAGCATTTAAGCGCCACGAGTCTAAGCGCCACTCTTCTAAGTGCCACCAAAACGCGCTGCGCAATAATGATTAAGATATCAAGATCCGACGCGCAGCCGGCGCTGTCGCTTGATAGCTCGGCTAACAGATGCTCGACTTGTCCGTCGCGTTTGGGAATTCTCAAAAGTGACACACACACGCAAGACGATGACCTGCAGCCGGAACTGGCGCTTTTTGAGTCGACTAGAAAATTGCCTTCTGAGAATTCTCAAGCGCGGCGCACGCAGCGAACACGACGAGCAGCCAGCGCTGGCGCATAATAGCTCGGGTAACGGCTGCTTGACCGCCATCAGCGCGCGCGACGGAGCAAGAGAGGTAGAGAGCGAGCAAGAGAGGTAGAGAGCGAGCGAGCGAGGGGGGATGAGAGCGAGAGAGAGAGAGGGATAGAACGAGAGAGAGAGGGAGGGAGCGAGAGAGCAAGGGAGAGAGCGAGAGAGCAAGGGAGGGACTGCGACGGCAAAGCAAGGCACAGTCGCCGATCGTCAACGGTGCATCTACAGTTCAATGTGAGCCGTCGATCCTTCACGATCGAAAATTAACCCTAATCCGTGCTGCGGGGAGCTTGCCGGAGGGGTGGATGCTGCGGGGAAGGATGCTGGGGGGAGGATGCTGCGGGGGAGGATGCTGCGGGGGAGGATGCTGCGGGGGAGGATGCTGGGGGGGAGGATGCTGCGGGGGAGGAAGAAAAAAAAAACATAAACGGATATCTCCCTAGACTGGCTACCTCCTATCCGGCGTCAGCTCAAACCTCTCGTGCGACTCCTCGTCCAAAACAGTAGTCTTTTTGCGCGACTCAATAGCGAGTATACCGTATCCGTGAGCTTACCTTCCTGCGTCGGCTCGTAGTTCTCGTCGAACTCCTCTTCTAGAACCGTCGACGGGTCCGCCATGGTCTAACATGAGCAACGAGCGGGCCTTAACTGGCGTTTGTGTCGACTCGGAAATGTTCTAAAACGCTTGACGGGTCCGCCATGGTGTAACATGAGCAATGAATGGTTCTTTTAGCCGACTCAAACATCCATGGTCTAACCTGAACAACGACCGGTCCTTTATTGAAGTGAGATTAAAAGCACGCGCTGAGAAAACCAATAAAATAATTAATCGACGGAGGCTATGTATCGCTTCTAGGGTTTCGCTTTTGCCAAGAAGCTTTGGTAGGGAAGATTGAGACCGTTAGGTAACAGACCTACATAGGCACCGCGAAGTCAAAACCATGTAAACGCAACCGAGACTCAAAAACCAGGCAAATTATCTTATCGCGAAACTATAGTAAAGGTATGCGACGCGCATGATTTAAACAGGCGCAACTTGCGGCGCGACGCAATATCCGCCGACACTACACTCCCAACTGCAACGCCCCTGGTACGGACAAAAGCCTCAACGACCACACACGAACCTAGCTTCTGACTCGCCCTAACTCAAGTGAGGAACCTACAGTAACTCGGGAAAGGGAAGGCTGTGTGACTGAGTCATGGCGCTGTTCGGCAACCACTTTTTGCAATGAATGTTCCGCGTGCGAGTGAGTGTGGTTGTGTGAGTGTGTGGATGAGGTGGGGTGGGTGCTGTGTACACAAGATGCCCAACCCCTGCACGCGAAATTGCCTCGCCAGTTCCAGAAACCTTGCACACGAAGGTTTTTTCCCGGGCAGTTGCACCCACGTTACAAGCACGTCAACCAATACGAACCACAGAAACAGAAGAGACCGAAGTCAAACAGTCAACGGTGAGTTACAAAATTTTGCTATAAGCCCTTTTTGCCCGAAGCGAATTGACGAAACCTCCACGAAATGCATGAATCACTTAAGCGCCCCCTTCACAAGGCAACCTTGGGTTAGTCAAACGGACATCGTGTGTACACATACAGTACAATTGATGCCTGTTTGAGCCCCTCCCGGTTGCCTTATGAAGGGGGCGTATAAGCTGTCACGAGCAGTTCGCATAAGTTTCGTCAATTCGCAGCTAGCTAAAAAGAATTCGCATGTGCTTATAAACAAGACTCTGCTACCTAGTTACCTAGTTTGACTTCAGTCTCTTCTGCTTGACTTCGGTCTCTTCTGCTTGACGCGCTTGTAATGTAGGTGCATAAGGCTGGGGAAACAACCTCGGGTGCAGCGTATCCATCCGGCGCAAGGCAAATTCGCGTGCATGGGGTGAGCATCAATTGTACTATGCTCGGCAGACTCTGGGTTCGGAGGTGGGATGTGCCTCCTGCTAGGTTAGGAGAACCTAGATATGGCCACGAGGAAGAGGTATGGCACCTGAGTCTGGTTACAGCGTCACAGGTACTTGATCGGGTACTAGTTTGCGACTGTAACTTGAGGACAGTGTGCATTCTCTCATATATTTGCGAAGAGCATTTGTTTTCGTCGACGGCTATGCGTACAGTTACACCCAAACCTAGAAGCTCGGAACGGGTCCTGGGATTTTTGCTGGGCGGGCAGAACACTGTAGACCGCTGGTTGTGCTGGCTGCTGGCACACTCGTCTGATATGCCAAGGGGTGCTTGTGTGGTGTTTCCACACATTGTTCGAGGTGGTGGTGTTTGATACACGTTACAACACATGCGTGATAGATACGAATGTGAATGTTGTACACATGACATGATACAAGTCAAGAATTAAAACTGGAGTCTCAAGTTACTCTTTGTTGCCTCATCCTTCCTACCTTTGGTTGGGTTACCAGGTCCAACAACCTTCCTACCTTTGGTTGAGTCACTAGGTCCAACCAACCTTCCTACCTTTGGAACCTGTGGACCCTGAGTTTTAAGTGAATAATGGGAGGGGTAATGCAGATAGTGATCATCTAGATCTCCCAAAACAAGTGACTATCTGAGGAACCTCCAGGTCACCATCTGCTGATCCATCAATCTCCTCTTCACACTCATCAATGTGCTGTGGCAAAATTCTTCCCCGAACCCCTCTGCTGCATTGAACCCCCATCATTTCTGCTTCCTCATTCTCATCAATATCCCCGGGTGAACTTTTTCCACTGCCCATGAAAACCCCTGCTCTTCCACTGGTGTCTCCGAGGGCTTTGCCCTTTCCCGAGCCTGGTCTCATGAATAGGCTCTCCAGCCGAGACGGCCATTCCACAGACCCGCTCAACGTCCTAGCCAGGAACTTTCGGCTCGGTAGGGGAGACCCAGTGCCAGCCGTCGCAGACGCGGCAGCATCCCCTCCGTTGATTATTGCACCGTCACTGAGACTTCCACGCTTGCCGCTGCTTTCACGAGCCGATCCGTGGTGCAACGCTCTCGCCGCCAGTGATCTCGACGACCCCCGCGCCCTTTGCAAGTCCGCTGTAGCCCGTCCCAACGCAGTACCGGGGGGGTTCTTGGGATTACCGTCGGCTCCCAGCGGCGACCCTGGCGCCCTTCTGCTGCTGCCGCTGCTGCTGCGGAAGTAGGGGACGCCACTGCGCGGGACAGTGCGCGGGCGCTGCTGCTTCTGCGCCTGTTGCGCCTCCCAGAACGTGGGGGGATCTCCGACGCGAGAGACCGCACCTCAAGGCTCTCAGGCGTCAATGCTGCTACGCCTGCGCCGGTTTCTCTCATGGCGGCGGCGGCGACGGAGCGTTGGCGGAAATCGTCTGGAAGGGGACGAACGACGTCCCGCGGCGTCTCGTACTCGGCAAAGCGCCAGCTGTCAGCGGCGCAATCGTGCGGGCAGTCCGAGACGAAAACGAGAGGAGGCGGACATTGACCGGATGACGCGAAGGTTGCGGCATTGCAGGACTGCGTCTTCCATGCGCCTGCGATTTCGCCAGAAGTGGCTGCAGTCGGAGCGGTGAGGGCAGAAGGAGGGGAGATGCTGCGCTCCTTGCGCTTGTGGATGGGGGAATTGTGGGCGCGGAGCGAGGAAAAATGGGAGTCCAGGGTTTGATCACGAGGCGGATGGGGGAAAGCCCAGGCCTGATCCGTGTAGCATGATTCTGCTAACTCTCTTACAGCTGGAAATTGATCTAGGGTAGCCATTTCTGCAGAAGAGAAATGCCACGGTAAGGGGGCGAAAACCAAGAACACGGTGACAAGAAACAGGTGATATGCTCTGGATCGTCGTCACCAGTGAAGCACAGGGTGAGTGGGATATGGTATGTTCGCATTGAACTCGTAGAGCTTGACGATCACCACCAGCACCACCACATCAGATTGTTGTGTTGGGATGGGATGGGCTTGGTTTGAATGGGATTGGTGATGTGAGACACCCCAGAGGAGTGGGCTTGGGTGAGTGCCAGGCTGGGAAAGAGCCGCTCCAAATGTCCAATGGGACTTGGGGTGGGGGAGGCCCACTTCCGTGAGAGAGTGTAGCAGTGGTGCTGAATACCTTTCTTGTCGGCGCGACGAAGAACGTTCTGTGCATAACGAACTCCCGTGGGGGCGGTGGATGAGTGGAAAGGATGGTTACCATCAGTAGGTCTGGTGACGTCGCTTGTAGGGTGGTGGTGCCTCGCGGGCTGGTTCGGTTCGGATGTTCACCCGTCGTGTTGCCGCTGTTGAGTGGTGATGGTGTGACGCCTGGTTGGAGTAGCCATGTCTCGGACCAATCAGCGTCAGCGGAATGTCTGTTGGTGAGGCTTGTTTTTGCTTGTGGGTCTGGGCGAGGAACATTGGGCAGCCTGATCTGATCACCATGGTCCTCCAAGAAGGCAGGAGGAGCTGAATGCTTCAATGGCACGACAAAGTGGTTTGGCCGTTCTTTGATTTGCCAGGCTGGGGAGGATTCTGGAGTTTTACGCGGCCCGCGTCAACCACGCCTCAAAAGAGAGAATTGTCGCTGTCGAGACAAGAGGAATTCGTATGAAAGGTAAACAGCATCAATGTACAAGAGGACAGTCCTGGAGCAATAACGAGCCGTCTTCAAACGATGTTTCCCAGCACCGCTTTCTCCGCGCATGACTCGGTTGTCTGGTTGGACAGGGGTGCTACCCTGAACGATGCAGTTTGTCAGGAAACCATTCGTCTTTCGTTCGTTCGTTGAAGTAGAGATGCGAGTCGCCCAAACAGACGGAAATAAAGTAACAGCGTTTAGCGAGCCCCGTGGAAAATCGTCGACCTCGCAAAGTCTCGTCAAAATGGTTTCACCACTGTCTAGGTGTGAAGAGTCTCTGAGAGCACAAACCAACTACGACCCCTAGGCTAGGGTTTGCTTCCCTAGAAGGGCATTCTTTGCTCCCATTGGTTAGTAGAACACATTCAAACGATTGGGTTTCCCGCGTTCCCAATGGATGGTGTGATGTTGCAGCTTCAGATGAGATGACAATCGACGGTCACAAAGTCACCTAGTCAAACGTTCAAACGTTCACCTGGAAGAATCCCGCAACTCCCGCCCCGCGTTTGTCAACGGAAAGCTCGCTGAAAAACGTCGGTGTTGTTCGACTCGCGTAGCCGCTGAGATCGCCTTCCTTGGATGTCCAGACATTGAAGTGGGGACAGCGAAAAGTGCATTTGGCACGTGCAAGAGGATAGGCCTTGTGATAAGGTGGAGGCTAGACAAATCTGGACGTCGCAATTGTTCAAAGGCTACCTACCGTGCGAAGGCCCCACACGATCAAACTAGTACAGTACAACATCTCCGCCGTCAAACCTGCTGATATGCGATCGCAGATTGTAGATGGAGTCGAGCAGTCAGTAATGATTGGGCAAGAAGTTTCGCAATTTCTCAACAGTCGCACATACAAGAGTCGGTGAGCTGCCAGGTTGGACCTAGGGGAGTCGCTTGTAAACGCTAGTACAATATACTGAAAATCTCATTATGGCTGAGTCAAACCTTGCTGTACTGTGTACAGTTCGGTTGAAATGTCGTGGGACCAGTCAGGGAATTCGATGAGTGTTGACTGTGACCACGTAGGGACAAAAGGTACCACGCAGGGATAATGGGTACCACGAAGGGGATCGGATGATCTGATGGTACCATCGAGCCACGTGGCGTACTGCGGACGTCAGCGGGCTCGATGTTGGTTACCCAGAAGGTAATTACCCTTTTTCTTTTTTCCTTCCCTCACTGGCAGATTCGCCTGCCACGTGAACGATTCCTGACCAGCCACGAAGGGGCTCTCGAATCTCCCTGTCATGAGGAGAACTAGAACCTGACCGAACCAACCATTCGTGATCCAGCACAATTGGATAGCTTGTAATCCAATCAGGGTCGAGAGTTTTTCTTCACCGCTGCTTGTATGGCAGGAGTTTTGCGATTTGGGAATTTCCAACCTACGGCCGCGATCAGAACTAGGAGATCGTTTCGAACGCCTAAGTGAATCTGGACGGTAGATCTCGTGTGGTGAGAACCCAAGAGCGTTGGTTGGGATGCGAGGTAAGAAGAGGCGAGGCATTCCGCAACCCCTCCGCCTCATTCCAACGTCATTCTCGCTTGAGCCTCGCATTTCACTCCGCTTTCGCCTCTTACTCCCATTTTTTCACCCCTAGCTTCTTCTGCTCACCTGCTCCTTTCCTAGAACTTAGCTTCCATAGGTCAGCTTCGAGAGCGCTGCGTTTGAAGCTGACATTTCTCATCATTTAGAGCTCAGGCATGCGTTTACTGATGCGATTTTTAATATTGAAGCCGTCGGGTCTGCGTCCGGCTGTGTTGTTGGAGATTCGTTTTTGGAAGATCGCGTTCTCTGGCATCGAAGCTAGGCATGTTTGCGCAGAACAAAATGTCTCTTCAGGTAATAGTACGCGCATCTAACATTTTCGCCGTGAAATTCGCGAAGTTAGTATTCGAAATCGACATGCAATTTTTCCTGACGTTACCTCCGCATGCGCGGCAGGTTTGTGAAGGCGACGACAACTCACTTCAGTCTGGCTGTACGCGTTTTCGGAGAGCCACGTGTAGCAACTCGGATTTCGGAGCTCGGATTGAACTTCGCCTTGCAGCTCAGGTATTGTCATGAGCCACAATATGTTATCTCCGTGAATTCGCGAATCAGTTGTTCAGATCAGTATCGCGTTCATTCTCAATGTTGCGAATCATCTCCGCGGATCCATCTCGCACTGTTATTTCGCGTTTCAATTTAGCATTTCGATTTCGCCACTCATCTTCGCCGATCAATTTTGCGGTTTTCCTTTACTGATCCATTTCGCGGCACAGTGCGTTTCGCGAGCTGTTTCGCTGACGCACGCGAAGGGCAAGGCGAGCAAGGGAATGCGAGTGGAACCCACCCTCTGCAGTGCGTCAGCTTAAGCTAAGTACCCTCCCATTCCTAGACTCAGCTGCTAGTTGCTTCATTTGATTGTGCGTTCTCACATGTGGTTAGGTTGTTTCTCCTTCAAAATCTGTCCACTGGTTAGGGCACGCTTCACAAGCCACAGACCTTCTACTGCAGGTATCCCCCTCAGGTTCAGGTTTAGCCTCAGGTATTCCCCTTACAGCAGCTACTTCTTGAGGTCCGTGGCTTGTGCTGGCTGTGCTCCTACTGGTGGCCCCTCCCGTCTCTCTCTCCCTGTGCTCCCTGAATCCTCTCACCTGCCACTCGCCCTTCCTCTCCTCCCCCCACGCCCACTCACCAGTGCAGCTCGTGCGCACTGAGACGCAGTTGGAGAGGAAGGGCGTGAGGGGGTCAACTCCGCCGCTCCCTCTCGCGCCTCCCTGTTACTCACGCTACTCTCTCTCTTTTTCCTCCTTTCCTCCGCGCTGCTCTCCTGTGCAGGTCACTCGGCTCCCAGGAGTAGCGGCTGGTGGACGGACGTGGGGCAGCAAGCAAGCACCTGAGGCAGCATCAGCATCGCCCCCAAATGTCAAGCACCTGGCGGCAGCAGAAAGCAACCACATCTTCAGATAAGTGCTCTCCCTTCCATGCTTCTTAGTGCACCCATCCTCGCATCCCACATCATGTCCCTTTCCGCTTCTCCCTCACTTGTCCATCAAATCGGGCCACTGATGGCAGCACACGATTCAGCCCACACGCCTTTCTAACTGCAGGTAAAGCCCCCCCCAGGTTGTTTTTTCAGGTAAATTCCCCCTCAGGTAAAGCCCGTGGGTGTGTGGCTTTGTGACAGTTGCTCCACCAATGGCCTTCCTTCCGCTCTTCCTCCATCTCACCTTGCATGCATGCATCCCCTCCCCACTGCTGCCTCCCTCCATCATCACTGCACTGATAATCCTCCCTCCCTTCTTCCCTCCCTTCCCGTCCCCTTACCTCCCCCCCCGCCCCTCCCCCCCCTCCACTCCTCTCAGCAGCGCGCGAGCCGAGCTACAGTGAGCGGGACACGCCATGCCATGCCATGCTGCCTGTGGGCGCTCCTTCAACCGCCCTCGCTGCTCCAACTGCCTGCTGCTCTCACGCCATTAGCTAAGTGCCGCTTCCCCCCATATCTTCTATTGCTTTCAATTACATTCGTTTGTTGTTTGCGCTTTCGCCGTTCTTCTTGAAACAGTGCCACTGGTTTGGGCCGGCTCACACGCCACAGACCCCCTTAGATCAGATCAGGTAACCCTCTCAGGTGCAGGTAACCCCCTCAGGTGCAGGTAACCCCCTCAGGTGCAGGTAACCCCCTCAGGTGCAGGTAACCCCCTCAGGTGCAGGTAACCCCCTCAGGTGCAGGTAACCCTCTCAGGTGCAGGTAACCCCCTCAGGTGCAGGTAACCCTCTCAGGTGCAGGTAACCCCCTCAGGTGCAGGTAACCCCCTCAGGTGCAGGTAACCCCCTCAGGTGCAGGTAACCCCCTCAGGTGCAGGTAACCCCCTCAGGTGCAGGTAACCCCTCAGGTGCAGGTAACCCCCTCACGTGCAGGTAACCCCTCACGTGCAGGTAACCCTCTCAGGTGCAGGTAACCCCCTCAGGTGCAGGTAACCCCCTCAGGTGCAGGTAACCCCCTCAGGTGCAGGTAACCCCCTCAGGTGCAGGTAACCCCCTCAGGTGCAGGTAACCCCTCAGGTGCAGGTAACCCCCTCACGTGCAGGTAACCCCCTCAGGTGCAGGTAACCCCCTCAGGTGCAGGTAACCCCTCACGTGCAGGTAACCCTCTCAGGTGCAGGTAACCCCCTCAGGTGCAGGTAACCCCCTCAGGTGCAGGTAACCCCCTCAGGTGCAGGTAACCCCCTCAGGTGCAGGTAACCCCTCAGGTGCAGGTAACCCCCTCACGTTCAGGTAACCCCTCACGTGCAGGTAACCCTCTCAGGTGCAGGTAACCCCCTCAGGTGCAGGTAACCCCCTCAGGTGCAGGTAACCCCCTCAGGTGCAGGTAACCCCCTCAGGTGCAGGTAACCCCCTCAGGTGCAGGTAACCCCCTCAGGTGCAGGTAACCCCCTCAGGTGCAGGTAACCCCCTCAGGTGCAGGTAACCCCCTCAGGTGCAGGTAACCCCCTCAGGTGCAGGTAACCCCTCAGGTGCAGGTAACCCCCTCACGTGCAGGTAACCCCTCACGTGCAGGTAACCCTCTCAGGTGCAGGTAACCCCCTCAGGTGCAGGTAACCCCCTCAGGTGCAGGTAACCCCCTCAGGTGCAGGTAACCCCCTCAGGTGCAGGTAACCCCCTCAGGTGCAGGTAACCCCCTCAGGTGCAGGTAACCCCCTCAGGTGCAGGTAACCCCTCAGGTGCAGGTAACCCCCTCACGTGCAGGTAACCCCTCACGTGCAGGTAACCCCCTCACGTGCAGGTAACCCCCTCAGGTGCAGGTAACCCCCTCAGGTGCAGGTAACCCTCTCAGGTGCAGGTACCCCTCAGGTGCAGGTAACCCCTCAGGTGCAGGTAACCCCCTCACGTGCAGGTAACCCCCTCAGGTGCAGGTAACCCCTCAGGTGCAGGTAACCCCTCAGGTGCAGGTAACCCCTCAGGTGCAGGTAACCCCTCAGGTGCAGGTAACCCCTCAGGTGCAGGTAACCCCTCAGGTGGAGGTAACCCCTCAGGTGCAGGTAACCCCTCAGGTGCAGGTAACCCCTCAGGTGCAGGTAACCCTTTCAGGTACCCTTGGAGTATGTGGTGTGTGGTCGTGCCTCCATCAGTGACCCCTCTTCTTCCTCATCGGGCACCTTCTGGTGTTCTCCTCGTGCTTCTAAAGTTTCCATGCACGCTCACTGCTGCTGTGTGTGCGTTGCAGGTGGAGGGGAGGGGCGTGGGGGTCAACACCGCCGCTCCCTCACGCCTCTCCCCTGTGGCCTTGCAGGTGCACACACGAGAGGCTGGGAGGAGGGCTGCTGGGGAGGAGTCACCTGGTGCTCCTTCAGCTGCCTTGAGCTCGCTCTCACGCCTCCAGCAGCTAAGTGCCTCTTCCTCCACGCCCTCGCCCCTGTCCGCCATCATCTCGCCTTCTCCTTCGCTGCCACTCCGTTTCCCTTCTTCTCCAAACACCGCCACTGCTTGGGACCGGCCCACATGCCACAGACCCCCTTACTTCAGGTATTTTTTCAGGTGCAGGTATCCCCCTCAGGTACTGCAGGTTCCTTTGGGGTCTGTGACTTGTGGCCGTGCTTCCATCAGTGGCCCCTCCTATCTTCCTGATTTGGCAGCTTCTGGTGTTTCCCTTGTGCTTCTGGCCATTCCATGCACGCTCACTGCTGCTCTGTGTCTGTGCCTTGCTGGTGGAGGGGAGGGGCGTGGGGTTGCCTCCTCACTGGTGTTGCCTCCTCCTCCTCCTCCTCCTCCTCCTCCTCCTCCTCCTCCTCCTCCTCCTCCTCCTCCTCCTCCTCCTCCTCCTCCTCCTCACTGGTGTTGCCTCCTCCTCCTCCTCCTCCTCCTCCTCCTCCTCCTCCTCCTCCTCCTCCTCCTCCTCCTCCTCCTCCTCCTCTTCCTCCTCCTCCTCCTCCTCCTCCTGCTCCTCCTCCTCCCTGGTGTTGCCTCCTCCTCCTCCTCCTCCTCCTCACTGGTGTTGCCTCCTCCTCCTCACTGGTGTTGCCTCCTCCTCCTCCTCCTCCTCCTCACTGGTGTTGCCTCCTCCTCCTCACTGGTGTTGCCTCCTCCTCCTCATTGGTGTTGCCTCCTCCTCCTCCTCCTCCTCCTCCTCCTCCTCCTCCTCCTCCTCCTCCTCCTCCTCCTCCTCCTCCTCCTCCTCCTCCTCCTCCTCCTCACTGGTGTTGCCTCCTCCTCCCTGGTTTTGCCTCCTCCTCCGTTTTGCATCATGGCGCTCTGCACGGTTAAGGTAGGTAGAGGTAAGTACGCATGGGGGTGAAGTGTGGGGAGGGAGGGTTGGGAGCATGGGAGCAAGCGGGGAGTTCACTGCCTTAGGGGCAGCATCCTCTGGGGATGTAACTTGTGAGTTGGTGTGTGCTGGGTGGAATCTATGCGGCACGGCACTCGGTGCTCAAGTAACCGAACTGACGTTAAGGCTTAATGGACACCGTCAGAGCCGACCGGCCGGCGGCTCTGGTTCGCGTCAGCTCTAGCTACGTCAGGGGTGGGATTTGAGTCTTGGGCTGGAAGCGATTTTCCACTACCGCACTTCATCCCACAAGGCTCAGCCTCAGGGGTTGCTGTTTCCTTAAGAAAGTGCGCTCTCTGCTGCTCCTACTGCTGGCAGGTAATGGTGGGGATGGGCTGGGTGGTGTGGATGAGAAAGGGGCCTGAAACCCCTTGGGTGGGTGAGTGGAAGGGAAAGGGGCCTGAAACCCCTTGGGTGGGTGAGTGGAAGGGAAAGGGGCCTGAAACCCCTTGGGTGGGTGAGTGGAAGGGAAAGGGGCCTGATACCCCTTGGGTGGGTGAGTGGGAAGGGAAAGGGGTTGATGAAACCCCATGGGTGGGTGAGTGGGAAGGGAAAGGGGTTGAAACCCCTTGGGTGGGTGAGTGGGAAGAGAAAGAGGTTGAAACCCCATGGGTGGGTGAGTGGGAAGGGAAAGGAGTTGAAACCCCTTGGGTGGGTGAGTGGAAGGGAAAGGGGTTTAAACCCCATGGGTGGGTGAGTGGGAAGGGAAAGGGGTTGAAACCCCTTGGGTGGGTGAGTGGGAAGAGAAAGGGGTTGAATCCCCATGGGTGGGTGAGTGGGAAGGGAAAGGGGTTGAAACCCCATGGGTGGGTGAGTGGAAGGGAAAGGGGTTGAAACCCCTTGGGTGGGTGAGTGGAAGGGAAAGGGGTTGAAACCCCTTGGGTGGGTGAGTGCAAGGGAAAGGGGCCTGAAACCCCTTGGGTGGGTGAGTGGAAGCGAAAGGGGCCTGAAACCCCTTGGGTGGGTGAGTGGAAGGGAAAGGGGCCTGAAACCCCTTGGGTGGGTGAGTGGAAGGGAAAGGGGCCTGAAACGCCTTGGGTGGGTGAGTGGAAGGGAAAGGGGCCTGAAACCCCTTGGGTGGGTGAGTGGAAGGGAAAGGGGCCTGAAACCCCTTGGGTGGGTGAGTGGAAGGGAAAGGGGTTGAAACCCCTTGGGTGGGTGAGTGGAAGGGAAAGGGGCCTGAAACCCCTTGGGTGGGTGAGTGGAAGGGAAAGGGGTTGAAACCCCTTGGGTGGGTGAGTGGAAGGGAAAGGGGCCTGAAACCCCTTGGGTGGGTGAGTGGAAGGGAAAGGGGCCTGAAACCCCTTGGGTGGGTGAGTGGAAGGGAAAGGGGTTGAAACCTCTTGGGTGGGTGAGTGGAAGGGAAAGGGGTTGAAACCTCTTGGGTGGGTGAGTGGAAGGGAAAGGGGCCTGAAACCCCTTGGGTGGGTGAGTGGAAGGGAAAGGGGCCTGAAACCCCCTTGGGTGGGTGAGTGGAAGGGAAAGGGGCCTGAAACCCCTTGGGTGGGTGAGTGGAAGGGAAAGGGGCTGAAACCCCTTGGGTGGGTGAGTGGAAGGGAAAGGGGCCTGAAACGCCTTGGGTGGGTGAGTGGAAGGGAAAGGGGCCTGAAACCCCTTGGGTGGGTGAGTGGAAGGGAAAGGGGCCTGAAACCCCTTGGGTGGGTGAGTGGAAGGGAAAGGGGCCTGAAACCCCTTGGGTGGGTGAGTGGAAGGGAGAGGGGCCTGAAACCCCTTGGGTGGGTGAGAGCAAGTGAAAGGGGCTGAGTCCCCTTGGGTGGGTGAGTGGAAGGGAAAGGGGCTGAGTCCCCTTGGGTGGGTGAGTGCAAGTGAAAGGGGCTGAGTCCCCTTGGGTGGGTGAGAGCAAGTGAAAGGGGCTGAGTCCCCTTGGGTGGGTGAGAGCAAGTGAAAGGGGCTGAGTCCCCTTGGGTGGGTGAGTGGAAGGAATGGGGCTGAAACCTGTTTGGGTGAGTGGAATGGGAAGGGGGTGAAACCTTCTTGGGTGGGTGAGTGGAAGGAAGGGGGGTTAAATTCCTTTGGGTGGGTGTGTGGGAGGAAGGGAGCCGACCTTTTTTCTCTGTTTTCCTCCCTCTGTGACCTTTTCTCTCTGTTTTCCTCCCTCTGTGACCCTTTTTTCTCTGTTTTCCTCCCTCTGTGGCCTTTTCTCTCTGTTTTTCTCCCTCTGTCGCCTCTCTCCCTCTCCCTCACCCGCTCTCTCTTTGCATCCCTAGGCATCTTTCCTCTGTTCCATAAAAAACGATTTTCTCATGCTTGGCTCTGTGCTGTGACATGGTGTGTGCTGGGCTATGCTGAGCTGTGCCATTCTGGCTGCTATGGCATGATGGGGTGTATTCGAGGGGTGTCAAGGCCATAGCATGGCATGGCATGGCATGGCATGGCACAAGATGGCATGTCTTGACAGGATGTGGCGTGGCATTAGAAAGCTGGGGCAAGGCGACAACAACTGGAAGGGGAGTGTAGTAGGGCAGGCAGCAGGGCTCGTTTAGGGAGCTGCGGATGATTTGAATCTGGGTCTTTGAAGGGTCAAGTGACGACAAACCTTGGCAAGGTTGCCGCAACTTTGGGTGAGACATGCAAGGAGGGGGGTGGGTGGGTAGTGTACTCGGAAGTGGGGGTGCTCTATATGTATTATAGAGTTCACAGGACACAGCACACTGAGATGCGGTCAGCATAGACAAGTGACTGCATTTGCACAAATAAGTAACTACAGTACAAATATGTACACTACATCAATATAAGCTTGGCTGCCAAGCCAACCCCACTTCTCTCACTAAATCAGTACTGGCTGCCTGTAACTTGTGTGTTTCAAACCACTGAATCAATATTGCCTTACAAGAATATTGCCTGCTATTACCTAGTGTCTCCTGTTCATACCCCCTCTATCATGCCCATCCAACCATGGCTGTTATTATGAACTCGTACTTATTTCCTAACCATAGTGTCAGTGCGCGGCGGGCACAGCATGGCTTTAACTCGCTTCACGGGCGGCAGCGCGAACAGCTCGTCGCACGCGCCGCTCCCGGCGAGAGTGCCGGCGCAGGAGACGGCGGTGGAGAGGAGGAAGAAGGACCCGCAGATGACGTTAAAGACAGACGCGCCTCCTAACGCCATGGCGCGACGTCGAATGACGGAATACGAATGGGTGGAGACCAGCGCAGAGGGATGTGACGCCTGCTGCGAAAGAATTTGACACGAGGATGTTACAGTGAACGCGACGGCAATCCCAATGGATGTCAAGAAGGGGGCTTTCCCGAGCGTCGAGGTGAAACTATACGCGCATAACGGCTGGCCGCCGAGACGGCCGACAGACGTCACGAGTGCAGACGATTTACTGTAGTTACGCGGGCTGCTATTGGAAGCGACCAGCCGTCAACTGCAGAGGTCAAAGCCTTTAATCGAGCATGACAGCGTAACTAAAGACACGAAGTGAAGTTAGTCCAGTGAGAGGATGCTGCAGCCTGCTATTAATCGGAAACCTACCCGTGGCTACTACGTGAATTGAGCTAATCGCTGTGCGTCCGTGAAAGGCGGGAGATTTGGCACTTCACTGTTCCCTGTATGGTGCTTTCGAGCGTCCAAGATTACATAAAAAAATGTGTTTTAGTCTGGGCCGGTTCAGGGCGGTTCTGGAAATCGGTACTTCCCTGAACCACCCACAACTGTGGGAGTTCTCGAAGTTGGTTCGTGATTGGGTGCAGTGATTGACAAAAGCACTCTTTCTTACTTTTCTGCATTGTTATGCAAACGAGGCACTTAAAAAGCTGAATGTTTCCTGCACCCACAGAGTGCCACATACACACCGACGCGTGTTCCTAGCCCTACCTGCACCAACCTTGACGTGCCACTTCAGACAGCGAGATGGCCATGGTTAGCCAGGTCAGCCTCGACATTTTCGGCAAACCAAACCCAAACCAATTCCTGGTTTCCCATTTCACTCATCACACGGCGAATACTGTCTATCTTTGACCTTAGTCATTTCCCTCTTCTTGCTTTCCTTCAGCCGTCACCTCTCTGTATCCTGTCGCACGCCGATTCGGCTTATGGCGGCATCGCTTCTTGCTCCTGTCAGCTCTCACCTCGTCGTCCCCTGTCGCACGCCCTGTCGCGCATCTGTCGCTAATGCGGCTGAATGGGGTCGACGAGAGTTGAGCACACGACGTCGCCTAGTCTTCTGCTCCGCTCAACCGCCCGCGAGTAACGCAGAAAACGACAAGGATAAAAGCGACAAAAGCCAAGAACAACAGCCCAACATAGAACCCATCGCACCTCCTCCCGCAGCGTCATTTGCGGCGTCTCCTGAGGGGCGTGATGCGATTATGGCTGAGCTGGACCGCGCGTTGAGCGGCGAGGAGTCGAAGGCGCTCTGGGCGGAACTCGAGTCGGCCGCGCTGCGCGTTTCCCGCGCGCGCGCGTCGTACGAGGAGATGGAGAAGAAGGAGAAGGAGCTGCTCGCGCTTAAGGCGGAACTGGAAGCCGCCGCGCTGATGGAGGCGGAACTCGCGCAGGCGGACGCGCAGGTGAGCGTTAGGGAGCGCGCGGGGGAGAATGGGGGAAGAGAGACGGCTGGTGGAGGAATGGGTGGGGTGGGGGGAGGGGGTGGGGATTAGGGTGAGCGATGGATATTAAAACCGGCGCAAGAGGGAATCAGGGGTCATGAGGGGAAAGGAGGGGGGAGAGGGGGGTGGGGGGGTTGAGGACGGGGGAGGGAACAAACAAGCACCCTAAAAACGACTCTCTAGACGGCTAAAATCTACCATCGAGTCCACCACCTGTTCATTAATACTACGCTGGAAAGGCGATGAGAGAACCCAAAAACCGAGGTCTGATCGCCCCTTGCAGGCGATCACAAAACTCTTCATCCTGATCCAGGGTCTCCCCCTGCAGGCCCTGCACGCCCCCCCGCCCACCACACTATCCCCCACACTACCCGCCAAACCATGCCCACACCCCTCCATTGTGTTGCTCTCCTCAGCATCCAATACTTGCTCTCCGTCTTTCTCCACGTCTGCTGAATTGTCCTCTACCCCTCCCATTCCCCCCATCCTTCTGCCATCCTCATTCCCCCCATCCTTCTGCCATCCTCGTTCCCCCCATCCGGCCACCATCCGCACTTCTCCCCATGCTATGCCCTCTGTTCCCCCCCCCCCCCAGCTAAACTCTGCAATTGCAACAGCCATGACAGCCTTTCTTTGCTCCTCTCTTACCTTCAAGAACTCAGGAATGGAGCTTTGAGCGAAGATCAAGCATAACATCGTGAGACTAGTTCGTGGAGGCTAAATGGCCATCTGGACACATCCCTCCCTGTCCCTTTGTACCCTTTAGGTGGAGAAGCTAGAAGCTGAGGTGGCAGCAGCAGAGTTGGCAGCCAGGGCTGCTGGAGCAGCCCTTATAGAGGCTCGGGCAGGTGGCGGCTTCCGAATCAGCAACGCAGGCTCGGGAGAACAAACCGCAGGGAAATGGGCGGAGAGCACCGGCTCAATCAATGAGGACAAAGAACGAGAGCAATCAGCCAAGGCGGCTGCAGTAGCAGCTGTAGCAGGCACTGTAGCAGGCCTGCCGTTCCTGCTGAGTCAGCGAGCACAGGAAGGCGGGACAGGATTGAGTTTTCTGGTCGCAGCGGCGGCACTAGCGGCAACATGTGCACTGTTCGGTGTAACCTACCGGTATATAGTCCGGAAAGACGTGGGAAACATTCAGCTTAAAGCCGGGGCCGTTGGTGCGTTTGGACTGGCGAGAGGGCTGGCTCAAGTAGACACCACATTCTCTCTTTTCAGCTCTGGTTCGGAAGGGATGGGCAATATTACGGATGTTGCCTTGGTGCCGGTGGCACTTTCACTGCTGGAGGCAGGGGAGGGGGTGTTGGTGCTGGCGCTCACAGCCACTGCGCTTGAATATTGCCTGCAGACGGGATTCCTGTCCTCCTTCCCTGCCGAACCACCATCCTCTTCTGAGTCATCTTCGAAATAAGAGGCCTGTTATGAAGTCAGCTGAATAAACATGTATAGTTCCCAGCTTCGATGCGGCTCCTGAATGTGTGGTTGTTGGGCTTTATGTATTGATGGGTTGTGTGGGCCTTGCTCGTGTCATTTATGTTTGCTTTCACTGCATTGGGGCGTTCCCAATCATCTATTGTGGGTTTTGACAACATTTACTCTGTATCCTTGGTGGGTCTCGTTGGTTGGTCTCGTTGTGAGGGTACAACAATAGTACATAAAACATCAATAAACTTTTCAGATTACACAATTTCAGTATTCATGGTAACAGCTACTGTAGAGCTGCAAGGACACCTCGATACAAGATGCGGTCTTTCGGCTATCCCAAGGCCAACCACCCGCCGTCGAGCTAATCTCCATTTTTCCCTCCGCCCTAATTTCTGGTCGCTCGTTTCAATCTTCTAGTGACCAATGACCGTTCTCGCCATGTCCATGACTTTTCGTGGTCTAATGGCTTTGTCTATTTGACCTTTCTTCCAAGATTGGCCTCACATTCGCGTTGTTACGCGACTCGTAATCTTTATCCTTTTTAGTTGCTGGGTTAGGTGCTTACATCCCGCCGACGTCCAAGGTTGAACCTCACAAGGCTCGCTCCGTGTGGTCGCTTCATTCACTTCGAGCAATTGATGCGCGTCAAATTGAGCGTAGCTCACTTATTCCGATTCTTCTGCAATCGCCGAGAGGATTGTTAGATCTTTCAACAACCGTCGTTAAGCAACTTATGCGCCGCGGACACCTTAAGTGGTAATCGTCGCCTCGCGTTTTCTGTTCCGCAGCCTCATGCCTTTACCGCGCTCTCGGCTGATACTAGGTAATGCAAAGCTCCTTTCATCGAAACCCTAGCGACTCGAGGGAGGAGAGCCCGAAGCGGCTGCGTACCGAACCAGCAGAAACATCATCCGCAGCAGCAGCGACCTCAGGAACCCTAATCGCCGGCATTCCTGTTTCCTACCCGCCTGCTCATTCCATCGTCGCTAACGAGGCGTCCGGTATAAGCATCCCCGATACATCGAAACATCTGGGTTCGGGAATGTCAACCCCAACCAGGGGCGGTCCCCCCGCCCCTGGAACCGAACCCCACCGTGCCACAAATCACCAAAATCCCCATCCTCACGCTCAGCATGCTTCACCGCACCAGCAGCACCGAGGCACTGGAATGCCGGGCGACAAAGACGAACTCTCGCGAAACTTCCCCGTCGACGACATTGTGCAGCATCCGTTACCCGGTTACGTTTCCCCTTCCGCGATCGCGTTCAGTCCCGACGACCAGATGATCTCGTACCTCTTTAGCGAAGAGGGTACCCTCACGAGGAAGCTATTCGCGTACGAGTTAAAGACGGGCCAGCAGAAGCTATTAGTGGCTCCTCCGGGCGGCGGAGTCGATGAGGATAATCTTTCGATGGAGGAGAAATTAAGGCGCGAGAGGCAGCGGGAGCGCGGCTTGGGAATCACGCGCTACGATTGGTCCAAGAACGTGGCGGTTCCGCGGATCATGATACCTCTGCCGGATGGCGTGAGTTTATTGGCTCGCTGCTACACGTGCCACCGATGCAAATTGTCCCGTTTTTTTTTTTCCTTACAAACCGGTTTCTGATCTTCCCCCACTTCCTCCTCCTCTCCCCTCCACTGTGGTTAAGGGAAACTGATTGCTTTCTTATTCACTCTGCATACCCCATTCCTCTCCCCACCAACTTCCCGCCCCCTTCCCCATACTCTAATCTCCCCGTTTCTCCTTCCCGCTCACCGTTCCCCGCTTACGCTGCCTCCGCACGTGTACGGGCGAGAATCTGCTCCTGCGCATTCCGCGCATTCTGCGCGCCCCCCAAATCGTGACCACTCTTTCCCCTCTCCCCCTTCCCTGTCTTCCCCCCGCAGGTGTACGTGCAGGACGGCATGGGCGCGGATCTGCGCCTGCGCATCCCGGGGGGCGCGTCCCCCATTCTGGACCCGCAGATCTCCCCCGACGGCTCCGCCATCGCGTTCGTGCGCGACGACGAGCTCTTCGTCGTCTCCACCACCGCCGGCGCGCCCAGGCAGCTGACCTTTGGCGCAAAAGAGGCGAACAAGGTGCGTTCAGTGCGATCATTGAGCATATGGGTGTGGTGAAAATGGTATTAGCGTAAGGCCTTAATGCACGGAAGCGATTTTTGAGGCGCCTCAAAAATCGTTCAGTGCGATCATTGAGGATATGGGTGTGGTGAAAATGGTATTAGCGTCTCCACGTAAGGCCTTAATGCACGGAAGCAAGGACGATCTGTTGGTCGTCTCCACCGCCGCCGGTGCGCCGCAGCAGCTCACGTTCGGCGCAAAATAGTCCAACAAGGTGCGGTTGAGCACTGAAAATGAAATTGAGTTCGAGCGGTGAGTGCTTGGGTGGAGAACCGGGGTGGTAGATAAGAAGAGTAGAATAAGGACCCGACACGCATCGCGCGATGCGCCTAATCCCTCGCCTCTCGTTTGCCTGCATGTGTTTGGATGTGCTCGTCTGTCTGTGCCCCCCCGCACGTGTGTCCCCCCTCATGCGTGTGCCTGTTTGCCCCCATGCGTGCACGATGTTTTGACTACGCAGGTCCATGGCTTGGCAGAGTATATCGCACAGGTAAGCTTCCCTTTTCATCTCACATGGCTTGAAAACCGGTTTACCACCACCACCCACGTGCACCCATGCCCTCATCCCAATGCATCTCTTCAAATTTACTCGCCTCTCTTTGGTTGATGCACTGGATACGTGCTTGCTGCTCCGTCATATGAGTACTCGATGCCTGGCCCCACGTTGCGTCTCTATGCTTTATTCACCACAAGCCTACCCACCGTTCAGTGTCAATGTGGTGCTCATCAAATCCATCTCATGCACCACTGAACCCTGCAAACCCCCACCCCTCCCCCCCCTCCTCTCCCTCTCCCCCTTCTCTTCCCGCCTTCCCCGTCCCCCCTTCTGCGTTCTCTCCCCTTCCCCCGCCCCTTCTCCTTCTTTCTCCAATCCGCCCCCTCCCCTTTCCTACCCGCCCACCCCCTTCTCCCTCTCCTTCTCCCTTCGCCCACCCCCTTCTTCCCCCTCCACGTCCCCTCTCTCTCCCGTTCGCTCGCTCCCCACGCCTGGCGAGGGCAGGAGGAGATGGAGCGGCGAAGTGGCTTCTGGTGGTCGCATGACAGCACGCGCATCGCCTTCACGCAGACAGACGCCCTCTCACCCTGCCCACCTCCCTTTCCACTCCCCTCCCCCTCCCCTCCTCCCCACCTCACCCTCCCCCGCATCTGCTGGCATTGGCCCCCATCTTGCTCTGCTCTCCCTGTGATCTTCCCAGGAGGAGATGGAGAGGCGGAGTGGCTTCTGGTGGTCGCATGACAGCACGCGCATCGCCTTCACGCAGACAGACGCCTCTGCTGTGCCGCTCTTCCGCATCCCCCACTGCACTCGCCCGCCCGTTGGGGCGGACTCTGAGGAGGAGCACGCGTACCCTTTTGCAGGTATGGGACGGGTGCCAGGTTTGGGTCTCAGGTATAGTTTGCCGTTACCAGACTTGGGAGGAGCTTGGGAACCAGGTTAAGTAGCAAGAGCAATCAGCTTGATTTGGTTGCCCAATTTCTAAAGTCCGTCCTCCTTCCCTTTTCCTGAGACCCCCCTGTTTCAGTCACATCTTTTCCCCCCTTTTTCTGTTGTGTTCGCCATTCCAAACGTCCTCGTCCCTTCTGTCTCCCCTTTCCAGGCCAGGCAAACGTGAGCGTACGGCTCGGGGTTGTTCCCGTTGCTGGCGGCGAGGTTCGGTGGATGGACCTGCATTGCGGTTTGGCAGGAAGCAGCTTCGGTAAAACAAAAAGCAGCAGCAGAAGTGACAGAAGAAAAAGCAGCAGCGCTGGTACTAATGCTGGTGATGGCAATGGCTCTGGCAATGGTGATGGTGAAGGGATGGGAAGCGACGCAAAACAGGATGCAGGAAACAGAGGGGTGTTGCAGCAAGTAGCAGCAGCAGGTAGCGCACAGGAGGGTGACACAGGGTCTCTAGCTTTGTGCCTTCCTGGAAGGGATGCTTGGGAACCTACACTGGCAGAGAAGGAAGCGAGTGGGGTTGGTACGGCTGGCAGTGATGGCAATGGCACAGCTGTTGCAGCTCCCGCATCTGCTACAGTTGCAACTGCTGCTACAACCGCTGGCGCCACTGACTCCACAGACGACGACGACGACGACGAGGAGTACCTAGCAAGGGTCTCGTGGCTTCCAGACCGGCGTCTCTCCGCGCAGGTGCAGAACCGCAGGCAGACGCGCCTCAAACTCATCCGCTTCGACCCCTCCACAGGCCACAGAGACCTCATTCTCACCGAGTCCAACCCCCTCTGGGTGAACCTGCACGACTGCTTCACCCCCTTGGTGAAATCCGGGGGGGAGCTGCGCGGGGGGTTCCTGTGGGCGAGTGAGCGCACAGGGTTCCGGCACTTGTACTTGTATGCAGGGTCGGGGCGGTGCGTGGGGGCGGTGACTGGAGGGGAGTGGATGGTGGAGCAGGTAGCAGGGTTGGATGAGGGTGCTGGGCTGGTGTATTTTACTGGGACTATGGATAGTGCGCTGGAGAGTCATTTGTATGTGACGAGGTTGTTTGGGGGTGTGGAAGGGGGAGCGTGTGCTGCTGGGTTGGTGTCTGCGCTGGGTTCGGAGAAGCGTGATGCGTTTTCACGTTATGAGCAGCTGCAGCAGTCTCAGCAGCAGCAGCAGCAGCAGCAGGTGGTGCCGATGGTGTTGGATTCGGTACAACCCACCGCATCATCATCCCCAGCAGCAACAACAGGAACAACAGCAGGAGTAGCTTCACCAGGTCTACCTGCCTCCAACCCATCACCACCACCAGCAGCAGCAACAGCAGCAGCACCAGCAGCAGCAACACCACTCCTCGCACCCCCCTCCACCTCCCTCGCCCCCACCGCCCTCTCCTCCTCTCTGCCGCCCGCCCGGCCCATCCGCCTCACCCAGGGTCCCGGGCGGCACCTGGTGGTGCTGGACCACAGCCTGCAGCGCTTTGTTGACCTCGTTGACTCGCTTGACTCGCCGCCCGCCGTGCGCCTCTGCTGCCTGGCGTCGGGGCGGGTGCTCGCAGTGATCTTCCAGCAGCTCTCGCCCAACCCCCGCGTGCAGCGGCTGCAATTGCGGCCTCCGGAGTTGGTGGAGGTGACTGCTGCCGATGGCACGACACTGCACGGAGCTATCTACCGGTGAGTACCAGCATGCACTTACAATACAACCCACTGGGACCCCCTCGGGGCGAGGGCTAGCGGCGATCTTCCAGCAGCACCCGCCCAACCCCCGCGTGCAGCGCCTGCAACTGCGGCTGCCTAAACACAGGATGGTGCCATCAGCAGCAGTGGTTAGCAGAGGTTACTGCTGCTGACGGCACCACACTGCATGGGGCCATCTACCGGTGAGTGTGCTGCCTGCCTGGTGTTTGCCGGCAAGTTCTCTTGACGTAGGTGCGTGGAGTGGCATGTGGCGTGGTCTCGGACCTCCCAAGCTCGTGTTAATCTCTGCTGCTGATGGCACCACCCCGCAGCGCACGGGGCCATCAGCAGGAGCAGCATCCACTGGTGAGTGTGTATGGGGGATTGTAAGAGCATACTGAAAACCACTTTTGAGAATTCTCAAAAGTGATTTCCAAGCAGCATCCACTGGTGAGTGTGTATGGGGGATTGTAAGAGCATACTGGATGTTTTGCGCACCTCGTCCCCTCTGCCCCCGACTTCCCCCCTTCCCCCTTAGCGCGCGGTGGTGAGTGTGTACGGGGCCCCGCACATGCAGACATTGCGAATGACTTTTGAGGCGCCTCAAAGGTGAGTGTGTACGGGGCCCCGCACATGCAGACATTGCGAATGGTACCTTATCTCCTCTCTTCTCATCTCTCCCTCTCTCTCTCTCTCTCTCTCTCTCTCTCTCTCTCTCTCTCTCTCTCTCTCTCTCTCTCTCTCTCTCTCTCTCTCTCTCTCTCTCTCTCTCGCCCTTTCTCTCCCCGTGCAGCCAGCCCTGATCCGGCCATATTTTGCCCACCCCCCTACCGCACGGTGGTGAGTGCGTACGGGGGCCCGCACGTGCAGACGGTGTGAATGGCACTTTAACCCCCCCTCTCCCATCATCTCTCCCACCCCTGTTTTTTTCCCCTTGCAGCCCTGACCCGGCCATATTTGGCCCGCCCCCCTACCGCACGGTGGTGAGTGTTTATGGGGGCCCACACGTGCAGACGGTGTGCGAGTCGTGGTTGTCTACAGTGGACATGCGAGCCCAGTTCCTGCGCGCTCGAGGCATGCTGGTGTGGAAGGTGAGCATAACGGGGGCAACACTTTGACACAGCTCAGGCAGGGCGCATCAGACAGACAGACACAGTGGGGGCAGAGACACAGTGTCCTAGTCGTGGCTATCAACTACGGACATGCGAGCCCAGTTCGCGCGCGCTCTTTTGAGGCGCCTCAAAAGCCGCTCAGTTGCTGCGCGCTCAACACATGGAGTTGTGGTGTGGAAGGTGAGTGAGCGTGAGGCAAACTCCAAAACCCAGAGCCCTGCTGTCATAAAATGGTCATGTCATGTCAAGGCCTCCCTATCAACGTGCCAATGCCTCCATCGCAGTCCAACATGCATCCACCAGACCACATCTCCATTTCCCCCTCCTCCCTTCACGTCTCACCCCCCAACAATCGCTGTCTTCTCGCCAGCTGGACAACCGGGGCAGCAGTCACCGCGGGCTCGCGTTCGAGGGGGCCATTAAATGCAACATGGGCGGCATTGATGCTGACGACCAAGCGGCCGGCGTCCGTTGGCTTATCCAGCAGGGCCTCGCCGACCCAAATCGGATCGGGATCTACGGGTGGAGCTACGGAGGGTACCTCTCAGCCATGTGCTTGGCTCGGTACCCGAGCCTGTTTCGCTGCGCCATTTCGGGAGCTCCGGTAACCGCGTGGGACGGTTACGACACACACTACACGGAGCGTTACATGGGTCTGCCTGCAGAGCAGCCGACAGCATATGACCGGAGCTCTGTTATGCGGCATGTGGGTGGGATTCGAGGGAAGCTGCTGCTGGTGCATGGGATGATTGATGAGAATGTGCACTTCAGGCACACAGTGCGGCTGGTGCAGGCCCTTACTACTGCTGCCAAGCAGTATGAGCTGCTGCTTTTTCCTGAGGAGAGGCACATGCCGAGGGGCCTCCGTGATCGGACATATATGGAGGAGAGGATTTACGAGTTTTTGAGTAGAAATTTGTTGTGATGTGTTATGGATGTAGAGGCTGTTCAGCTGGCACACAGGTGGCAGGCACAAGACTTCACAGGATTCTCTAGATTGTTACTAAATATCTTGTTTTATGCTTACACAATCTGGAGGTGTTTCTATGGAGTATTGGGTTTGGGTGTATCTTTGCTTGACTTCCAAGCCTTTTTGTTGGGGTTTTTAGTTTCCCCGGAAGGCTTACTGTAGCTGTCCTTCTTTCAAGGGACTTTCATCTCAGCTTGCGCACACTTTCCGCTGATCCGCTTCTGAGGCGGAAGAGTTATTGTGCTAACACAGAACTCGGCTTCTCCGCACGTCACGCAAGCACTGTTTTCATCGGGTGTCTTCTGCCAGCAAGCACAAAACTAAACCCCTCTCGGGTGGCAAGTTTTCGAGGGCATCAACCCTAAACTCCACGCGATTAGGTGTTTAGGATTGATGCCCTTTATTTACATGCCAACCAAGAGGGATTATTTTTGGCATCAACCCTAAACACTTAGTCGCAGTGTTTAGGGTTGATGCCCCCTATCACTTGCCAGCCGAGAGGGATTTAGTTTAGTGCGGATTAGAGAGGAAAAAAAAACAAATTCTGTTGTGCATCGTTTGCCTGACTAGTAGCAGCTAAGGCCTTACGAGATGATGACACGTGGGTAAACGTGGAGCCGAGTTCTGTCCCAGCGCAATAAGTCTTCTGTCTGGGCGTCGAAACCTGGGAAACTCTGTGCAGGTAGAGATGAAGCTCCCTAGAAAGCGCAGGTTCCGAATACCCCTTCCGCAATAACTAAAAACCCTTTTTGTTGTTCCCTTGTTCCCTTGGGGGTGCATCTTGATCTTTGAATTTGGAACGAATTCCGGTCAGCCCAAATCCGTGCGAACCTAACCAATTGAAAATCACGATCACTTCAAATCCACCTCAACACGTCTCCTCAGCAGGCATCACTAGGGATGAGCAAATGGCGAACACGAACATGTTCGTGTTCGCCTGGGCTCGAACATGGCTGTTCGGCGAACCGAACACTGTTCGGTTCGCCGAACACTTTACACCAAAAAGGGTGTTCGAAGTTCGCCAAGAGAGGCGAACATTTCGAACGTTTTGGCGAACACGAACATGTTCGCCCAGAACATGTTCGCGTTCGCCTAAGAGGACCTTCTCAGATCCAAGTAGAGTGAAATCCAAATGTTTCACATTCCCTCCCCCCACCCCCCAAGCCAGTCCCGCCCTGCTTCATCCAAGCTAGCGCCATCGTGCAACGGCGAAATGCTAGATCTACGCTTAAGCAACGGCGAAATGCTAGATCTACGCTTAAGCAACGGCGAAATGCTAGATTTGAGCTTAAGCAACGGCGAAATGCTTGATCCGCACTTAGGCAACGGCGGAATGCTAGATCTATACTTAAGCAACGGCGAAATGCCTTGATCCGCACTTAAGCAACGGCGAAATGCCTTGATCCGCACTTAAGCAACGGCGAAATGCCTTGATCCGCACTTAAGCAACGGCGAAATGCCTTGATCTGAGCCCAAACACCAAGACCCGCGACCTAAAAATTGGTCGCGGGCCTATTCGTCGACGAACACTGATGCCGCATCACATCCTCTGGTCAAGTTGTGCTCGACGAGCATGGCGCCCTGCATTTCTCCCTGCACTGCTGGCGGATAAGGTGTCATTTTGAGAAAACCGCGGAAGGGGGTCCGACGTACTTTCGGGTTTGGTCGGGATTCACCAAGAATGTAAAAGAGAACCCAAACCTAGCTGGCCCTTCACCCCGAACATTAAGTGCGAGTTTCTTTCTAGAGGCTACCTGCCCGATGTATCTTTATAGTCCCTCAATCTCTGGATGTCCTTCGCATCAAGTCAAAGCCTGCAAAGGGTACCTACGAACAAAAAGGGTAGGGGGTGTACTGTACCTTGACCGTCTCTCAACTCCATGTCCACCCATCGTTCAACCAATCGATGAAGAGATAGGAGGGTGCGGTAATTTGAGAGGCAAGTAATATCGTAAAGCTAGGACAACGTGGCTCAGATTTCTGGTCAGAATTTAGATATTTCCAAAGCAGCAGGAAGAATTCTGTGCACACTTCATTCGGAAACTCTGAATGTACACGCCACATTCATTCATGCGGTACCTTCTAGAACCTTCGCCAGCATTCTAGAAAGAAGGGCAGCAAAACCGATGCCAGTTGGGCATCGATAAAAAAGTTCCTCGGATATTCCTCAGGACACCTCATGCTGTGACTTTTTGGCCTATCCCTTTCACTGCCGGCGTCTGCTTTTTCTTCTCATTGGTGTGGGCTGAAGATTGAAGGTGCTGAACGCCATTGCCAGAATGTCGTTTCGCGCCCAAATCGACCGACAGGGCAAACATGGTCCATGACCATGCCAGAACTTCAGTGCACAGTACCATGTGTACGACGAGAGTTCGCTGTGGGTGTATAAAAGTTTCTGACGACTGGGACTCTGAGAAGTCTGCTCCCAGAATTTAATGAAATGTGTCAAATACAGGGGTAGTTGATCTCAAGGACCGACACGAGGGTTGAGTTATTCGGGTCCTATTACTGGGGTGAAAGTCGGCAGCTACGTAGTGGTGATTACACAAATAGTAGCAGACCGATTCGAAGGGTAATTTCTGATTTCAAAACGTTGCCCGATTCGACTCCCTTTCGCTTTGGCCCTTATCTCTTGTCGCTCCAAGGGACGCCCTTCCTGGCTCGGTGTCGTCGCTGTTGTGTGATGATGGGAGGAGGCTGAGGTATGGAGGAAACACTTGGTGGTCCGTGCTTCAAGAGCAGCCAATCATCCTTTGAACGCCGAACTTTTCGTCATCTCCTCACGTGATCACCCGTACCTAGAGGCTTGCTAGGGTGAGCCCCATCAGCAAATGGTGGCTGACGTGTTAAAATATCAACCAACGCTTTTTCTCCAGTTGCAGTGCCTCTGGTCCCTCCCGTGCGCGAACTACAGTTTTCATTAATGACAGCTTTTGCCCCCTTCCTGAAATTGCTGCCCGTGGGCACCCAGAGCAAGCGGAGCTTGGGGAGGGTGGCGGTGTACACAACGGGGCGAACTGCCCAGCGCCCGAGTGTGAAAACAAATATCTTGCGGAAGCCGGCTCGCATTGCACTTTCGTGCGGAAAAGGAAGGCTGGACTTTCCCTTTCCGACCGCGCGCAGGAATTTCCCTCCCATCCCAGCCCCTCTTCGAATTCCCTCCGGACCGCCATGATTACAATTTATCCATAATTCGTAAGCCAGTAGAGTACACCTAACCGCCGCTATTTTCTTTAGGTCTATTTTCAACCCCCACGTGCGCAAAGGGGTATGCACCCCTCAAACATTTTTTACCAAGGGTTGTGTCGGACGTCATACGCTCTACGCAGAGTTAGTTCCTGACTCCTGAAAGCTGCGCAATGGGATGCGCAACAGGAAGCAGACTCCACACGAGCGGAAATTGTCTTACACTCGCCCGATTAAAATCTCCAGCGTCCAGCATTTGACGTCATTCGTAGTCCCCCATACCGAGGTTTCTAACAGAAAACCCCGAAAGCTGGGCAGGGTTTATATGAAAATCGGGAACAGTGCCAAGGTGGGAAGTTGAAAATAGCGGTGGCTAGGTGTACTGTACACCCTCTTTCGCGGTAGCAGAGCATCTGGTTGCAGAACGTGGACAGGTTGTGGAACCTCACCACGTTCAGAATGGACGTTTCACCATGTGTACAGGCACATTTTGTCTCGATGATGATGACTTCTCAGGTGGCAAGTGCATCTGCAGGCCACTGGTTTAGGGCTAGCAAAGTTGTCAGGATTTCACAAGATCAGAGGAAATCACAACACACGAATGTGCTGATTTGCACTGGTGGCATATGATTGGTTCAATTGATGAACCTACGGCCAAAGAGGACCACCGAAATCCCAATCCACCTTTGACGTACGACTTCCTGGACCCTGCCTCGTCAGCTGGAGCGTGTAAACTGTCACATCGAAATCGAGGAAATGTCGTAATAGTAGGTATACTGAGGAGCCATAGCTAGGGTTGACCTAGCTAGGCAATAGAGAATGAAGCAAAGAAGGTTTGCACTAGCAACAATGGTGGTACAAATAGCTAACCCTAGAAGGGTTGTACTCGCTATAGAGCACCCCACTGCAGACTAGAGCATAATATTCTGACACACCCCCATAGTCAAAGTGGGGTGTAATCAGCAGAGCAAGCAAAGTAGTACAAGCTCAGGGTGGATCACGATGTCACCACACATTCTGAGCACAAGCAAGAAGCAATAGTTTAAGGTTCAAATTATGAGCAAAGCTAGAGGCAGTCACAGGGGGCAAGTGAGGAGGAGGAGGGCTGGCGAGAGGAGAGTAGATAGGAGGCGACGACTGAAGATGCAGACACACGGGCAACAGACGGCTCTGGTGCGACAACGTGGCTACCGGGAATGAGTGCCCCGGAGTACAGGAGTAACAGGCTCCGCGGCTAATATGCTCGGCAGGAGCAACGGACCCACAGGCGACGGCGCAACCGGCTCTCTGAGCTACCGGGAATGAGTGCCCCGGAGTACAGGCGCTGCGTACGACACGACGGCGGCCTCCGCTCAACCTCCCCCAACAGTCCCACACCCCTCGACACACACCCTCTGCTTCAAACCCTAGCTAGCTCCACTCCCACGGTACCCCCCTTAAACCCCAAACCCTAGGCTCCCACACACCACCCCCCTCAGCGGCAGCTGTAGCAGAGGGAGACTAGTGAGAAGGAGGAGCAGGGGGAGGAACTCACAACCGACACCCCCATAGTCGCCACCCCCACACTCCTCACCCCCAAACCCTAAAACGGGCGGAACGGGGGAAGGAGCGCGGGGAACGGCGAGGGGGACGGCGCACGGCCCCCAGGACGCCACCACGGGGCAGCGAGGGGCCGCGCGCGGCTCCTTAGGGCGCCGCGACGGGGCAGCGAGGGGTCGCGCGCGGCTCCCCAGGGCGGCGCGACGGGAAATCGGGGGCCGCGCGCGGCTCCCCAGGGCGTCGCGGCCGTCGACGGGGCAGCGAGGGGTCGCGCGCGGCTCCCCAGGGCGGCACGACGGCGAATCGGGGTAGCGGGGGGCCGCGCGCGGCTCCCCAGGGCGGCGCGACGGGAAATCGGGGCAGCGGGGGGCCGCGCGCGGCTCCCCAGGACGTCGCAACGGAAAGGGCGGGGGCGCGCGGGGTCCCCCACGGTAGGAAACCGCCGCGCGCCTCGGGGCGCACGGCGGGGAGAAAACCGCCGCACGCCCCGAGCGCGCGGCGGGATAAAAAATCCGTCGCACGCCACGGGGCGTGCGACACAGACAGTAGTAGGAGCAGCGGAAGACTGAGGTGGTGGGGCCCACCCACAGGATCGACCCAACAGGATCGTCCTGCTCTGATACCATGTCGTAATAGTAGGTATACTGAGGAGCCATAGCTAGGGTTGACCTAGCTAGGCAAGAGAGAATGAAGCAAAGAGGGTTTGCACTAGCAACAATGGTGGTACAAATAGCTAACCCTAGAAGGGTTGTACTCGCTATAGAGCACCCCACTGCAGGCTAGAGCATAATATTCTGACAATTCTGTCCGAAATCGATTTGAGAATTGGAAATTGGCGACTCGGGGGGATTCAAACAGCACATAAAATTCCCTCGTGAAACTCAATTCGACATCCACGAGTCGTGGCAGCACCACGCTTCAACCATGGCCAGAATACGCATCAGAGCGGCTCTCACCCGTCGCATCAAACGCGCCATCTGCAAACACCACGAATCAAGCCCAAGCGCAACTCATGAACAACTCGCAACTTGGACGGCCGTGAGATTCAAGGTCACTCCAGCGCGGTCAACCGTCAGTAAGGTGCTGAAAAACAAAAACGCATGGCTTGCTGAGACTCTTGGGATGGATGACCAGCAACGTGTGAGGAGGAGGTTATATCCTGGGTTGGAATTGCGTCTGTGCTCTTGGATTAATCTAGCCGCTGCAGCTGGCTTGCCACTAACCTTGAACCTCATCCAGTATCGTGCACGTCATCTGGATTGGAGGGTCATGGACATCACCAAAAAGTGTCGGTCCGAAATGCAGCCGGCCAGCTAGGTGGTCCACATTGTGTCATTTGACCCCCCAAAAGTGTCCAAAAAGAGTCTTCACCCAAAATTGAAGGGTCTAAAAATGTCCGAAAATTAGCCAAAACGCGAAGTATCCGGAATCTGTCCAAGAAGTCTCCGATTCATGTTACTATGCAGAAGGTCGGGGATCGATGCTTGCCTGGTGCACTATACCGAACACAAAATTGTTAGATTAGGAAAGAAAACGAACACTCCCAATTATAAGTTGCTTTTTACTAGCTAGAATCGATCTCGCGATCTCCCAATCGCACGCGCGATTCGTAACCACTAAGCACCTCGGTTGTAAACCAAGCAAGTTGGTTCAATTAAACTCAAAATCCAATCAAAAACTCCTTCGCAACATGTTGACACCTGTTGCCAGGGTTGCCACCTGTCACACCACCTGCCACACAAACGCCTTCCTGTGCAGGTTAGGCTCATAAAACATTAGCCACAGCTACCTACACACCTTACCAAACTCATCCCCCAACCACTCTCGACTTGTCCATCCCTTTCAGATCTAGATGCTCCATTTTTTAAACTGAGCTTTTCACTCGAGCATTTCTTGCCCAACATTTGTTCGCACGATCTGTTTTGGTTAGCCTAGCACTACGACTTTTGTAGAACCAATCTAGCTTTGCGGATGTTATACATTTAGGTTTATAAATCCAGTTTCTGCTTTTCTATGCAACAATGTCATGGTGTTCATCGCTTGCTGAGATGTGCGCGGTCCTACGTTTTTTATTCATTCATACAACCAGAATAACGCATTCCATGACGTCGTTTACTTATACCGCTCCTATTTCCAATATCTATCTATCCCCAGTGCAGCATTTGACGGTCTTCTTTTTACGTAACAAGTTATTCAACTTCGGGCGCTGCTAAGGAGCGCTACGGGCACTGCTAAGGAGCGCGATGGGCGCTGCTAAGGAGCGAGACTGACGCTGCTACGGCGGGTGCTGCTAAGAGACGAGATGGGTGCAACTTAAGTGCTCGACGGGCGCTGCTAATGCGGCTGCTGCTTAGAGGCGCGATGAAGAGCGGTAATTACATTGTTTAATTCAATATGAACCTGTGTGTTAACGGTTGCTAATCATCGCTTACCTTCTGATGTTTGTTTCAGTTGCATTTGGTGAAGATTTCCTTCATAGAGGGTGAATGTGTCATCACGCAGGTCGGTTTGTTTGATTCAATGTTGGCATTTTTTGTGGTTACCGACTTATACGTACATACAAGCTTCACGTTGATTTCGCGGTTTTGTTTGTTTCCTCCCCTTTGAAAGTGCTCGCAATCTGAAGGTTTTGTTTAATATTTCACAGCCGCCATTTAGTTCTCTATCACTAAGGTACGCGTCGGGCGCTGCTTTGTCAGGACGCTGCAAAGGGTCGTGACGGGTGCTGCTTACCCTGTTGCTGGTAAGAGGCCCCATCAAAGGTGGTGCTCAATTTGCTTAATGATTTGTTGATATAGCCAGTGTGTCTTGTACTTATTGGTTTTGTCCTATATTCAGAGATGTATTAATCACCGTGTAAATGGAGATGTTTGTTTCAATCGTTTCTGGTGACTATTTTCAACCTTGTTGGACAATGTGTCATCAGTCACCACGGTTTGTACGTTTTAGTATAAGCAATTTTGTAGTTATTATTTTTTGGAATGGACCTTGTGGCTCATTCAATATTGTTCTTCAATCCGTGCAGGTTATTTTTCTTTTAAGCATTAACTAATGGGGGTTCGTATATTTATCTGGCAATGCATTATTTAGTTTCTAGCAGTTTGTATAAGTAGAAATGCCTTTGCATGTTCTTTATTAAAAATCATGTAAACAATGGTTGGGTATAAATTTTATTGGTAAAACGCATCTTAGTATATCGGGTACGTGATGTACACATATTGCCTTCGCTTTTCGTATTGTCCAAATGGACTCTTCGCGGACTCTTTGGTCGGACCTAAAACAGACTCCGGAATGTAGCAGGCCTTGGTCCAAAAAGTCTCTTTTTCTGCACGTCCGGAATCCGTCCAGAAAGAGTCCGTTCGGACTCTTGGGGACAACTTTGGGACGCTGGAAAATGGAGATGGAGTTCCATCGATGCAGCCACAGTTCAGAAGTGCTGGGCTCGAGCTGGGTGCTTACCCGTCACATGGCTGGAGCAAATGAGCCATGTCACTCCATCGACCATGGCTGAAGGACACGTCGCCCAAAGTGAAGTGGCGGAGTTAGCTCGTGCGATTGGCCAACTAAACCTTGGGCAGCGGGCTATGGGTGCGATGGAGTTCATAACAGTGGACGATCATCAGCCAACGAGCGAGCTCATGGAACCTGACCTCGTGCTCATAGACACGGCTGCAGATGGTGAAGACTCCGTCGGCCCAACCCAGTCAACGAGCTCTACTAACGGTGTCCTTGACCGTGGGACTCGTCGGATCGCGCGTCAGGCCACAGACCTTCTGGTTACATTAGCAAACGCCCGTGGCATTCCACCTCGTGCGGTCATTGAAGCTCTTGACATCCGCAATCCCACCGTCATAGACCGGCTCGAGCGAGCTAGCAGAATGACGATTGATCTGAACGTCATCGCGGAAGAGCTTCCAGACAACGACGAGCATCTGCAGGCCTCCGAAACAATCGCAGATGAAGCCGAGCTGCTGGCAATGGCGCTGGAGTTGCTGAACCGGCCTGAAATGTAGCACTCCCTCCCCTCGTCGTTTTTGCAGGATGCATTTGAAACTCCCCATCTATTTTCATGTTGGCTACCTGCAGATTTACCTTCTTTCTACGAAGGAACGTGAATAAAATGTGTGTCTGGATCTTGTCTTTGGGTCTAAGTCGTTTGTTGCTAGAATCTATGCTTTCTCGAAATTGTGCGTCTTAGTTGCGTGCGGCTGGGTGCGTGCCTTTGGTGTTGCAGTTTGGGTGTTGTCCCTGTGTTTAGATGTCGAGGGTTTTGTGTGTGTGTGGCAATTGCATTCAGAAGTTGACTCACTGCACCGGTGTGGTTTGGGCCTTGTATGTTTTGAACCTTTTGAGTCTAAGTTTGTGGTGTCTTGAGTTGGTTCGCACATTCTAAACCTCTTGTGTTGCCACATTGGATTAGCGGAACAGCTGGCGAATGCACTGTTCCGTTCTGCTTGACCTTGACCAATGCGGCTGATTTGTCGCTAGGTGCTCCCTTGCTAGCAGAATCGGTTAGCATCACCAGCGCGCTAGCTTCCAAAACTGTAGCTACGAATCGCGCAAGGTGAGAAGGTTGAGAAAGAGGGTGTACAGAATATCAAAGCTGGCTGTTTACGCTACAGAGCAAGCACAGCCTTCCCGCGCGATACCAACGTTGCCTTGAAAGCCTGCTGGAAGTGGCGGGTCTTCCGACCAGAAAGCAGCGCAGCGCAACAGTTGCTGTATCAGTGGCTCAAACTCCTCAGTCACTGAGATTTAGGAGGAAACACGCGGTGCTTGCCGCACATTCACGACCGCGACACACACTAAGGTGACTCCGGAGCGACGGGACACTACCAACTCTTTGTCCGGAAGAAAATTCTCGAGGATTCTCGAACGACGAGACTGAAAAAAAACTCTGACTCGGCATCGAAGGACGCCACTTTGCCAAAGAGAGCCTCGAATATTCTGACGAGAATCCAAGACGCGCCTGTTGCTGTGAAAGTTCGTTGTCAATCACTGTCAACTCGACTCGAATTCGCCCTCCAGCGTCATGTGTCAGCCCATCTCCCCCTTCACGGCGGAGATTCTCCTCCGCCTCGGGCCCGCGGATACCGCCATTGGCTTCGCAGAGGGCTCCACGCGCGCTTCACCCGCGGTAATGGTGACTGCGGATCCCGCAGGTCGCGGCGGCGCTTCCTCTGGTCCAGCCGGATCAGATCATCAGCCGCTGAGTCAGCGCGACGATTCTGCTGCGACGCCGCCGAGCCGACGTGCCACGTCACGCGTAGTATTGCCTCAGAACTCTCCCGCAACGCGGTCACGTGTGGCGCACTGTTTAAAGACGTCGCAGAACCCTGTTTGCGGCGCGGTGCCGCCGCGGAATCCGCTGGCCGTGACTAGCATTAGCCCCCCAGCTGGCGGGGCCGCGTCGGCTGCGGCGCGGATTCAAACGGTCACGCCGGCGAACCATCGCATGCGACCAATCACACTTCAGGAGCTCAAGGAAAGCTTTCACCTGCCCATCAGCGAAGCTGCCCGAAAGGTCCTTGACATTTGATTTCTTGTTACGCTCGCGCCTCGCTAGATCAAGAATCGCCCCGCGCTGGCACAATGCGGCCGTTGCTTCGACTGCACGCCCTCTTTGCTGCTCACCTCCGCGTGTCCACGGCCGTGCTGCGTACTCCTCTCTCCACCTCACCTTCCACTCATCCTCGCCTTCCCCCTCTTCCTCGCGTGTGTGCGCAGCTCGGCGTGTGCGTCACGGTGTTGAAGCAGCAGTGCCGCGAGCACGGCGTTGCTCGATGGCCGTTCCGCAAGGTACGGCGGGGTGACGAGCCGCGGCATTGCGAATTCTATTTTCCAATGTTCTTTTCTTGATACAGACAATGCACCACACCTACAAATTTTGCTCCGGATTCGCTGCTTGCGCCACTTTCTCCGCTTCACCTCGTCAGATCTATGCGCTCCTTCGCTGACTGTCCTTTTTTCTTCGCTCTCTCCTCCGCTCGCCCCCTTCCCCTCCTCCACTTCCCCCATCAGATCCGCAAGCTCGATCACATGCTGTGCGCGCTCGAGGGCGCAGTCAACCGCGGCCCGCCGGGCGCGGCGAGCAGCAGCGGCAAGCCCGCGCTAACGGCGCAGCAGGCGCACACGGACCACCAGCGGAAGCGCAAGATTGGCGCGGTTAAGGAGACGCTGTCGGGACTCTTAACGGATCCCAACTCCGCGGCGCATATGCGCCTCGGCAAGATTAAGTACAAGCGCTTCCGGCCGTTCCTCGCGGAAGACGACCGGAACCTTCGCCCGCGGCCCCTGCACGCGTCGGCTCGACAAGTTCCCGCTCCCGCTGACGTTCCCGTTGACGCTGACATTGACGTCGTCGTTAACGTTGACGTTGAGGACAATAAATCCAATGCAGAGGATCGCAACCCTGACGCTGACATTGACCGTTCCCGTGCTGGCGTTGACCCTGGCGTTGACGCGCTACTGAGACCGGACTTTGACATGAACGAGCTGCCTTGCAACGAGGACGATGCTAGCACTAGTTTCGGCGCTCCGACACGTTGCGCGGACGGCGTTGCTCGCGCGGAAGGCATTGGTTGCGCGGACGGCATGGTCTGCGCGGACCATAATGGTTGCGCGGACGACGTTGCTCGCGCGGACAGCATTACACGCCTCGACGGTGTTGCTCTCGATTCGTGTTTCTCCACGCCGCTACCCACGCCGCTACCCACGCCTACGTCGTCCCGTCGCCTGCCGCCCATGGGCGCACTCCCTCCTTTGTCGCTAGACCTATGTAGCACACTACAGCCATGCAGCGCGCTCCCGTGCAGCCCGCTCTCGTGCAGCGCAGTCCCATGCGCGCGCGCCTTTGCCTTTGGCGGAGCACCCCCCTCTCCTCTGATGTCAACTGCTTGCGCCAACCCCTTCGCCTCGCCAGTGCGCTGCCTACCACCGTTTCCCCCGCTTCCGCTCGCGTCCCCGCTCTGCCTGGACGACGCATCTGCTGCGGTCGCAGTGTCGTCATGCCAACCCTTCTTTTCCTCCTCCCAACCCGCTGCTGTTGCATCCCAACCCCTACCACTAACAACGCTCCAGCACTTAACTTCGTCGCAGCCTCCCCCTGCATCGCTGCAGCTATCAGCAAGCCAACCGCCTGCCTCGAGCTCTACGCACAGCAGCGTCGTCACTAGCAGCAGCGGCAGCAGCAGCGCCACCACCACCAACGCCGTTAGCGCGACCCGCAGCAACAGCAGCAGCAGCAGCAGCAGCAGCGGTTGCGGGCGAGTCGGCTCGACCACACTCGCGTTCTCGTTTTGCGGCGATCCGATTCTCCCTGCCCTTTCAAACGAAGGTGCTGCTCCTCCCAATACACAATCTACAGTGTTCTTTTATGGGTGCCAATCTCCAAACGTAGAGCTACATGCGCTTTTGCATAAACACCATCACAACTCATCCCAGTAATGACGTTTCATGTTTCGTACTAAGCATTATACCATTCAAGCTGACAGCATTTCACTGTTCTCACAAAATCATGTGTTGTGCGTAATTTAAATTCAGTTTTGACGGTGTACTTCCATGACAAACCAATTACCATCGTATCACAAGCAGCAGCACTCAGCCCGCGGGCCTCTACTAGGGAAGCTGTGCATACCAGACTCCACTCCACTGCTACACCTCCTCCATCCCTCTTTACGCCTCTCCACGCCTCTGTAAGCCTCACCACACCTCTGCATGCCTCTCCACAAGCCGAGGGTGCTCAGTGCTCACAAGCGATCCATGCCTTATCACAGCACACATGAGCACACCCATTGAAAGCTTCAGGTTTTGTGCAGGGAGCTCGGCGGTCAAATACGTTGGGTGTCTTGCATTCCAATGCCACGATGCCATGCCTCCATGCAGCATCAACACTCCAGGGTCCCTTGCTTCATGCTCTTGGCAGTATTGTGCGTTTTATATCCTCCTACAGTGTCTGCTGCTGTTAAAGTCTACGCACCCCAGGCCTACATGTACGGTACTTCCATCCAGCTTGATGCTCATCACAGCCAGCTCAGCAGCCAGCTCAGCAGCCAAGTACCACTTGGAAGAAAAACAGCACCCCCCCACTCGCATCACAGCTCCGACCCTGAGCCAGAGGCGCCTCACACATCTAGAGTGAGCTTGATGTTCATTGCTGCCAGCTCAGCAGCCAGGTACTTGAACACATACGGCATCGCCACTCGCACCACGCCCTTCCCCGTGCCACACACCCGACACACCGTCTTCTTCTGCCGCAGCTCCCCCCCCACCGTCCCATACCCCATACCAGCCCCCAACCCCAGGCCTGCCGCCGTAGCTGCATCCGAGCCGGCCGACCCGCTTCGGGGCCGAGCCAGCGCCGGAGCTAGAAGGGAGCCGCAGAGGGAGCAGACATCAGTGGTGTGATAGTCGGAGCACGAGTGCAACCGGTCGTGTAAGAGAAACGCCGCGCCGTGGGACAGCATTGCATCGCGCTCCATCTCCCCGAACCGCACTCCACCGCCCTTCTTCCTCCCCTTCACCGGCTGCTGTGTGAGTGGGTTCACAGGTCCGGTAGACCGAACCTGGAACTTATCCGATACCATGTGTCGCAGCCGCTGATAATACACCACTCCCAGGTAAATCTCACACTCCATCTCACACCCGTATACTCCGCTATACATGGTCTCCGTGCCATAGTAGCTGAATCCCTTTTCCACCAGTTGCCGCCCAAATGTGTCCACCAGATCCTCGCGATTCTGCGGCTGATTTGATTCTCCCGCCCTACCTTCTGCCGCTGCTGCCGCCGGACCTGCAGGTGTGGCAGCAGGCTTGGCAGACTGGCCAGGCTTGGCAGATGAAGCCGGGGTTGGGAGATCCAAGGGTGTGAAGCTTCCAGCAACCTTCCTAGCACCACCACCACCACCACCACCACCAGCACCACCACCACCAGCAGCAGCAGCAGCAGCACCAGCACCAGCACCACCAACACCAGCAGCAGCAGCAGGAGTGGCAGGCGTAGCAGGGGTGGGGGGAGCGCCCAATTTCTTGTGCAGCTTAGAGCGGGCTACAGGGGTGGAAAGACCAGGGGTGGCAGCGGAGGAGCGGGCCAATCGGGAGGCGCCACGTCGCTGGGCGGGCTGGCGGGACTTGAGGCTCATGGTGAGCGGCGGGGGGTTGGGCGTGGCGGGGCGGAACGGGGAAGCATCCACGAAGTTTCCGTGCAAGGCTCCACTCTGCAAAGAGAGGGGCAGGGTGGGAGAGGGAGAGGGAGAGGGAGAGGGAGAGGGAGAGGGAGAGGGGGGGCAATGTGAGGGAAGGCAGTGGAAGAAACATACTCGACATGAGAACGAAGGAGCTGTTGGAACGAGAGTGCTGACAATGATGCAAGAGCATCAGAGGGTAATAGTAGTTGGGGAACGAGCTGGGTAGTGAGCAGAGATGGGGATGATACGGCAGGCATGGAAACTTGGGACGGTTGGGGTTGAAATAGACTCACCAGGCAAATCTCTCATTCCCGCCCAAGTCAAGTTTTGAGTCGACTCAAAACTCAACTCAATCTCTCATTCCCACCCAAGTCATCTCACCTTGGCAGCGACAGACTCAACGAGCATGCCGATGGTCATGCGTGAGGGGAAGGCGTGGGGGTTGATGATGATGTCTGGACGCATGCCGGAAGAGGACGAAGCGATAGAGGGGGGAGGTGACACATGGAGGCACGGTGCTTCAAGTCAAGTCGTCAAAGGAGCAGGCCAGCCCAGAGCACGTTCCACTCACCTTAGCAGCCACGGACTCAACGAGAATGCCAATGGTCATGCACGAGGGGAAGGCGTGGGGGTTGATGATGATGTCTGGACGCATGCCGGAGGAGGAGGTGTGGGGGGGGGGGGGAGGGGGTCGACAGAAGGGCATGGCAGCTTGCAACACGAATGAGTCACTCACTCAGCACAGCTGGACTCACCTTGGCTGCTACTGATTCAACGAGCATGCCAATGGTCATGCGCGAGGGGAAGGCGTGGGGGTTGATGATGATGTCTGGACGCATGCCGGAGGAAGAGGCGAACGGCATGTCCACGTCGGGCCACAGCTGTGACAGCACTCCCTTCTGACCGTGGCGACTGCTGAACTTGTCCCCTATCTGTGGCATGCGCCCAAAACGCAATCGCACGGAGGCCTGTAGGAGAGGGAAACAGGGGGGTACGGATGGGTGCAGAAGGGTAGAACAGGTGGGTATGATGGTGGGGGGGAAGGAGGATCCAGAGTGGGTGGCAGCTCGCAATTCCGCATGCCCCAGGAGGAGGAGGCGAAGTGCATGTCCACGTCGGGCCAGAGCTGTGACAGCACGCCCTTCTGCCCGTGGCGACTGCTGAACTTGTCCCCTATTTGAGGCAAGCGCCCAAAGCGCATGCGCACGGAGGCCTGGGAGTAGGACGAACAGGGGGGTACAGAGGGGTGAAGATGGGTACAACAGCTGGGTGCACATGGTGGATGGAAGAGGGGGATTGAGGGTGGGGGGCAACTCGCCCTCATGCCAGAGGAGGAGGAGAGGAGGAGAAGGGCATGTCCACGTCGGGCCAGAGCTGCGACAACACGCCCTTCTGCCAGTGCCGGCTGCTGAACTTGTCCCCTATCTGTGGCATGTGAACAAAACGGAGCCTCACAGATGCCTGGGGGCGGGGGAAATAGGGGTACAGAGGCGAAGAGAGGGGTACAGAGGCGAAGAGAGGGGTACAGAAGCGAAGAGAGGGGTACAGAAGCGACGAGAGGGGTACAGAGGCGAAGAGAGGGGTGCAGAGGCGAAGAGAGGGGTACAGAGGCGAAGAGAGGGGTGCAGGCAGTGAGATGGGAACATGAGGCTGACACCAGTGGTCGAACCTTAGAGTTGCACATATTGAAATAACTTTTGAGAATTCTCACAAGTGATTTCAATACATCCGTGGTCGAACCTTAGAGTTGCACATACCTTTGGGAGCGCTGTCTTGGGGCCGGTGCCGATGAGCGTAACCCCATCCACCACTGCATCCTCTAACCCCTTGAGCTTTATCCCACCTGCACGCCACTGCCCCTGCACTCACAGAAGCACTCTTGGGTTCCCCAAGGTTCCCCTGGGTCTCCCACACACCTTAGTGAGCGCTGTCTTGGGGCCGGTGCCGATGAGCGTGACGCCATCCACCACGGCATCCTCTGACCCCTTGAGCTTTATCTCGTCCGCTTTGCCTGTCACCGTGTTCACCTTGCATGCATACACTTCACCGCTCGTGATGTGCTGTACGAGGGGCACAGAGCGAGGGGCGAGAGAGGAGGGGGCAGCAGTAGGAAGGGGGGGGTTGCTACTTAGACACCTTGTGCTCTGTCTCCTCGTCCTTCGCCGCTTCCCACAGGCCCGCCCCAAGTGACTTATGAGTCGACTCAGTCACCTGGAGTCGACTCAGTCACCTGGAGTTGACTCAGTCACCTAGAGTCAACTCATAAGAGAGGGGGATAGGGATGGGACTGTTACGTAGATAGCTTCTGTTCTGTCTCTTGCCTTGGCCGCTTGCCAGCCGCCCGCCCCAGCATCCCTCTACCTCCCTAACTCCGCCCTTCCTCCCCTCCGCCCCACCTCCCCTCGTAACAACACGCGCCTCCCCAGGCCGAGGCAGCCCATCGGTGTCGATGGTCCACTTGTGCCCGCGCCTGTGGCTGGCCGCCCGCCCCAGCATCCCTCTACCTCCCTACCTCCGCCCCACCTCCCCTCGTAACAACACGCACCTCCCCAGGGCGGGGCAGCCCATCGGTGTCAATGGTCCACTTGTGCCCACGCCGATGGCTGGCCGGCCGCCCCAGCATCCCTCTACCTCCCTCCGCCCCACCTCCCCTCCGCCCCAACTCCCCTCGTAACAACACGCACCTCCCCAGGGCGGGGCAGCCCATCGGTGTCAATGCTCCACTTGTGCCAGCGCCGGTTGCTGGCGGGCCGCCCCAGCATCTGCACGGGCAGCCCGGACGGCGTGAACTTGGCCATACGTGACGTGGAGCCCTGGGTGGCCTCGATTAGCTCGTTCTGGTAAGCAATGGGATCCGGGCGGGGCGGGCGGCAAGACAGAGACAGATGTTAGCCTGAACCTAAGTACTGCCGCTCACTGGAAAATGTCCGAGGATCCAGGCGGGGTGGGCGGCAAGACAGAGACAGATGTGTGGCACAGGTGCATTGCACATCTAACCGTACTTTGTGGATGTGACCGTACCTTGCAGATGTGACCGTACCTTGCAGATGTGACCGTACCTTGCAGATGTGACCGTACCTTGCAGATGTGACCGTACCTTGCAGATGTGACCGTACCTTGCAGATGTGACCGTACCTTGCAGATGTAGCCGTACGTTGTAGATGTAGCCGTACCTTGTAGGTCTACCAGTACCTTGCAGACATAACCAAACGTTGCAGATGTAACCGTACCTTGTAAATGTAACCATACCTTGTAAATGTAACCGTACCTTGTAAATGTAACCGTGGCCAAAGCCCCTCTCCATGGACGACTTGTTGATGATCATCGCATCCTCCATGTCGTACCTGGTGTACGGGCAGGTGAACAGGCAGGTGAACGGGCAGGTGAACAGTTACTTGAGTTGAAAGGAATGAATACAAGCCAACGAGCGGAAGGAGTTAAACCATGAGAATACAACCCTGCAGTGTACCCCTTATAGCACACCCCACGTACCCAGTATAAGCCAACACGGCTACCACGGCATCAGTTCCAGTGGGGTATTGGTCCATGGCGTAGTCGTCATACACTGCCGTGCTGCCCCACCTCTCACCATCCCCCTTACAGCAAACCCCACATACCCGGCATAGGCACAAACCCGATGTAAGCACATGCCCGGTGTAAGCCAGCACGGCCACCACAGCATTGGCGCCAGTGGGGTGTTGGTCCATGGCATAGTCGTCGTCATACGCTGCCGTGCTGCCCCCCACCCATCCATTGCCCCTTATAACACACACACCACATACCCGTTATAAGCACATACCCGGTATAAGCCAGCACCGCAACGACCGCGTTGGCACCAGTGGGGTATTGGTCCATGGCATAGTCGTCATACGCCGCCGTGCGTGCGATGGGCGTCTGAGGGGTCTGCAGGCGGTACAGCTTGTTGTCGTTGCGGAAGGGGAAGGTGTGCAGCGGCATGCCCATCGTTTGCTTGCCCATCTGTTGGATGGGCGCACACACACACACAGAGATAGACACACAAACACGGATGTTGAGAGCATGAACAGGAGGGTATCGGAGGCGTCTGTGGGGTCTGCAGGCGGTACAGCTTGTTGTCGTTGCGGAAGGGGAAGGTGTGCAAAGGCATGCCCATCGTTTGCTTGCCCATCTGTTGGTCACAAACTCACGAGACACATGCATGGAGGGCCAACACACACACACAGATCCGTGTTGAGATGAAGGGCAGCAAGAGCACCACATCACAGCAGCACATGAAAGAGGGTGCTGACCTGGCACTGGTACATGCTGTGCTGACCTGGCACTGGTACATGCTGTGCTGACCTGGCACTGGTACATGTTGCGGGGGCTCTGGTTGTAATCGGACCAGGGAGTCAGGCTCGCCATCACACTCAGGATATCCGTCGGCCGAACCTCCTCGTGCGTCGCCGAACCTGCCGCTGTAGCTTGGCCGGATGGGGCGGAAGGGGACGACGAACCATCGGGGCAGAGCACGTCGAGGAAGACCTGAAGGGGGGAAGTAAGGAAGATGGGGAAGAAGGAGAAGAGAGGGAAAGGAGGGGTAGGGGGGAAGGGGGAGACGGGGTACAGGAGAGAAAGGGCAAAAGTGGGAGAAGTAAGAAAGAGATATAGGAAAGCTGTAGACCTGTGAGTGTATAGGGAGAGTACGCATGGTGGGCGTGAGCGTGTGAGAAGCAGAACCCAGCATATGACCCAGCATATGACCCAGCATATGACCCAGCATATGACCCAGCATATGACCCAGCATATGACCCAGCAGATGACCCAGCATATGACCCAGCAGATGACCCAGCAGATGACCCAGCAGATGACCCAGCAGATGACCCAGCAGATGACCCAGCAGATGACCCAGCAGATGACCCAGCAGATGACCCAGCAGATGTAGCTCAGTGCTCTGCGTGTCACATGCCCACGCCCACCACGCGTACTCTCGTTTTGAGGCGCCTCAAAACTTGTGCTTCTCACATGCCCACGCCCACCACGTGTACTCTCCCTTCCTCACACAAATGCTGTTCTCCTCGCTACCGCTTTGGCCCTGGGTTGAAGGAGGGAGGGCAGCTGCCGCATAGGAAGGATGGATGGGGGGAGGGGGGGGAGGGGGGGGAGAAGAGGGGAAAGCCCACCTGCTCCAGACTATACTGCGAACCTACCTGTACTTGCTCCAGAGCCCATCAGCTGCATTTCCCACCTGCTCGAGACTGCCTGTCCCACCACCAGCATGCTATGCTGTCACCACCCCCACCCCACCTGCTCTAGACTGCCGATGAGCTCGAATGTGGGGGCTGCAGCGGCCCTGGGGTTGAGCGAGGGCAGCTGGCGCACAGGACGAACGAAGCGAGCTGGAGCGGAGAAGAGGAAGATGCCCGGGAAGGTTCCTTGCTGGGAGAATGGGATGTAGGCGACCTCTAGGTCCCGAGGGATCTGCGAGCAGAGGGGGAAGGTTTGGGGGCAGGGGGGTGGGAGAAGGGAAACATGGGTTGGAGGTAATGGTAATGGTAATGGCAATGGTAATGGTAATGGTAGTGGTAATGGTATTGGTAATGGTAATAGTAATTAATGGTAATGGTGATGACAATGGTAATGGTAATGGTAATGGTAGTGGTAATGGTAATGGTAATGGTAATGGTAATGATAATGGTAATGGTAATGATAATGGTAATGGTAATGGCATGACAATGGTAATGGTAATGGCAATGGTAATGGTAATGGTAATGGTAATGGTAATGGTAATGGTAATTGTAATGGTAATGGCAATGGTTATGATATGATAATGGTAATGGTAATGGTAATGATAATGGTAATAGTAATGGTAATGGTAATGGTAATGGTAACGGTAATGGTAATGGTAATGGTAATGATAATGGTAATGGTAATGGTAATGGTAATGGTAATGGCAATGGTTATGATATGATAATGGTAATGGTAATGGTAATGATAATGGTAATAGTAATGGTAATGGTAATGGTAATGGTAATGGCAATGGTAATGGTAATGGTAATGGTGTCCAAACCACACCCCAACCATAAAAACACACAATTAGAGCCACTCACCCCCGCTTCACCAGTAGCCTTGAGGCACCTCAGATGCTTCACAGCACCCGAATGAATGTGCCCCAGCACACACCCATCCACCATCACTGTCAGAAACACCGCCACCAGCCCCATTGCACTCCAAACCAAGCCATAGCCCAATCACAGAAAGACGCAGAGAGCGTCACTCACCCCGGCCTCGCCCGTAGCCTTGAGGCACCTCAGGTGCTTCACAGCACCCGGTGCCATGTCCGAGTGAATGTGCCCAAGCACGCACCCATCCACCATCACTGTCAGAAACACCGGAGGCGGCGCAGGGGGCGGCACCCCCGCCCCCACCGCCGCCAGCCCAAACGGCGCCAGACACCGCAGCACCGCTCGGCCAATCGCATCGCGGGACTTCACCGAGCCTACCCCCGAACCTAGCCCCGAGGTAAGGGAGGCTGCTCCGGGAGTTCCAGCAGGTGTGGGGGGGGTGTGGGGGACGAGTGCGGAGGAAGGTGTGGAGGGGAGGAGGGCTAAGGCGGAGGAGGGGGCGGAGGGGGAGGGGGAGGCGAGGGGAGGGGGGGTGAGGTCGGTGGTGACAGTGCAAGGGGCAGACAGGTGGGTGAGGAGGCCACAGGGGGCGCCGTCTGGTGTGTGCACGGGACACACGAACCCCCACGACCTGCATTCATGGGGTGAGAAGCAAGGAGGGGGGTTTGGGAGATGAGGGAGTGAGGAACGAGGAAAAAAAAAAAAAAAAAAAAAAAAAAACTGCTTGTTGAGTGAGAGGAGGCAGCAGGGCAGGGGGCCCCACACCTCCCACCTCTGCTCCCCCTTAGGCACACTCACTCTGGCAACAGCTTGCGCATGGCGGTCGTCCGAAGAGGCGAGAAGAACGCCCCTCGATGCACGGACCGGAAATGCGACAAGTACCGGTGCCAATTCAGCTTATCCGCCACAATAATAAACCCCGACCTCTGAGACATGTCCAGACCCAACGGGCTAGCAAGGTTCCCCGTGTTGAGCATGTACTCTATGTCCTTCCCTATGAACGCCATCGCCAGCCCGCCTGCCGGCGCCGCCCCTGCCCTGCCCCAGTCGCCCCAGGCTGGTTGCCCTTACCCTATCCCCCACCGCACTCACTCTGGCAGCAGCTTGCGCACAGCCGTCGTCCGAAGAGTCGAGAAGAACGCTCCTCGATGCACCGACCTAAAGTGAGACAGGTACCGGTGCCAGTTGAGCTTGTCCGCCACGATAGTAAACCCCGACCTCTGAGTCATGTCCAGCCCAGACGGGCTAGCAAGGTTCCCCGTGTTCAGCATGTACTCAATGTCCTTCCCTATGAACGTCATCGCCAGCCCGCCCGCCGGCGCCGCCCCTGCCCGGGCGGCGGTGCCGCCCTCGACGAGGCGGCGTAGCCAGTTGGAGGCGCGGAGGTCCGTGGTGGTGGGGTTGTCCACGAGCTCCTGGGCGGCATGCGCTTGGATCTTGTGCAGGTGCAGTTGAAGCTTTTCCTGCGATGGGGGGAAAGAGGGTATGGTTGGGCAGGAAGGAAGGGGTGAAGAGGGGGATGGTTGGTAACTTTTCATTGAAAAAAAATCAAGAGATCATCACATGTGGAAGGGCGTGGTGTGGTGTGGCGGGTAGAGAGATCACTTTGATAGGACGTGCAGCAGTTGAGAGGAGTGACCTTGATGAAGATGTTGAGAATGTGGACGGGCAGGAAGAGCTTGTGGTGCATGAGTCAACTCAGGAAGAGAGCAGGAAAAGAACATTGAGAGAGCATGGGGAGCACAGGGAGAGAGCAAGAGAGAGGGCGGACCTTGATGAAGTTGTTGAGGATGTGGCCCGGCAGGAAGAGCTCGTGGTGCATGAGCGTGTCCTGTGAGTCCTCCTGGGATAGCCCGTCCACCATCGACCACAGCTTGTGCAGCATGAAGCTGTCAACGGGGGGAGGGGGGCCACAAGCACAAGAGCGGAGGTGACGCGCATTAGAGCTCGTGGTGCATGAGCGTGTCCTGTGAGTCCTTCTGGGATAGCCCGTCCACCATTGACCATAGCTTGTGCAGCATGAAGCTGCGAGGGAGGGGTGGGGGCACGAAGACAAGAGAAAGAGGCAGGCACAGGCACAAGGCAAAGAGAGGCAAGCACAAGGGGGGAGATGAGGCCTATAAGAGCTCGTGATGCATGAGAGTGTCCATGCCGTGCCGTCCACCAGGGATAGCCCATCCACCATCGACCATACCTTGTGCAACATGAGGCTGACTTAGAAAGGGCGGAGAGGGAGGGCAATGCGAGTCAAGCATTAGGCGCGGAAGATACGCGCACCTGGAGAGCTACGTACAAGGTACCCAAGCGCAAGCCTACATGGAGGCACATAAGGAGATATGTATGAAGACGCATGGAGGCTACAGGAACCCACCAGGATGGAAGGTACAAGCAGGGGGAGGGAGCGAGTCACATGAGAAGACGGAGCTTGTCATGGGCTTGTTGGGATACCCGAACACCAGGTGCGTGGAGGCGTGTGTGGAGGCATGTGGAAAGGCATGTGGAGGGCACACAGGCCCACATTGAAGGTACAGGACGGCAGGGCAGAGAGCAACCCAGAGGCGCAGGGGACTCACACGAGGAGGCGCAGCTTGTCCATGGGCTTGTCGAGATGCACTAGCACTAGGTCCGTTATGATCTGCTGGCCCACCTGTGGGACAAAGAGAGGGAGGAGAGGGAGTTGGAAAGCGGAAGGAAGGGGACTGTGCTGCTGCCAGCCCACTCACATATGCATCAGATCTCACAACGAGCCACACACAAATGCGTCTGACCTCACAACGAGCCACACACATATGCGTCTGACCTCACAACAAGCCACTCACAAATGCATCAGACCGCACAACAAGCCACACACATATGCATCAGACCGCACAACAAGCCACACACATATGCATCAGACCTCACAACAAGCCACACACATATGCATCAGACCTCACAACAAGCCACACACATATGCGTCAGACCTCACAACAAGCCACACACATATGCGTCTGACCTCACAACAAGCCACACACATATGCGTCTGACCTCACAACAAGCCACTCACATATGCGTCTGACTTGTAGCTCGGCACGTTCACAGCAGGCCGAAAGGTCTTCCCGAGGAAAGCGAGGCACTCATGCGAGTGAAGCGGTGAGGATCTACCAAAGCACGCAGATAGCTCTCCTCCAGCCCCCGCAACCCCACAGAGACATTGGAATCGCTGCCAGCCCACTCACATATGCATCCGACTTGTAGCTGGGCACGTTGACAGCGGGGCGGAAGGTCTTGCCTAGGAAAGCGAGACACTCCATGCGCGTGAAGAGGCCCAGAGAGCGCGGGTGACTCAACACCACCAGCGCCCGCTCTCTCACAAACTGCGTTCCCAACCCCGCTGCTGCCGCCGCCGCCGCTGCTGCTGCTGGTGGTGGTTGTTTTGTTGCTGCTTCTGCTCCTCCTTCGGTTGGTGTGTGCTGCTTGTCGTTCTCTGGAGGGTCGGCCGCTGCCTGCTGTGCAGTGAGGATGGCCGTCAGATGCTCGTACAGCTCTGCATCTGAGACGTCCATTAGGCACTGAAAAGGGGTGGGAGGTAAATGGAAGGGTGAGAGGTAAATGGAGGGTGGGAGGTGGGGTTAGGAGGTATATGGAACAAGAAGGCAGGTAAGCCATTGGATGAGGATAGAAGCTAAGCATCTAAACCGTCCGCTATTCCGTGTGCATTTGATCACACCGAAAAAGGCACAAGGCACAATCATAGGAAATGAATGACAGTGTTGGTGACGTGCAGAGAGGGTATTTTTGAGACGTCTCAAAAATTCCGTGTGCATTTGATCACACCAAAAAAGGCACAATGATAGGAAATGAATGATAGTGGTGGTGCCATGAAGGGCGTTTACTCATGCGTGTTGGCCGACCATAGAGGCAAGACATTAATACCGGGCACCTTGGGAATCCCGGCACAGCACCCACACGTACCGTTCACCACCGCACTGGAATGTTCACAACACCTGCAGGCAGCTCACCTTGAGAATGATTCCCACGGGGATGAAATACTCCTGCTTCCTCAGGCTGTAGGGGAGAGAGAGTACATGCAGAGAGGGAGTGTGGGTGGGGGAAGGAGAGAAAACTGGGGCATCAGCAGAGTGGAGTGGACTGGTAAGGGGGGAGTGATCAGATGGGGGATTGCAGTGCAGTGCAGTGCAGTGCAGTGCAGTGCAGTGCAGCGCAGTGCAGTGCAGTGCAGTGCAGTGCAGTGCAGTGCAGTGCAGTGCAGCGCAGTGCAGTGCAGTGCAGTGCAGTGCAGTGCAGACATGCAGTGAGAAACGGGAAGCGAGGAAGGAGAGAGGAAAGGGAGGCTAGCTGACTGGAAGGGGAGGGAGAGGAGAGGGTGGTGGGGGAGGAAGAGGTGGGGAGGGAGGAGGGCAGGGAGAGGGAGAGGGGAGGGAAGGGTGGTGGAGTGAGGGGTGGCGGAGGGAGGGTGGGGAGTGAAGGCGGGAGGGAGGAAATGGAGTGAAGGCGGGAGGGAGGAAATGGAGTGAAGGCGGGAGGGAGGGAGTGAAGGGAAGGCGACTGACGAGAAGTTGAAGCATGCGTTGCCGTCGCTGACATAGACGACCCGGTTGGTCACTGCTGATTGGTCCGTGCGCACACACCTGCACATGCCATGCCATGCATTGTCCGGAAGGAAACCATGACATGCCATGCCATGCCATGTCAGTTGAGTCACCATGGCACATAATCCATATAACATCATCATCATGCCATGTCATATCATCACAGTGTTGGTTTTTGAGAATTCTCAAAAACCAACTCATATCATCACAGTGTCAGGCCAGCACCCCGTGTGATGCATGCACCACATGCACGCTTCTCCGCACCACATGCACGCTTCTCCGCACCACATGCACGCTTCTCCGCACCACATGCACGCTTCTCCGCACCACATGCACGCTTCTCCGCACCACATGCACGCTTCTCCGCACCACATGCACGCTTCTCCGCACCACATGCACGCTTCTCCTCACCACATCACCAACCCAGACACCAACCTCTCACTGAACCCGGAAACCAGCCTATGAGCCTCTCACTGAACTGATGCCTTATGAAAAAAACTCAAAAACCACTGGTTGCAAGCAAGCAACTGAAGCCACGTCAGATAGATTGAGGTACGCAAAAGCTCCTGTCAAGAGAGCCTCTTGGTGAAAGTGAGCGCCTCTTGGTGAAAGTGAGCCCTTTCCAAAGCAGCCTGGGTAACCACCGTGCCCAAACACACCGCATGCATTCAGTTCAGCGCCCTGTGGCCCGTGACCTACTAAACCATGCACATACATCCACATACACACCATGCACATACATCCACATACACACCATGCACATACATCCTCATACACACCATGCACATACATCCACATACACACCATGCACATACATCCACATACACACCATGCACATACATCCACATACACACCATGCACATACATCCACATACACACCATGCACATACATCCACATACACACCACACCATGCACGGTACGATGCCCTAGCTGCATCTCATGTCATGCTCACCGGATGGTGGTGGCCATGTCAGTGAAATTGAGCCCCTTGTTTGGCAGCGTGGGGCGCCAGTATGCTCACAACACACATTGAGCGCCCCATCTACCATGCACATGCTCACACACTCTGCTGCAGCTGCCCGCCTCACCGGATGGTGGTGGCCATGTCAGTGAAATTGAGCCCCTTCTTTAGCAGCGTGGGGCGCCGCAGATTCATCACCTGGTGGTGGTGGGGGGGGGGGGAAGCAGGGAGAGAGCAGGAGGAGGGGAGGAAGGCGACGGGGAAGGAAGGAGGGGCGGCGGCGTGACCACAACTCGGTCAAGGTGCGCCTGCAATGGCAAGCTGTGGGTGTGTCTGCGTGCCATAGGCAAGCTGTGTTTGATTGCTGCGCTTGAATCACGTCAAGGCATGAATCCCTAGTTGACAGAACAGAGCCTGATTTTAAAGACAGCGGGATTGACCATGCTCTTTGTGAAGATCGAAAACGCCCTCCCAACGAATGTACCAACCCTCAGCTCACAGCAACACTGGGCTCACATAGTTGCGGCGGGGAGCAATGAGCAGGCGAATGAGACGCTCGATGCCGTTGCAAATGAAGTAGCTGCTCGCATGGTGCATGGGGGGGGGGGGGGGGCCAATGGGGATGTTTTTGAGGCGCCTCAAAAACGACCTCAATGCACGGGGGGGTGGCCAATGGGGATGGCATTAACGGGTCTGATAAGCTAATATTCTGATTTAATCATGACTTCAACGGGATGACATGATTGACAGGGAATACAATGCGACCAGGGGATCAGAAATGGAGGCAAGGGTGGGTACAGCAAACCCGCCTCATCACAAGGGCCAGCCAGCGTACCCGCCGAGCTCGATGCTCTCCTCCTTGCGCCGCACGAGCTGCTCCTGTGTGAGGTGGCGCAGATGACATGAGCCCGACTGCAGGGGTTCACAGGGGTACAGAGGCATACGCAGGGGTGCACAGGGATACACAGCGCCACGCAGGGATACACAGGGGTGAAGATGGGCACGCATGAGTACTCAAGTCTCAAAAGTTCACACGAGCTGCTCCTGCATGGGAGACCACATGCACCGCGCTGCATGGGAGACCACATGCACCGCGCTGCATGCAGCAGGCCAGCCAGGGGGGAACAGAGCGGGGCATTCAGGGGTAAAAACAACGGGGTACAGAGGGATTTGCAGGAGTGCAGCACGGCTGGAAGGATATGGCCTGCACTTCTTCTGCACTTCAACTTAATTGCACCCGCTCGTGCCACATCAGCACGCACCTTGACCATGATTGGCACCCTCCCCAGGCTTAGCTGCTGCCGCTGCATGGGGCCCTTGGCCACGTCAGCAAGCGCCACGTCATCATCCTCGTCAAAGTAGGAGACGCAGAGGTCGATGCGGAAGTCGCCCCGGTAGGTGGTGCCCGCCTGGCGGCACTGGTAAGGCAGTAGGAGAGAACGGGGAGAACGGAGGAGAGTGAGGGTGTGTTTCAAAAAGAGTGTCATAAGGGAAGGGAGGAAGGGGAGAAAGGGGGAAAACAGCCGTCCATGTGGAAGTCCCCGGTAGGTGGTGGTGCCCGCCTGGCGGCACTGGTGTGGGAGCATGGCAGGGGGGCGATGCGATGGGGAAGGAGGGTTGAGAGGGCGTTTTCAAACAAGTGTGATACAAGGGAAAGGAGAGGGGAGGGGATGGGAACAAACACCCATCGATGAGGAAGTCGCTCCTGTAGGTGGTGCCCGCCTGGCGGCACTGGTGTGGCAAGACGAGGGGGAAGGAGGGGGGCGGAGAACAGAAACGGGGGGAAAGGGATTTAAGCGGTGACCGCCTGGCGACAGTACCATGGCATGGCATGGCAGCAACGGAAGAGTGGGGGCAGAAGGGGGGGCGCTGAAACGGCAGCGGGCAGAGCCACAACGGTGCTGTTGTTAAGACGCGCCAAGCACAGCCAGCTGTAGTACAGAGGACGACATACAACACGCAAGAGGCTACCTTTACTACGCTTTGAGGGGGTTGCCATTGCCAGGCGACAGGCGACAGGCAACCCCTTCAGTAACCCCTGGGATCCCCCCCTCCCCTTCCAGAGCCGAATGCTTTGCTGGTGCTGCGGTGCGGTGTACCTCTGAGGGGTAAACGGGTCGGTGCTGGCCATCCTCGCTAAAAGGCTTTGTGATGCTCGGATTCTCCCACCACACTGCATAGGGAACAGAACCGAAGGAAACCCTAAATCTCGATTGCTTGGAGTTGATTAGGAAAGGGGACGAGAACGATCAGCAAAGATTAGAAGCTGAGGGAGTGAGAATGAGGGAGAGAACGAGTGAGTTAACCGTTGCAGTTGCATGTTGTGGAAGGGTCAACCTCCTTGTCAGTCAGTAAAAAAGCGGAGTGAATTTTGAGTCGACAAAAAAGTCACAAGGATCAAGCTCCTTGTCACTCAGTAAAAAAGCGGATCACTAATCTCACAACCATATCTAGGTTTCGGGTTTAGTGACCACGGAGACTCGTTCGGAGTTTCCTCATGTATCGACCTTTTTTGCAATAGGCTTTTCTCCGAGCTTAGACGTGTCTCGAGCATTGGAGTATACACTTTGAAAGGGCTCAACAACTATACAGCCTCATTGGAGCTTGACGGGCACCTCGAGCTCCTACAATAGCATTGAAGCCTTGAGACGTCCCAAAGCCTTGAGATGTCCCAACAAACCTACAATTAACTCTAAGCTTGGCGAGACACCCTCGGATCTCTTACAGTAGAATCTGAGCTTCCTGAACGAGTCGTGCACTTCGACAGGTCGAATCAGGCGAACAGCTTCTGGTAACCCGCGCTCGACGAAATAGTCGAAGGAGTCGATGTGCGGCGCGACGAGGTTCTCGAGGTTCTCCGGCACGCCCTGCCGCACGTCGTCGCCCTCGAACGACACCGCCATGCGCGCGACCTGCGCTCAACACACGCGCTCGCGCTCGCTACGCTACGATAATGCACGCGCAGGCTGCGCTCACACACGTGCTCTCACTGCGTTAACGCACGCGTGGATTAACAAGCGAACGCGCGGGCGCAACGACGAGCAAACGAGCAAAATGTCTGATCTCGCCCCACGAACCCTGACCGAGCTACACGCTTTTCGCGCGTCTCCTCCGCTCGCAGAACGACGGAACGATGCGACGCTTCCCTCCCGTCCCGCGCACGAGTGAATAACCTAATTCAGTAGAATCGCCTAACGCAGCTCCCGTCGATAATGAACGACGCGGCACGGGAGCATGTGTGCCTTGCTAGTCCTCAACCTCGATTCTACCTCGGCGGGAAAATATTCATCCTTGGTGATTCTGACAGCCAACCCCTGAACCTCTCAATTCCGCACTGTCCTCGTTTGAAGACGATAGAGCAGCCCTTCCCACAGCAACTAGACCGGCTTCAAATGGTCAGGGCGGCAGGGAATCTGGATTTGCATTTCTATCAATCTTTCATATGTGAAATGGCAATGATCAACGATTCACTTGTCATTATCAACAACCACGATCATGGAGCAAGGCGTAAAAGAGAGCTGAATGATGGGCTGGATCGATGCGATGTCTTGTCTAGAAACTACATTACTCACGCTCATTGTCAATGAAGATTATACAACAAATGGTGCATTGTAAGATTCGCCATAGCCTCACCAGCTTCGCCATACAGCAACCCTTTCTCAACCCTCTCTGCTTCACCAGCGTCAAAACAAGTGTAGTGTACATTTTTTGGACCACATGTGTCACTGTGCCTAGGAGCTTCCAGCGGCCATCCATCAAGCAACTGTATATTGTAGCGCTGTAGCTGCCCCTCTAGAAGTCCATTCATGTATTCAATGAGTGAGTTTGTGGCTGGTTGAACTACCGAAAACGATTTCAGTAGTGTTGGGGTGAAGCAATCCTCAGTGATTTGTCGAACTGGAGGAATGGACAGGAACAGAAACTTTGGCCTCCATGTGCGTTGTCTTAGCATCCTGGTGCCGTTGATGCCATCATCAGCACCACGCTCTGCTCCCCCACTGCTACCATCTGTTGCCGAATCGGCAACATCAAGGTTTGCCGTCTGTAGCTTTGCATACTCACTCTGGTGGTGCTCCTCTGCGTTACGCCTCTGTCCAATCGCCCATTCAAGAAAAGCCGGCAGGTGAACACTGTAGGCTCTCTCAGGCTCCTCACAGAGCCAGCCGGACCAGGTGCCAGCGTCTATTATTGTGACATCAGCCGTGAGGGAGATGTTGGGAAAGGAGTCCTGCCTACCAGAGAAAAAGCCCCTTCGCCTGAAGTGGGATTGGGAGGGAGCACGAAGTCAAAGTGAAATGGCATGGGAGCATGAATTGTGTGCAAGTGTGACAACATGCTGCAAGCTCATGGACAAAATGGAGTCTACCCATGAGGGGTGTTCCATGGCTGTTGACTTACTCGCATCCGAACTGCTCATCCTAGTAAATGCCATCAACCCAGTAGAAATTCAGCTTCAGTCCCTCAAACTGCTGCTGCTTCTCCTGCTCTTGCTGCTGATTCACCACACTTCCCCCCCTAAGCCCCCCTCGCACGCCCAACGCCACATCATCTCCCCGTGGTGCAGTATCATAGGCTGGAGCAGGGCCAGGCACAGCGATGGAGATATCCCCATGATAGCCCACATGGGAGTCATTGACGCTGTGTGTCAAGAGGTAGGCAAGGTGCAGCATCAGCAAGCGCTGGTGTGAGTCGCCCACGAAATTTTTCTCCCTGATTCCACGTGATGCCAAGGCGGAGACCCAGTGGGGCAGCGGAAGAAGAGGAGGGGCGCACGGGTAGAACTCCCACCTGAGGTGCGAGAGGTGGAGTGTAGGTACAGAGCGAAGACCTAGAGCATGAGTTTTTTGAGTCAACTCAAAAGCACGGTGGAGGAAGAGGAGGAACGCACGGGAAGAACTCCCACCTGCGCGGTGCGTGAGGTGGAGGTAGGAGGGAACTGAGATTATGAAGAGTGTGCTTCTTTTGCCATCTAAAAAACGGGTAAGACCAGCAGAAGCGATACGGAATCGAGTGCGTCAGTGGAGCCATCAAGTCCGTACCTGCCATGTCCGCACCTGCCACTTCCGTACCTGCCATGTCCGTACCTGCCACTTCCGTACCTGCCATGTCCGTATCTGCCATGTCCGTACCTGCCGTATCCGTACCTGTACTTTCCAGTGCTGCCATCCCTCAGCCAGCGGCCGTGAGAGGCGCCGTGCTCACAGGCCGAACCCAACGCTCCATCAGCCCCTGCACCCCCCCTTGCTGTCTCGGACAATGAGAAGGAATGCTCCTGCTGAACCCGGGCTGCTGGAAGTCTGCTGGTCATGGCCGTGCTGCTGGGACGGACGGCGAGGATCCATTGCGCCATGTCGTGCTCATGCGCGTGAGTGAAGGAAGCGGAATAGTTTAAAGAGCCGCATCCGGACCGAACGACAACTCTGGTGTGAAGGGACGGGAAGGGAAGGGTCATTAGAAAAAGGCTCGCCGATAGCCGCGGAATCGGCTTATATACACGATTTCGTTGGTCTTCAATTTAAATGAATGTAGAGGGGAAGACTTACTCACTTGTACAAGCCAGCGTCCCATACACGGTAAGCCACCCGCCACCTGCTGACGTCGCCTCTCTCCGCCGTGACGTCAGCTCGCACGAGCGACGGTCCCAACAGCTGCACCGCCAGCTCGTGCTTGAACGCCATGCCCGGCGGCACCGTCCACGTCGCAGGCTGTCGCACAGCGATCTCGAACGTGCACAGTCGCCCAGCGACGCAATGGCGACATCCCGGACCAAAAATCACCACGCCGCCGCGGCCTTGGCTTTCATCGCTTGAACTATTACTACGAACGGGAGCGCTGGCTTCAGTTGTGGAAAGGACTACGGTATCATTATCGGAACCATGGATCTGGTTCGACCAAGAAGAGTCTTTTCCGTCATAGCCGCCGTGATCCCCGGACCACCAGCACAGAGCCTCGCCATGATACGATTCCGAGTGGGAGAAATCGCTCTGCGATTCCTCGCTTCTGCCAGCGGGAAATCCAGCTTTGATTTCCTCTGATGATACTGCGACGTCGTTTGAGAGCGACGCGGTGAGGTCCCGACTTCTGCAGGACCAACAAAGCAACGCGAAGACCGCCGCGACCGCTGCCAGGAGGAGTAAGTGGACCGCAGCGCGACTCGCGGAACTCTTTTCCTTCGGAAGGGACAAGTGGAAACCGATTAAGTTTTTTCTGTGGCGCAGCCATGGTGTTCCCATGGTGCACACGGACTCCTAGATGTAGTGTGTGTAGAAGATGATATCGGTGTTTCGAACATTCCATTGGAGACACATGGCCTGCTTATCTTGGTGAGGTATTCCCGGAATAGCCGGCAGTGAGCTAAGTTTGAGCAAGCTAATCTCGGCGGAAACGCGATTTTCGAAGTTACCGTGATTGCAACTCCAAGTGAGGACGGGGCCGTAGAGCTCGTCATGCAGCGTCGCTCCAACTTTGAGCTCATTGTACCTTGAACTCAGCCGTCCGTTGTGCTCTACGTATGATCAATCCACGGCGGCCATCAGCCTCGCCAGGTGATCTCCTCTTCCACAAGGTGTGCTTATGATCCGAGTTTCCCAGGGGCACCGCTGACTGACAGCCATCACACGCTACTGTACACCGAAAGATCTGTATCGTTAGGGTGACGAAAAAGAGGACCAGATTTGAGCGGAGAACGAACCAGTGGTCGCCAAGGCCACTCCACCACAACTCGACCTAGTAAGGGAACTGTGGGCAGGAGTGAGGCAGTACAACAGTATCAATGCTCGATTAACGACGGCTTGACTTCACCTCCTCAGTCGACGGCTAGTCCCACGACCTTCTCAGCTGGCACGGATACACTGTACATAACATATCAGCTGCTCTTGTGAGTCGTAACATCTGCTGGTCGTCTCGGCAGCCAGCTTGCTTTACGGGATCCTCACACTCAGGAAACACCCTCTTCGTATCACTTCTCGGGATTGCCGCCAAAGACCATCTGCATGCGGTGGAGACCATGTAAGGTCCCAAAGGAACCCAAGGAGACCCAAGGGAAACTCAAGGGAACCGAAGAGAACCCAAGGGAGATTCAATGCTGCGAAATTCAGAGAGTTGTGAAGTTACCATGTACGGTACAAGTATTTAGTTCTATTATACAACTTAATGTTTATGGCAGGCATCTCACAATTTGTTGTTACATAAAATACAAATATCACAAATTGTGTGAGGATAAATGTTTTGCCCAACTCTCAATTCACACAATGCGTGCCCATTCCAGTGTGCAAAACTGCAGCACCATCTCAGGCTTATCAATATATCTCACAACAAATTCACTTGAGAACTGCAGCCCTGCCTTCCTCCAATGCACCCACCATATTCCTCGTTACAGGATGAGAATATCCTACCCATTTCAACCCACCCTAACCCTATCCTACCGCAGCCTATCGTTAACTGGCAGCACGCCCCATGCTGCGACACCACTCACCCATCTCCACATCAGCCTCACTCAGAATCGACTTCTTCACCATGCGGAACTGCAGCACTGTCTCCCTCTCGTGCACCCACCGCATCACACCAGGCGAACACACCGTCCTGCCCTCCGAACCACCTGCCAAACCACCTGCCAAACTGCCCGCCAAGCCATCTGTGTGCTCTCCCTCTTCCACTTCTCCCTCCCTGCCTCCCTGCTCCTCCTCATCGCTCGCTTCCCCGCTGTCCCCCGCTAAGATCTCACTCGCACTCCTGTACCGCCCCCCTCGACACGCCACCAGCTCTCTCAACCCATCCTCATCCTCGTAGTAATCCGTTGAGAAAGACCACCCCCCTGACTCCGCTTCAGATGCTGCTTTCGCTGCCCGCCTCTTCTCCTCGCCTGTCAGACCCACCCCCAAGAGGGCTCTCACCCGCTGCTGTATCGCGCACGCTGCTGCTGAGAGAGAGGATAGGATGTCTGCTGACGTGGACTGGGCCAGCTGCTGCCACGTGTCAGCAGCCTGTGCCACGTGTCGGGTTCGTCTGCTGCGCTTGATCCAGATTCTTGATCCTCTGTAGCATGCGAATATGGCTCTGCTTCCTCTGCTGCTGCTCCCACATACTCCCCATTATCAACGGCACCACTATCACCATTATCAACGGCACCACTATCACCATTATCAACGGCACCACTATCACCATTATCAACGGCACCACTATCACCATTATGAACGGCACCACTATCACCATTATCAACGGCACCACTATCACCATTATCAACGGCACCACTATCACCATCATCACCATCAGCAGCAGCAGAAGCAGCAGCATCAGGAGTTGGAGCCCCGTTGCTACCATCACCATCAGCACCATCAACACCAGCAGCACCACCACCATCACCATCACCATTAGTAGAACCATCAGCAGCACCAGCACCACCACCATCATCGGCAGCATGATCATCATCAGAAAAAGGTTTCCCGTTGTCCAAGATAGGTGCGCTCAGGTGCATGGCTGCCCTGGCGAGCTGCTCCGCATCCAACTCTGGAGTAAAGTGAGAATGGTGGGAGAGAGGGGGGAGGAGAAAGTGGGAGAGGAAGCAGGGGAGCGTGGTTCTGAGAGGGCAGAAGAGTTCTTCATCCAAGATGGATGCACCTCAGATGGAGTACACTCAACTCAGATGCATGGCTTCCCTGGCAAGCTGCTCCGCATCCAACTCTGGAGTAAAGTGAGCAGAGAGAGAGAGGGGGCAGGGTAGAGGGGAGAGTGCGGCTGAGAGGGCAGGGAGTCTTGTGCGCAAGATGGGCGCACTCAGGTGCATGGCTTCCCTGGCGAGCTGCTCCGCATCCAACTCTGGAGAAGAGAAAGCATGGGGAGAGAGAGGGGGAAAAGAGTAGGGGGCAGAGGAAGCAGGAGAGAGGAAGCAGGGAGGAGAGCAGCTGTAAGGGCTGATGTCTCCTGTTGTCCAAGATGGGCGCATATCCTGTTGTCTCCTGTTGTCCAAGATGGGCGCATATCCTGTTGTCTCCTGTTGTCCAAGATGGGCGCATATCCTGTTGTCTCCTGTTGTCCAAGATGGGCGCACGCACTCAGGTGCATGGCTTCCCTGCCTAGCTGCTCCGCACCCTACTCTGAGAAAAGGTGAGCATGGTAGGGGGTAGAGGAGAGGTTAGAGGAGGGGGCAACGACGTGGAAGGGGACAGAGGAGGGGGTAGGGGAGAGGGCAGAGGAAATGGTGAGGGATGGGAAAACTAAGTCATCAACCCGGGACTCGCACGCCCCCTCCCCCCATTCTCCTACCATGCTATACCACACTCCACCACACTGAACTCCTCCAAACCCACTCACCTCGCCCTGTGGTTGTCCAGTGCCACACAGCAGCAGCCATGGCCAGCATCTCAGGGCTCGCATGTCCGCCCACCCAGTCCGCTACCATGGCTATTTTTATACCTCGCCCCACCGCACTCAACCCCGCCAAACCCACTCACCTCGCCCTGTGTCTATTCAGTGCCACACAGCAGCGGCCATGGCCAGCACCTCAGGTGTGCACACGCCCACCCACCAATTCTCCAATTACTTAACCACACTCCGCCCCACTCAACCCCTCCAATCTAACTCTCACCTCGTCCTGTGTCTATCCAGTGCCACACAGCAGCAGCCATGGCCAGCATCTCAGGGCTCGCATGCCCGCCCGCCCACACCACCAGCTGCTTCTTTGCATTCTCCCACTCCTCCTCCTCGCTCCCCATCCCCTCCCACCACTCCCCACCCCTGCTGCCATCCCCACTCGCGCCATCCCTTTGCCCTTCCTCCCCTTGCCCATCCCCCCCTTGCGCCTCCTCCCCCTGCCCGTCCCCACCTTTGCCCCTCTCCCCCTGCGCCTCCTGCCCCTCCCCCTCCTCCTCCCCCGTCCGCCCCTGTCCCTGCACCCCCGTCCGCCTCTCCTCTCTCATCCTCCCCACCACCTCCCTCACTGACGCCGCAACCCTCAGTGCCCCTCTCAGTGTTGCATTAGCAGGGTTTGACTGGGTGGGCTGCGGTTGAGTGGGGTGCGTGTGCTGCACTGTATACTCCACCAGACGGGCAGAGCTGGAGTCAAAGAACAGAGGGTTGGAGAAAGAGAAAACAGAGAATTGAAGAAAGAGAGAAGGGTGTATCAACGAGCAACAGTGGCTCCGTGCGTGCGTTGTCACATCAACACCACCCAGTCTTTTGAGACGTCTCAAAAGATGTCACATCAACACCACCCAGGAGCACCGCGCAAGGGTGCAGCGCAACGCACTACAAAGCACCTGGGGAAGAGCACGACGGTGTCGTAAGGGTTGTATGCAGGCATGAAGCCATACTCCACCACCTTGTCAATGGTGGGCTTGGCTCCGTACAATATGCTCAGTGGAAGCGTGGTGAGGGTGCAGCGCAAGTGGAATGCAAGCATGCTATGCAGCAATGGAACATCTCACCTGGGGAAGAGGATGACTGTGTCGAAGGGGTTGTATGAGGGCACGAAGCCATACTCCGCCACCATGTCAATGGTGGGCTTGGCCCCGTACGATATGCTCAGCGGCTCTCCTTTCTCGATGGCTTGGTAGGTCGTGAAGAGGAAGTGGTCTCCAGACAGCTGGAGGACAGAAGGGAGAGGAGAGAGATAAGGAAAAGAGGGCCTGATAGCTGGTAGGTCGATATTCCCAGGTGGGGGACTGGAGCTTCAGTCCCAGCTTGGGAACTGGAGCTGCAGTCCCAGCTGGGAGGCAGTCCCAGCTGGAGGGACTGGAGCTGCAGTCCCAGCTGGAGGGACTGGAGCTGCAGTCCCAGCTGGAGGGACTGGAGCTGCAGTCCCAGCTGGAGGGACTGGAGCTGCAGTCCCAGCTGGAGGGACTGGAGCTGCAGTCCCAGCTGGAGGGACTGGAGCTGCAGTCCCAGCTGGAGGGACTGGAGCTGCAGTCCCAGCTGGAGGGACTGGAGCTGCAGTCCCAGCTGGAGGGACTGGAGCTGCAGTCCCAGCTGGAGGGACTGGAGCTGCAGTCCCAGCTTGGGGACTGGAGCTGCAGTCCCAGCTGGGGGGACTGGAGCTGCAGTCCCAGCTTGGGGACTGGAGCTGCAGTCCCAGCTGGAGGGACTGGAGCTGCAGTCCCAGCTGGAGGGACTGGAGCTGCAGTCCCAGCTTGGGGACTGGAGCTGCAGTCCCAGCTTGGGGACTGGAGCTGCAGTCCCAGCTTGGGGACTGGAGCTGCAGTCCCAGCTTGGGGACTGGAGCTGCAGTCCCAGCTGGGGACTGGAGCTGCAGTCCCTAGCTGGGGACTGGAGCTGCAGTCCCAGCTTGGGGACTGGAGCTGCAGTCCCAGCTTGGGGACTGGAGCTGCAGTCCCAGCTTGGGGACTGGAGCTGCAGTCCCAGCTTGGGGACTGGAGCTGCAGTCCCAGCTGGAGGGACTGGAGCTGCAGTCCCAGCTGGAGGGACTGGAGCTGCAGTCCCAGCTTGGGGACTGGAGCTGCAGTCCCAGCTTGGGGACTGGAGCTGCAGTCCCAGCTTGGGGACTGGAGCTGCAGTCCCAGCTGGAGGGACTGGAGCTGCAGTCCCAGCTTGGGGACTGGAGCTGCAGTCCCAGCTTGGGGACTGGAGCTGCAGTCCCAGCTTGGGGACTGGAGCTGCAGTCCCAGCTTGGGGACTGGAGCTGCAGTCCCAGCTGGGGACTGGAGCTGCAGTCCTCAGCTGGGGACTGGAGCTGCAGTCCCAGCTTGGGGACTGGAGCTGCAGTCCCAGCTTGGGGACTGGAGCTGCAGTCCCAGCTTGGGGACTGGAGCTGCAGTCCCAGCTTGGGGACTGGAGCTGCAGTCCCAGCTTGGGGACTGGAGCTGCAGTCCCAGCTTGGGGACTGGAGCTGCAGTCCCAGCTGGGGGGACTGGAGCTGCAGTCCCAGCTTGGGGACTGGAGCTGCAGTCCCAGCTTGGGGACTGGAGCTGCAGTCCCAGCTTGGGGACTGGAGCTGCAGTCCCAGCTTGGGGACTGGAGCTGCAGTCCCAGCTGGGGACTGGAGCTGCAGTCCTCAGCTGGGGACTGGAGCTGCAGTCCCAGCTTGGGGACTGGAGCTGCAGTCCCAGCTTGGGGACTGGAGCTGCAGTCCCAGCTTGGGGACTGGAGCTGCAGTCCCAGCTTGGGGACTGGAGCTGCAGTCCCAGCTTGGGGACTGGAGCTGCAGTCCCAGCTTGGGGACTGGAGCTGCAGTCCCAGCTTGGGGACTGGAGCTGCAGTCCCAGCTTGGGGACTGGAGCTGCAGTCCCAGCTTGGGGACTGGAGCTGCAGTCCCAGCTTGGGGACTGGAGCTGCAGTCCCAGCTTGGGGACTGGAGCTGCAGTCCCAGCTTGGGGACTGGAGCTGCAGTCCCAGCTTGGGGACTGGAGCTGCAGTCCCAGCTTGGGGACTGGAGCTGCAGTCCCAGCTTGGGGACTGGAGCTGCAGTCCCAGCTTGGGGACTGGAGCTGCAGTCCCAGCTGGAGGGACTGGAGCTGCAGTCCCAGCTGGAGGGACTGGAGCTGCAGTCCCAGCTGGAGGGACTGGAGCTGCAGTCCCAGCTGGAGGGACTGGAGCTGCAGTCCCAGCTGGAGGGACTGGAGCTGCAGTCCCAGCTGGAGGGACTGGAGCTGCAGTCCCAGCTGGAGGGACTGGAGCTGCAGTCCCAGCTGGAGGGACTGGAGCTGCAGTCCCAGCTGGAGGGACTGGAGCTGCAGTCCCAGCTGGGGGGACTGGAGCTGCAGTCCCAGCTTGGGGACTGGAGCTGCAGTCCCAGCTGGAGGGACTGGAGCTGCAGTCCCAGCTGGAGGGACTGGAGCTGCAGTCCCAGCTGGAGGGACTGGAGCTGCAGTCCCAGCTGGAGGGACTGGAGCTGCAGTCCCAGCTGGAGGGACTGGAGCTGCAGTCCCAGCTTGGGGACTGGAGCTGCAGTCCCAGCTTGGGGACTGGAGCTGCAGTCCCAGCTGGAGGGACTGGAGCTGCAGTCCCAGCTGGAGGGACTGGAGCTGCAGTCCCAGCTTGGGGACTGGAGCTGCAGTCCCAGCTGGAGGGACTGGAGCTGCAGTCCCAGCTTGGGGACTGGAGCTGCAGTCCCAGCTTGGGGACTGGAGCTGCAGTCCCAGCTTGGGGACTGGAGCTGCAGTCCCAGCTGGAGGGACTGGAGCTGCAGTCCCAGCTGGAGGGACTGGAGCTGCAGTCCCAGCTGGAGGGACTGGAGCTGCAGTCCCAGCTTGGGGACTGGAGCTGCAGTCCCAGCTGGAGGGACTGGAGCTGCAGTCCCAGCTTGGGGACTGGAGCTGCAGTCCCAGCTTGGGGACTGGAGCTGCAGTCCCAGCTGGAGGGACTGGAGCTGCAGTCCCAGCTGGAGGGACTGGAGCTGCAGTCCCAGCTGGAGGGACTGGAGCTGCAGTCCCAGCTGGAGGGACTGGAGCTGCAGTCCCAGCTGGAGGGACTGGAGCTGCAGTCCCAGCTGGAGGGACTGGAGCTGCAGTCCCAGCTGGAGGGACTGGAGCTGCAGTCCCAGCTGGAGGGACTGGAGCTGCAGTCCCAGCTGGAGGGACTGGAGCTGCAGTCCCAGCTGGAGGGACTGGAGCTGCAGTCCCAGCTGGAGGGACTGGAGCTGCAGTCCCAGCTGGAGGGACTGGAGCTGCAGTCCCAGCTGGAGGGACTGGAGCTGCAGTCCCAGCTGGGGGGACTGGAGCTGCAGTCCCAGCTTGGGGACTGGAGCTGCAGTCCCAGCTGGAGGGACTGGAGCTGCAGTCCCAGCTTGGGGACTGGAGCTGCAGTCCCAGCTTGGGGACTGGAGCTGCAGTCCCAGCTGGAGGGACTGGAGCTGCAGTCCCAGCTGGAGGGACTGGAGCTGCAGTCCCAGCTGGAGGGACTGGAGCTGCAGTCCCAGCTGGAGGGACTGGAGCTGCAGTCCCAGCTGGAGGGACTGGAGCTGCAGTCCCAGCTGGAGGGACTGGAGCTGCAGTCCCAGCTGGAGGGACTGGAGCTGCAGTCCCAGCTGGGGGGACTGGAGCTGCAGTCCCAGCTTGGGGACTGGAGCTGCAGTCCCAGCTGGAGGGACTGGAGCTGCAGTCCCAGCTGGAGGGACTGGAGCTGCAGTCCCAGCTGGAGGGACTGGAGCTGCAGTCCCAGCTGGAGGGACTGGAGCTGCAGTCCCAGCTGGAGGGACTGGAGCTGCAGTCCCAGCTTGGGGACTGGAGCTGCAGTCCCAGCTTGGGGACTGGAGCTGCAGTCCCAGCTGGAGGGACTGGAGCTGCAGTCCCAGCTGGAGGGACTGGAGCTGCAGTCCCAGCTTGGGGACTGGAGCTGCAGTCCCAGCTGGAGGGACTGGAGCTGCAGTCCCAGCTGGAGGGACTGGAGCTGCAGTCCCAGCTGGAGGGACTGGAGCTGCAGTCCCAGCTGGAGGGACTGGAGCTGCAGTCCCAGCTGGAGGGACTGGAGCTGCAGTCCCAGCTGGAGGGACTGGAGCTGCAGTCCCAGCTGGAGGGACTGGAGCTGCAGTCCCAGCTGGAGGGACTGGAGCTGCAGTCCCAGCTGGAGGGACTGGAGCTGCAGTCCCAGCTGGAGGGACTGGAGCTGCAGTCCCAGCTGGGGGGACTGGAGCTGCAGTCCCAGCTTGGGGACTGGAGCTGCAGTCCCAGCTGGAGGGACTGGAGCTGCAGTCCCAGCTGGAGGGACTGGAGCTGCAGTCCCAGCTTGGGGACTGGAGCTGCAGTCCCAGCTGGAGGGACTGGAGCTGCAGTCCCAGCTGGAGGGACTGGAGCTGCAGTCCCAGCTGGAGGGACTGGAGCTGCAGTCCCAGCTGGAGGGACTGGAGCTGCAGTCCCAGCTGGAGGGACTGGAGCTGCAGTCCCAGCTGGAGGGACTGGAGCTGCAGTCCCAGCTGGAGGGACTGGAGCTGCAGTCCCAGCTGGAGGGACTGGAGCTGCAGTCCCAGCTGGAGGGACTGGAGCTGCAGTCCCAGCTTGGGGACTGGAGCTGCAGTCCCAGCTGGAGGGACTGGAGCTGCAGTCCCAGCTGGAGGGACTGGAGCTGCAGTCCCAGCTGGAGGGACTGGAGCTGCAGTCCCAGCTGGAGGGACTGGAGCTGCAGTCCCAGCTGGAGGGACTGGAGCTGCAGTCCCAGCTGGAGGGACTGGAGCTGCAGTCCCAGCTTGGGGACTGGAGCTGCAGTCCCAGCTTGGGGACTGGAGCTGCAGTCCCAGCTGGAGGGACTGGAGCTGCAGTCCCAGCTGGAGGGACTGGAGCTGCAGTCCCAGCTGGAGGGACTGGAGCTGCAGTCCCAGCTGGAGGGACTGGAGCTGCAGTCCCAGCTGGAGGGACTGGAGCTGCAGTCCCAGCTGGAGGGACTGGAGCTGCAGTCCCAGCTTGGGGACTGGAGCTGCAGTCCCAGCTTGGGGACTGGAGCTGCAGTCCCAGCTGGAGGGACTGGAGCTGCAGTCCCAGCTGGAGGGACTGGAGCTGCAGTCCCAGCTGGAGGGACTGGAGCTGCAGTCCCAGCTGGAGGGAC